AGTCTAGGGATTGATTCCCTAGACCGGAGTTTTGCCTTTCCGGCACTTCCTGTCTTTCCGGGACTTCTGTCTAAACCCCGTCTATCCGACTCTACCATAGTGTAGTCTACCTCTGTTTGTTTCTACTCCGGACCTTGTCCATAGTAACCTTTCCCCTCCTGTCCTAATCCTGTCCACTCCTCCGGTCCTCGTAAACCTTCGGACCTTCGGATGTCGTAACCTTCGGACCTTCGGATGTCGTAGCCTTCGGACGACGCAACCTTCGGATGTCTTAACGTCTTAACCTTCGGACACCTTAACCTTCGGACCTCCAGACGTCCTGTCCTTCGGACCACTCCTCCTATCCTATCCTGCTTTGGACTCTGTCCCTTGCAGCCTATCCTCTATGTGTTTCTATCTAGGGAACTTACCTTGGGAAGTCTTACCTTTGGATCTAATACAGTGGATGAAACTCCTCTGGAGTTTCCTATACTCCTCCGGAAGTTTCTTGCACTCATCCGGAAGTCCTCTAGCACTCTACTAGAGTAGCCAGCTTCCGGAAGTCCTTCGGATTTCGTTGGATTCCATCTGGACTTCAATCTGAAATTAAGGGCACATACTTGGGTAAGGGGCACAGCGCACGAGCTGAGGCCAAGCCCTTCAGATCCGTTAACCCTTGAGCTACGGTCTTAACAGCTAATTGCCTTCCATCACATCCCTGGCAGTCATACTGGAGTATTGCTAGCAGGCGAGATGGTCAAGCTTCTTGATCATGCTGAGGTAACAGAGAAGGTAAGTGCTTCCTTTTACCATGTGGCATACTCTGATTTCGCCTAGACGGGGCACTTTACTTCAGACAATGCCGGCAATAATGGCACTTGCATGAAGGAGCTGTCATCCTTGCTGAGCGAACGTGATGTAATTTTTCATCCAACCGCTCACCAAATTCCATGTTTCCCACACATAATTAACATATGCGTGCAGCATATCCTCCATGACTACCACACGGCTGACTATACACACATGGGCGACAGTTGGGTTGTAGATGGCACAATCATCCAGAAGGTGGACTATGTCGCAGCCTTACAAACCATGGCTCTCGAACGCGCCAGAGATGCTATCCGCATGATCCGCAGGTCCAATAAACAACGTGAAGGTTTCAAGGACATGATCGTTAGGGGGAATGAGAAAAATTGGTACAAGGATGACGAAGGCAATCCCAGGCCGCTCCCAGTTGTCGAACTTCTGCTGGATGAAGCCATGCGATGGGATTCAGCCTACATTATGCTGAACCGTTGTGACAATCATACCAGCGCTAGGCGCGTATGAGTGTCATAGGCACAATTTGCCTTACCTTGAGGAAAAGAGTAAAGCGCTAGTCACCAGCGCTATTCAGCTCCCAAGCTATCCGCTTTGGAACCGCTTTTCTCCCATAGCGCACTGTCCGGCCCGACGCCTAGGTATTCCGTCCTCCCATGTCCTGCCTATGTCCACCTACCTCCACTGGTGCGTTATTTTTCATTAAACGTCGCTACTCATCAGTTGCAGGTCTTATTACATGCATCCTCATGTCCCGCTGCACTGCATGTCTTATTACCTGTCGCTACATCGTGCCTCCATCAGTGTCGCTACTATTCTCACCTACACATTCCTGAACTTTTATGCAGTATGATAAAATGACCCGTCACACATACAGTACAGTACTTCCCTTCCCCGGACCTTTGCTGGTATCAAAGTCACTTTAGTCGCTATATCCTAGTTTTTGGTGCAATCGATTCCGCTCTTGCCAATCTCTCTGATCGCGTGTCGCTTGACTTGTTTCGAGTGCGCGTCGCTAAAGTTCCTTTATAAGTTTGATCTTCGCAAACATCGGGATCGCTGTCGGTAGTCAAGCTATAATCTAGTCGCTATCAGGCATTCCACTTGTGCTATCATACCTTATCCCTTGCTTTCCCTTCTTTTGATTTCTTCTCGCTGTCGCTAGTCGGACGTCGCATAGCACTATCGCATAGGACAACTCGCATAGTGCTACTTACTTATACGCACGTTTCTCTGTCGGAACTCACTTGTCGCTAGTCACTGATCGCTACAGCGCTACTCATTGGTTTTTGGTCTTAGGTCGCTATAGGTTATCAGCCCTTCGCATCATCACTACCCTTGCGTATTTGAAGGGAGTTGCTTCAATAGCAGTCCTCTTGGGTCGAATATTACACTCGCGCCTATTTGGATAAGTAGCGCTAGTTTCTAACCAGCCTAGTCGCTATTACTCTTTCACACCGTTTACGGACCCTCCGCAAGGTAAAGCTCCCCTAATTAAACATCTTGTCATGGTCTTATAGTCGCCCAGCCCCTCAATAGGTACCTCCAACAGTCCCTTCCGGCGAAGAAGTTGACCCCAATGCAGTGGCATTTCCTGGAGGACCTCAAGGTCATTTTAGAGGTCAGTATTGGTGTATTCAAGAATCGTGATCCACTTACTATTTTATATTAGGTGCCGCACGCTGTCTTCTTAGATAGATGATCTATAGATAAACACCTATAAAACCAAATATCTCCACGGTCAGCAATTCAGACAAATACCAATGACTGATAACATGGTCGTTCATGGGTGGCTGATTAGCAATACCTAAGCCACTGTCAGTAGAAGGTGCCTTGTGAGGTCAGTAATGTGAGTGATCAATCCAACAATGCCTGGACAACAGGAAACAACAAAAGAAACAAGTATACCTTCTTGTACCAAAAAGATGCCCAATGGCAATCTTACTACAAAGATTCGTGTGAAGCTACAATGGTCACTCCCACAATGCAAACAGGTAGGATCACTGGTCAGGACTAGTCAATGCTCAAAGAACTTTCAGTACTATTGAACCTGCTGTCAAGGAACTCGCTTTGACTATTAAACAGAAAACAGGAACGGATGTCCTTGGTGTTCGGCACCAAGTCCCCTTTCAATAACTAAAGCCGTATGGCAATGAAACCCTAGCTCAGTACCACTACTCAGATGTGTGTGGTCGAGCACACAATTATCAACTTCAAAGCTCCCCCCCGCTAAGCTATGCAAAGTCTTAGGTGGACTAAGGAGACAACACAAAAGTTGCAGGAAAATAAAAGAAGAATGTGGAAAAACAAACAAATGGAGGCAGTACCAGGCTTGGTGGTTGTGGAGGATGATGAGCTTGTTGGATGTTGTTGTTCACTTCCTTACCTTTCTCGTATGTTCTTGCTACTCATCTTGATCCACCATCGACACCATAACTTCTTGACCTCGCACCATATGATACTTCCGTCTTCTTGACTTCGCACCATATGATACTTCCGCACGACGATCCCCCGGACCTTCTTAGCTAAGCACTTATGGCACGTATTTAGGTCCTCTCGCACCGTCCGAATACCTCAGTATTGTCTTGACGCATTACTGAGGTATGCTATCCATCACATTGTATTTACTTGTTACTGACGTACCCTACTAGCTAGTCTGTCGCTAGGTACTTCTCAATGTTAGTATTGTCTTGACGCATTACTGAGCTAGTCTGTCGCTAGCGTATAGGTTATGAGCCCTGTGCTCTAGAGGCACAGAAATCATACGCGACGCGAAAGACTCACGTTTATCTAACGGCTAAATGCAACAAACAACTCTCATCTGTCGCAAAGCGCAGTCATGGGGAAATTTGACCATATTCCAGAACTGACCAGCTCAGACAATTATCCGAGTTGGAGGCACGCAGTAGAACTAGCGCTTGCCGGAGAGGGTTTGTGGAATCACTGTAGCAACAGAACGAACCCTAGCGAACATCGCCGAGTTTGCCAGTGTCATGCCCACTCCCGCCACTGCAGGCCAACCGACAGCCTCTGAGCTTGTCCTTATAAAGGAATGGATTAAGGAGGACGCGCAGATGAAGGCAGTTATTGGAAGAAGACTCTCACCAGTTGTTCAAAACATGCTCGGCGAGAAGGTCACAGCTCGAGAGCAGTGGGACACACTCTCCAAATGTTTCGCCCATCTCGACGTCACCTCCCAATTTGAACTACGCACCCTACTATTTTGTGAGAAACTGAAGGACGCAGATGATGCTTCTCGTTACCTAGGAGTATTCAAAAACGGCCGTCGTCGCTTTGCAGAAATGGGAGTCACCTTCACAGATGATGATAGCATCTGGATGCTCCTCAATGGTCTACCTGATACCCCTCAGTGGGTCGTATTTCGAAGCCTGACAATGGCTCACTACAAACAGCCGTCAGCGACAACGTCGTCCACATCCGCTACCGTAGCGAAACTCACGTTCAAAGAAGTCGCAACCTCCTTCACTGAAGAAGCTAATCGTCAACGCGGTCATCAGCGCATGGGAGCACGCCCCGGCTCCGAGTATGCCAACGCCACTAGCATTCCCTTGACCGAGCGAAGAAGCAACCCTGCTACCGGTATACGCATCCACAAGCACAACCCCAAGGGGGTGGCCTGTGAAAACCCAGTATGCGCTGGACTGCCATGATCGATGATGTATGACCGCGATCATTGCATGCAGCAAGGGGGTGGCATGGAAGGGAAGTCCCCATGGGGAGGACGAGGAGAACGCGGAGGAAAGAGGAAGGATGTGGCAGCTTCAGCCACTGAGTCGAAACCTTCCACCCCTACAACACCTACCTCATCTTCCACCCCAGAGACGACGGCTCTCATGACAACAACCACTCACCATCGTGAATGGTCCTCAGCTGCTATTGAAGAGCTCAACCCGGACGCTGTACCAAACGAGGAGAACATGGCGTGTATTGCCAGTCAGGCCTTGTCCACCATCTTGGACTCTGGGACGACATCAAATCTTATAACAGATAGGTCGTACTTCTGGACGTACAACACCAAGTCCAAAGTAAAGGTCAAGACTGCCAATCATGGAACTTTAGCTACCTCCGGACACGGAGACTGTGTCGCCAAACTCACTATAAACAACCGCATACAGCGGATTCGCTTTAGTGACTGCCTTCACACTCCCGGCGCCTTGATTAATCTGCTATCAGTCGGGCACATGGTAGATAAAGGTTGGGCGATTCATTACTTACCATCACCCTCGTGCTGTCAACTCGTTTACCATGGCAATGACCTTGGCTCAGTTCCTTTGGTGGGGAAACTCGTATTTTTAGACCTGCGCTTCATTCCCCCTTCCACTTCATCACCGCATGCCAATTTTTCTGCATTCGCGAAGGTACCATTGTCCTGGGACTTATGGCATGCGCGTTTGGGCCACCCTGGAGGCGAGGCCGTTAAACGGCTCCCTTTATTCTCCACTGGCGCAAAGGTTGACACCACCTACCCGCTTCACACATGTGAACCCTGCATTATGGCAAAACACCCACACAAACCATACCCACCTTCCAAGACACCATGCGCAAAACACGTCCTCGACCTTATTCATTCTGACCTCTGCGGTCCGTTTCCTGTCGCCACGCCACATGGAAAACTTCACTTCATAATATTCCTCGACGACCACAGCAATCTTTTGAGCTTGCAGTTACTTGCAACCAAAGACCAGGCCCTCGAAGCTTGGGAGATCGTCAGGAAACGTTGGGAGAACTGCGCGAGTCAGAAGGTCAAGGTATTCCGTTCTGATAACAGTGGCGAGTTAATCGGGACTGCATTCACACAGGCCCTGGAAACCAGTGGCATCACTCGTCAGTTGTCTGCCCCATATGCTCACCAACAGAATGGTAAAGCAGAGCGCGCCATTCGCACAGTGGAAGGACGCCTCTTTGCCATGCTTGAAGCCGCCGGTTTACCTTCTAACTTGTGGGGAGAAGCAGCTCTCACAGTCTGTTACCTGTGGAACCGCAGTGAGTCCACTTCACTGCCACCAGGTACCACCCCATATGAGGTAGTCAATGGGCGCAAACCAGACCTGTCACACCTCCATGTATTCGGTGCCAAATGCTTTGCCCGAATCCCGTCTGAACTGCAGACAAAACTAGGCCCACACTCGCGCCATGCCATCTTTATGGGCTACCCAGACGGTATGAAAGGTTATCGCCTTTGAGACCAGGGAACCGGTGCATTCTTCACTGCCAGGGACGTCATTTTCGATGAAAACCTCCCTTCCATAAGTCACACTTGCAACTCGGACTCAGACTCTGACCAGGACCCACCTTCATCTCTGCTTATTCCTCCACCTGCTCCATCTGCTCCATCCCATCCTACACCTGCACTCTCACCAGCTCCAGCTCCACCACGTCATTCTTCCTGTTCTCGTGTCCTTACAGCGGCCGGCCACTCTTATGCGGAAGAGATGGCCACAGCAAAAGCTCGTCTTCAGGCACTTCGCATTGCCCGCTCGGAGAAAGTCGAAGAAGCAACAAGTGAGGGGGTGCCGGTAAAGTCTTCAGCGCTTGATGCCATCCCTGAAGACATCGCTGATGTGGAATCAAACACGGATGTTCCAGAGGTGATGACTAACCTCGTCATCGAGGAACAGACTAATGTGGCCATCCGGAGCAACCACAAACGTGATCCATCCAGCCCTGAGTACGACATGTCAGTCCCTCCCGCTACTTACGATGAGGCCATGAAGCACCCAGACCATGAGCGTTGGCTCGCTGCTATGAAGGCCGAGTTAGTGACGATGAAGGAGATGCAGGTGTACAAAGTCACCACCCTTCCAGCAGGACGTAAGGCCATCGGCAACCGCTGGGTACTTGAGTTTAAGGAGGATAACAAAGGAGGATCCACTTACAAAGCTCGGCTCGTCGCCCAGGGCTTCTCACAGATCCCCGGCATCGACTACAGCGCCACCTTTGCACCCATTATCAAGACAGCCTCAGTCAGATTCATAGCGGCTCTGGCTTGTCGCAATGATTGGGAGCTCGACACGTTCGATGCGAGGCGCGCGTTCCTTTGGGGGATCTTGAAGGAAGAAATATACATGAGGCAGCCTAAAGGGTTTGAGGAGGGGGATTGGACGCTCCTGGTTTGGCTCATGCTCAGAACCATTTACGGTCTGAAGCAGTCGGCCATGGAGTGGTATGAGCAGGTTCGTGCTGTCATGCTGGAGCTCGGGTTCACACGCTGCGCTGTAGATCATGCAGTGTTCATTTACGACAAAACCACTCCATCCTCTGGCCATATCCTTTGCATTGTGGGCTGGCACGTCGATGACGGCATGGGGACTTCGAACTCTAAGCCCTTTTTGCAGTATGTCAAGGGCCGTATAGCTCAACGATTCGGCATTAAGGACCTTGGGCCAATCCGGCGATTCCTGGGGATTCAGTTTGAGCGAGAGCGCTCTACCCGTCAGCTTTGGATGCACCAGGGAGAATATATATCCTACCTCCTCGACGAATACGACCTCCTAGATTGTAATCCCGTCCATCTTCCTCTTGATGCCAAGCACCCGTTCGGCCTTGACACAGATGCTTACGACGACATTGCCAATCTCCCCACTCGCTACCGTAAGATTGTGGGAGAGCTTTTGTACCTCGCCGTCTGCACCAGAGCGGACATTGCCTATGCTGTCAATGCTCTCGCCCAACACAATGCACAGCCATCACCCCGCTTTTACGCTGCCGCTAAACGCCTCCTTCATTACCTGAGTGGTACCATCAATTATAGATCTCATTATGGAGATGGCAGGGCTGATGAGGGCCTACGTGGGTATTGTGACGCTGACTGGGCGAGCTCACCTGAGGACAGACTCTCCATCTCTGGCTATGCCTGGTTCTTCGCTGGTGGACTGATTGCTCATGTGTCCAAGAAGCAGACCACTCACACATTGTCATCCACCGAGGCCGAGTATATGGCCATGACACACACCATACAGGAGGGTATCTGGATTAAATCCTTGTTCACGGCGCTACACGTCTCATTGTCCCTTCCCATCCTCCTGTACATGGACAATACAGGTGCCATCTCCCTTTCGAAGGAAGCAAAGAATCACATCCGTTCTAAACATATCGACATTCACTATCACTTCATCCGTGAGCATATCGAGAACGGCGTCTTCCTGCCCTACTGGCTGCCCTCACACCGAAACATCGCAGACATCCTGACAAAAGCTCTCCCTCGCCCTCTGTTTGTTGCGCACCGTGATAACCTTCAACTGGTGTCTCGGTGAGGGGGTGTGTTGGACATTGTTGTTCACTTCCTTACCTTTCTCGTATGTTCTTGCTACTCATCTTGATCCACCATCGACACCATAACTTCTTGACCTCGCACCATATGATACTTCCGTCTTCTTGACTTCGCACCATATGATACTTCCGCATGACGATCCCCCGGACCTTCTTAGCTAAGCACTTATGGCACGTATTTAGGTCCTCTCGCACCGTCCGAATACCTCAGTATTGTCTTGACGCATTACTGAGGTATGCTATCCATCACATTGTATTTACTTGTTACTGACGTACCCTACTAGCTAGTCTGTCGCTAGGTACTTCTCAATGTTAGTATTGTCTTGACGCATTACTGAGCTAGTCTGTCGCTAGCGTATAGAGCTCACACTAATGATGTCTCACAGAAGAGTACCTTCACCAATCTTCAACAGCTCTTCACTGTTGTTTGGCTATAGTCACACTTCACACTCAAGAACTGGGGGATAAAAACACACCCTTATTGAGAGAGAAGGGGCTGTTATATAGACAAAATTTAAGGGCTATGCTACCAGTACTTTAAGGTTCCTGTCAAGTCATCTCCAGTTAAACTGAGTCATATAAGCTAGTGTGAGTCATACTGAATCAAGTTGAATCATTGGGAGTCACTTTAGATGGTTGAGTCACTTGGGTATATAGATGAGTCATCTTGACTTGTTAGTCATGTGATTTCTCATGACAAAGCAGAAAAGGTCTGGACACTGATTATGTAAGGTACCAGTCCATGTGTTATGTTTATGTTTGTTTATTACATTTTCTGTTAGGGGCCAAACTGGTGTGGTGCTTTGTATTTAGGGTTTCCTGCACGTTCCCGCAGGACAACTTGTGTGGGAAATAATTTTCACAGTTACCTGACATGTGAGAAGTTCATGCTGAGTCATTTTTAAGCCAAATGAAATGAAACTGAATCCAAGAATAAATCCCCAAAAATATTCATTCCTGTAAACCAGGTTTGCAGAAGAATGAGGAGAAAGAAGCAAGTCCTTTTCCTGGGCCAGGCTTCTTATGAGAATGTTAGTCAGCCATGCACCAGACTAGTTTGGTGCAGGTCAACGCCACTCAGCAAATAATGTCGAGCAAAAGTACTCCTGTGCTGAGTCATGCCGTACCAGCTTTTGAAGAACTAATCATTCGGTGGGAGAAGATGGTGACACTTATTCCACACTGCGCACCTCTCATCGCGATAGGCCTCATCTGGGCTGACAAGTATGATGACCGAATGGCTGCTACAGACTCATATGCAGTCTCAATGTGTGAGTCTGGCGAATTGTTGATGGTATTTGATTTCTCACATGACTTTGTAGTCCTCAATCCTGCCATCCGGATGTCGTGGGTTCAAAAGCATTGGAGTGAAGCCCAAAGTAGCGCTGCCAAGTTGTTCATACTTGAGTTGGTACGTTTAATCTATCAATGTTACTGTTTGAAGTTTGAATTAATCATTTAATATTTCCTAGATGCGCGCCAAGAGAGCGGCATTGAAACCCACTGAAGTTGTTGGGCCTCCAGTGCCACAACAGCAGCCACGCTCGCTAGGCTCATGTCGCTATGGACTTCCTGATGTGAACTTGCTAGCGATTGTTGATGGGGGCCCCCAAACAGTCGAACAGGAGTTCAGAGTGTACAACACGGCTCCTCTCAGCAGCAAGGGGACAAATATCCTTGGATTTTGGCAGGTGAGTGCGAGTCTCCTCAAATTAAACCTCTCGTCATTGAACACCATGGGTCAGACAAATTTCTGAGACAGTTTTTCCAACTCTATTCACTATCGTGATGGACTATCTACCCGTGCAGGCCTCCGCTGTTCCGTGCGAATGGGTCTTCTCATCAAGTAGTGAAACCAACACCAAGAAACGGAATCGCATCGCCCCAGTGCTGATGGAGGCCCTGCAGATTGTCAAGTTCCTCCTGAAAAAAGAACGACTCAACTTTACTAAAGGTTGGGCGGCATCCCAAAAGGAGATGGAATACCAGATGGTGTTGGACGACTGTGACTCTGACGATGAGCGCATGCTCCCTGACAATGACAACATTACAGGTGACAGTCACGTCCATGATGCTCTTCTCAAGGCTATTGCCAAGTATGAGTGTGACAATATTGACAACACTGCCACTATCTATTCTCCGTGATGTTCATTTACTCTTTGTACTCAGTTTTATTGATTCCTACTTGATCTTACAATTGTTCTAGTTTTGTGTTTATCATAGACCATTTTCAATCATTACCCTCGTTCCCCCCCCCCAAGCGCATCTAATCTTTAATAGCTGACTTTTGCTTCACACAGATCTTCACGCTAATCACGCACTGTCCGAGAGGTACTGAAAGTACATCATTCCTATGTTCGCTGACCGAGCCCGAGTTTGACGAGCTCAAGAGCATGATCGACTCAGATCGCATATACAGTGGCTCAAAAAACCGTCCGTATGTTTTGGCATTTTTCACTATCTATAATATTGTGTGAGAACAAACAAATGCCTCAAAAACATGCTTATACCACATTGTAGTATGGCGTCAGGGCTTTCATTTGAGCCCTACACCGTGGGAATCGGTGGAGATATGGTGGAGATACAAGGCTCACAAAATGGTGACTCATGCGGACAGTTTTTTTGACTCAAGTATTTTACAGTAATAACCAGGTATTCTAGTATTTTGTATGACCTCCCTTGGCTTTAATTACTGCCTCTATCCTTCTAGGCATACTCTCAATTAATTTCTGGCAATCCTCAGCTGTGATCTTCCCCCATTCCACTGCTACTCTCTCCCAAAGCTCCCATACTCCTTTAGGGGGGTTTTCATAGGCTTGAAGCTTTTTCTTGAGTGTTCCCCAGAGATGTTCAATGACATTGACATCAGGAGACTGTGCTGGCCAGTCAAGAACATTGATGTTATGTTCTTCAAACCATTCCCTAGCTCTTCTGGATGTGTGCTTGGGATCATTATCCTGTTGGAAAATGATATCTTCTTCATCAATCCCTGATTCTGCCAAGCTAGGCAGCAAGTGGTCATTTAAAATGTCCACATACTGCTCAGCATTCATCTTCTCCTCAACCTCAGCAAGCATTCCCACACCATTCCATCCCATACAGCCCCATACCATCAAAGAACCTCCTCCAAACTTGACAGTCCCATTAACCTCTCTGTCTGTTAGGCCATCTCCCTTCTTTTTCCATACATACACCTTCCCATCTGACCCAATCCTATTGATTTTGGTCTCATCTGACCATATAACATGCTTCCAGTCCTCTACAGTCCAGTGTTGATGAGCTAAGGCAAAGGCTAGTCTTCTCTGCCTATGTTTGATGGAGAGAAGAGGCTTTTTCTTCTTTGTTACTGCCTTGAGATGAGCTGCCTTGAGAACATTCCTCACAGTTTGTGAAGAGACAGGGGGTAGTGATGGTGGAATTGATATAATGGGTGGCTTGGACAGCATTATCAGCCTTTCCTGTAGTGATATGTTGGATAATAGCCCTTTTGTCAGTAGAGGTAAGCTTGGATGGACGTCCTCCACAAGAGTTTTCCTTGTCTGGGTGGCTTTCTTTGATGAACTTGGCCACAGTGGACTTGCATATTCCAGTTCTAGAGGAAATTTGGCGAGCAGAGAGGCCAGCATAAGACAGAGAGAGGATATTATCTCTTTGAGCAGAGGAGATGGCTTTCATGGTGATTATGACTATGATACATGAGATATTCTGGTTTATATAGTTAGATATAGTCATAAAATAACATAATGACACCACTTTATAATTTATATAATAGTGGCATGATTTTTATGGTGTCATAAATAATGATTTATATAGTTTTAATATACACTCAAAAAACTGTCCACATGAGTCATCATTTTATAAGCCTTATATCTCCACCATATCTCCGCCGATTCCCACGGTGTAGGGCTCAAATAAAAGCCCTGAAGCCATACTACAATGTGGTATAAGTATGTCCTTGAGGAATTTGTTCATTCTCACACAATATCATAGATAGTGAAAAATGTCAAAACATGCGGACAGTTTTTTGAGCCACTGTACTCCTGGCTGGTGGAGAGTATAGCGTCCACTATCAACAAGGCCTTCTTTTGCAGCTCGCAGGCGGTGTCCACAAGCTAACAGCCGAGGGCATGCACATCCGTGGAGACATCAACATCTCCATTGTTGGCGATCCTTCTACCTCGTGAGTTTACTCCATTGCCACCATTTCCTTGTATCAGCAGTTGTTTTAGACACGTTTGAGATCAACCGCATTCAAGGACATTGCCGAAACAGAGGGGCTACTGTCACCTGGTTGGCCTCGGAGACGAGGGCTGGTTAAACTGGTCCAACTCCACCGACTTTGTGTTCGAGTATGTTGATCGTAAACCTTCAGCTCAGAATAAATTAACATTTTCTGACTTACCTCTAGTGTTTCTCAGGCTGGTAATCGTGTTTTGATGTACAGTGAGCAGCTCCGTGTCAGAAGCAGCATCTCCCCCTCCAGTATGTCCACATGTATCCGTGCTCCTGAATGTGTTGAATGCTGCACTGTTCGGCCTCCCAACGGTCCCAGTCTTTGCACCAGGAGCCTTTGATGCACTCAAAGCAGTGATGTCATCCAAAGTCCCGATAAGGGTATCAACTTTGATGTCAATTTGATCGACATCAAAGCAGTGATGTCATCCAAAGTCCCGATAAGGGTATCAACTTCGACATCATTGATCGGGGGGAATGACGTGTATCTGCCTTGTGCGTAAGCCCTCTCCCGTCCCAACAACGGCTTGCCAACTCTCTGACCACCACAGATCTGCACCCCACTTCCCCCCCTTCTTCTACTGCTACTGCTGCTCTCAGCCCTGCACCACCAGGTGCCCCCATCCTCCACGCAACCCTATCGCAGGGACTTGTCTATGATGTTTGTCTGCTGCAAAACTCTACATTTGGTTTCTTGACGAAACATTGCAGAAAAAGAGTCTGTATCATTCATCTGCGATCATCTCGTCGCTCGTAGAGACTGCTACGCTGCCCTTGAGGTATGTTATTCCAATAAGTTCTTTTAGTATGTCCTTCCCTTTACCCCCTGTGCATACCTGTACTCCCTTGTCTGATCCTAGTTCATTACACCAGAAACCTTCAACGATTTCTTCTACCACAAACTCAAGCCCTCTGTGCGCCCCACCGAAAGCCCCACTGACCCCTGCCGTCTCATTAGCGCTGCCGACTGCCGCCTCATGGTATTTGAAACCGTCTCTGAAGCCACCAAACTATGGATCAAAGGCTGTGAGTTCAGCATTGCGTGTTTACCTGTGCCAGAGTTGACGTTCACTGATCTGTACTGCAACTTCTCAACTGGTTTGTCAAATCAGGTGAGGATCATTTTTAACGCCTTAATCACACGAACCATGATTAAGCAAAAGTAATTACAGGTCGAGCATGATGTTTTTGCGAGGCGAAATGTAACTTAAGGGTTACTGGACCAAGACCTGGCAGCGTTTGATGCATGGTGTGACTTGTCATCGCTCCAGGAACCTCTGATCTCCAGGTATGTAGCAGGCTTGCTCTCCACACTGCACACCTCGCATTCACACTCGGAATCATTTACCGGACCCACCTGCGCTGAACAACAGACGACGACGACTTAGACACACGATGCCAACAATGCGCACAAAGTGAGTTGTTTGACATGTCATGCTAACGATAACTGGAGCATGAACATGGTATGTACATTGATTCACACTCGCAACCCACCCACTCACGACCCACCCACTCGCAACCTGTCACTCTCGCCACCCAGCGTAGCCACCTCACCCTCCAAGACTCTCGAAACTCTCTCTCCCCTCGAACTCTGCCCCTCTCAGCTTCCTCAGCTTCTCTTTCCCTCAACTTGGCCATATCAGCCTTGCGCTTGGCGCGATCTTGTGATTCTCTCACTTGAGTAAGGCTATAATAGTGCTAATTTTTGTTTTAGCATTTAATCGAGGCCTATCGGGACCACTTACATTGTTCTGAGGGCCCATTTTAGTGTTGTCTTTACACATAGAGTACGCTGGCGAGTTTGTATGCGATGATCAATATGAATATACAGCGTGTTAATTTCCTAATCGGGCTTTGGAGTCTTAATGATTTGGCATCTAAATTGTAATCTATTTTTGGACTTACATTATATTAAATTAAATTAATTTTCAGGCTTTAAACTGGTTTTAAACCTTAACTCAATTAAACCGTAATTATCTAAGCCGAGCCGGGCCATAAACGACGCAGGCTGAGTCACGTGATCCGATCAGTTATTTTTAAGTCTAGCTACAGCTAAAACCAGCATTAAGCCGAACTCGCGGCAACACTAGCTGTTCCGATTGAAATATATGTAGAGTTGTGAGCTCTGAAGTGCGTTGTGCATTGCCCATCGATTGTGCGTTATGGATCACTGGCAGGTGATAGTATTAGTGAAGGACTCCCAAACTGCCGGTGTGTCGAGGTGCCATAACATTCTTGTACACACATCACCTGCGCTTAAAGTAAACCCTACTGCAATAATTTGACAAAGACCAGGTAAGTAGCCTACAAGCCATATGGCTCCAGCCGTCTGATACACTTGGGCTGTGGTCTCTTCCATTCCCCTTTGTTTGGATCTGGCCATAAGGAAGCACTGTCCCATTGGACTTGAAATGGTGGCTCAGCGCCGGGAAATCCAAAGGGCCAAGTAGGTAAGTAGCACATCTCCTACATGACGAGGTCAGTCATTTCACAGAAAAGTAACTTGACTGTATGACATCGAAACCACAGGCAGGTCAGCATTTCACCCACACGCTCCAGTCTAACCAGGACATTAACTGTGTCACATCCTCCTTCCATTCACCCATGAGAGTATGTATGTGATCAGCTTTGGGGTGTTGTTCTCGAGGATACAAGGGGTCAACTCCAGTCATCATCCCAGATACCCACATCTTCGTGATGACGCGGCATATTTCACGCGTAGTTTCCCGTACTGCCTCCAGGAGCAAACGTTCAGAGGGCATCAATGTCGTCCCATGAGCTATGGAGGTCGTGTGCAATATAGCACATTCCTGAAAAATTGGCGCAGCCCATGAATTTGTCGCATTGGCAGTGACAGAAGTATTGGGAGGTAGAGCTGCAAACACGGTGTAGGGCAAAAGCACGGTGCGCAGTCGTCTCTGGACTTGTTGTGCGTGGCGAAAGATCGATCTATCATCCAGCGTCATGTTCACAAGGTACTGCATCATCTCCAGGCGGCTGGAATATCAATCAACCACCACCCGCAAGACGGTCTTCCAGTCAATGCCGCTGGTCGTCACGGGTGGTCGTATCAATGCTTGAGCTAACCTGTCTTGGACGCGTTCTATATCCTCTGATGATATTCCTTCCACTCGATGATCCCACCGGTCCAAGCCTACACAGCGCGGCACCAAGGAGGGAACAAGAGTGGTGTCGTAGAAAGAGACTAGCCCAGAAAAATCAAGCATAATCCGAGTTTCTCCTGGATACATTTCGTGCCATGAAGCAGAATGCATTATTTCAAAAACATGATGCACTGATGTCCGAGAATAAATCAGACCTATCCTAAACATGGTCATGGCTCACCATTATTGAGGTCCTCTGGCAGATCCGCAGGTGAGCTGTAACCGATGCGAGTGCTCTCGAGATTTAAGAATGAAACGACCTCCATGTGAGAAGTGAAGTCGCAGATCATGACCTCACTATAACCTGTCGTTAGTAACAAATCACCAAGGAACTATGTATGGGTTCGCACAAGTTCATTTCCATCCTATAACTCATAAATCAGCATTGGGCATTGATCCATCTCAAAATCCAACGAACCTCAAAAAGCCATTCACGCCAGATTTCTGACCCCATTTACACAGATCCATAATGTGCTTCCCTTCATTGCCCACCCACTCAGGATTCATCTTCGACCACACCACGAGATCTTGGGTATCCATCGTGCCCTCAGGGATTTTCGCACCACTGGTTCCGTCAAAATAGAGCACTTTCATCGGCCGAGTGACTTTAAGAGTGAGGTGCCAGCACCCTGTTTCAATTGGCCCTTGGCAGAAAACTATGGAGTGGTCTGGCTCTACAGACACCCATTCCAGAGCGGTCAGTAAATGGGGACCGGTGAGGGCTCCATGGTAGAGGAGAGTGCCTACGGGAACTTTAGTCCCTGGGACTATTGTATGACCTACAGGATGTAGTAAACAATGAGTTGTGAAATCAGTGTTCAGCATTTTCAGACATACCAATACGATAACGCGTGTTTGGCCAGTGTTGAAGCAGGGAAATTGGCCGTTTCGAACACCAGATGTCCTGTCGCGTTCACCGCAGGTGCTTCACTGAGATCCCATTGTCCAAGATCATTTTCGACCCCCGTGTAAAAAGATAAAGGCGCATGACTCAACAGAGGTGTTTGTGCAGTCAGGACCCATTCAAATGCAACTTGGGAAAAGCCATTATGATACAACTGCTTCTTTCCTGGTAGACAGCATTCCAACAAAGGCCAAGGGCCTTTCAAGTTGTAAGTTTAGTTATACTTATACGTCATTCATTCACGCGACCATCATGGGCCACAATGAGTGCCACTGAGAAGTTGGGATCGAGTTGCCAACCTTGGAGATCAGAGTCACTTTCCGTAGCAATCGTACTAATCAGTGAATCAGATAGCGGTCGAAATCAAACACGATCCTTGTGTCTGTGTATATCCAGCTGTGGAGGAGCACTCAGTTAACAGATGCTCCACCTGCTAAAAGAATCCATGCAGACATGCAGAACTGAGGGTCGAAAGAAAGACATATTTCATCAATAGCGCCCACGGTGGACCAGGGGTCCCAAGGGCAGGAGCTACACACCGAAGGGCCTGTCAGCCCTTTCCACAGCTTAGTCAGCATGTAGACTACTGTAGAGATACGCACCTAAGTTCGTCACACCACCACACGCCTAGCAAATCGAACCTATTTTGCGTGACGGTCACACCAATTTTGAGGCCGTCGAACCTAATCTGTGACATATGGTAAAAACATGAAAAAAATGTCTAGTGCAGCCAAAAGTCCTTGTACTGAGTGGAAAAGACAATTATAGTAGCCAAAGCGTCATTTTGTAACACTGTACGCAGGTTTAGAAGCAGTAATGTAGCGACAGAAAGGCTGCCAGAAGGAGCAATTAATATTGAGAATGGTGCAGGTATGGATAGCACATCCTGGAATTTAGCCTCTGAGGCAACACAGAGATCAGGCATGGTACAGAACTTTGAGGGGAAATGCTTCAGACCGTGTCCATTGAGTCGTGCGCTCGGTACTCAGTGCTCAGGCATGCCAAACATGGGAAGATCCACACTGACAAGACTTTACAACGACATATAGAGAAGATGTTGTGTTGCCGGACAGAAATAAAATTAGAGACAAAGCTTGTAGAGTGAGCACTTCCGGGTCGAGCGCAAGGATCAGCACACTTAGCGCTGCATATGTATATGAAGGAATGTGTCTGCCTAACATTGGGGAGCGGCAACTCAGCCAAAGAAAGTGTGGCATTATGTAAGCAAGAAATGCGGTCAAACGACACGACCGTTCGAACGTTATAACTTATATTGAACTACAACACCCGTACAACACCAAAACAGCTGTAGAATATTATAGTAAGTCAAAGTAATTAGTAAGCTTATTCTACTCAAAAAATTCAAGGCTCGTCCTCATCTTCACTCTCGCCTGTCTCCAAAGGAACCTCCTGTGTGGTTTTCTCGGTGTGTAACCTCCCCACTCGTGTAACGTGCGATAGCTTCCCTCAGGACCTTCAATTTGTCCTCCTTCCGCTTTGGCATGTCTTGTTTCGTGGTACATGTAAGTCAAACTCACGATGCCAATGAAGCTGTAGAACAATGTCAGCAACACGCATCTTGGCCAAGTCTGCATCCACAAGACAAGGCACAACGGCATCGAGCTTTGCAGTGGCGGCGTCCCTCCGTTCCTTCCTCCGCTTGTCAATCTCGTGGTTCTTTTCAATCAGCTTTCGGTCATACTCCACTTGTGCCCTCCTCCGTTTTCTCTCGCCTCCATTCGAGTCCAATTCCCGTGCCTTCCCACGAAGATACTTGCGCTGACGGCGTCCGAGAAATGTCTTGATGTAGGTACCAGTTTGATTTTTCTTATATTGAAGTCGTGCATTGAATTGTGACAGAGACATACGAGGGGCACGTCTGAGCGTGATGCGGAGGGTGCCGAGTGCACCCTCGTTTGCATCATTTGTGGTTTCCATGCGAGCGAGTTCCCGTTGGGGAGCAGTGCTTTTTGCAATGATACCGTCGGGTGCAAACTCTGCACAAAAGCGAAGGAGAGTTTCGCGACTTACCAACGCTTCGACACGTCTCGTGGATGGGATACTTACTCTGCATCACCACTCGCTCATGCGGAACGCCCTTCATCATCTCGCTTGCTCGATCTCAAGACCTTTTTTGATGGCATCCGGCCATCATCTGACAAGAAAGGGAAGCAAAAGGAGCGCCGGCCAAAACGAAATGCTCCCAAAGTCGTTGATGTTCCTCTCGGAATAGCAACACCTGTTCGTTTCGTGCAATCTTATTGGATTCTTGAGAACTGACCTCATCCTTTCGTTAGGGCGACGTTGTTGGTGTGGACGACGGAATACGACCATATGTACTCTTCTTTTGCCTCAGCTGGTTCCAGAAGAAGAAGAAACCGGATCCACCACGGCCGGTCTATGACGACGAACTCGACGACGACGAATCTGAACATGCCATTCTTGATATTCCTATATCTACTACACGGTAAGACAAGACTATTCACTTCTTAAATCGCTTGCCTGATGCACTGTCGTAGGACCCAAATCAACACCCACAAAGAATCAAATTGACACCAATGACTTTTTTTCAGTCACAGCCAGAGGCAGGACCATCTCGCCTTACAGAACACCCGGGAGCATAGTCTTCGTAGTTTCGAGCCTTCCACCGTGTTTTACATGTGGTACAATATTTGAGCCTTGCTGGTCCCGACGTTCACATTGGCCTTTGCTTTCTATCCACCATCCCACATATGCAATGTTACGCGTTCCTATGTTTTTGTACCTCCAATGCAGTCGAGTACTCTTCCGTATTCGGCTACCACCAACTCTGTTGTTATGCTACTAATCACAATCTCCTGCAGTATGCCAGTAGCGGCGTAAATCTTCGTTTGTAAGCATGTCACCATTTTCTAGACGCTCACATCTCAAACATATGTGCCGTCAGAAGTGCAATCGACTGGAGATTTGGTACGTCTACCAATACGTTAATACGTTAATATTTTGTACATGCCTTCACTTTTATATTATTTGACGCTTGTTTCAAGGCCGACGTTCTTCTTTCCTTCCTTTCTCCCACAACTCCTCACTCGAGTGCACTAGAGTGCTGAGGAATGTGTTTCATTGATGAAGACATCAGTTACAGAGCATATCCCCTCTCTGAATACATTCGTGTCGTATGATACGGATGTCCTTCAAGCATGCCCCGGATATTGGCAAAAGGGCCATGTTGAAGGGGACAATGATGACCAGTGACGCATTGATGGCTGGGACGAGGCAACATTGATGTCATCATTAGGAATGTCATACACATAGTCTGCATAACGCCTAGAGTTTCGCCAAGTTTTGCCCCCACAATATGTCCAGCACATCATCCATATTCCAAACCCCAGGCAATCACGAAGCTCAGCGGAAAGAGCTCCTTCATCCCTGTTTGTTCGTGGTAGACTGTCATAGTTTGTGTCAGGGCTTGTGTAGCTGCATGCTGATATATTGTTTAGCTACCAATCTGTCACCACTAGTAATTTTATGGCCATCAGACCGCTCGCGGTCAATTGGTTGGCGTCATCGTTTATCATCGACTTAAAAGAAAGACTCGAGTCGAGCTCCAAGTTGTACCAGTACGGTGCTAAAATTGTCCATGTCGGTATTTGCTTCGAGGATCGTGAGCTTTCACAACAAAGAAGTCGCTCGAATGGAGGCTACCGGATATAGAGAGAATTTGGTGGTGCTTCGTAAAAAAACAAATACATTCGAATCACGCATATGCATCGGCGTTGTGGCAAATTTGCATTTGACGAGGGCGTTTGGAGGTGAGGGACCGAGGGTACCGCCGTCGCTCCATGCAGTGCGTTGCGTTGTGATAACAGCGCAGTATGTATTTAGTGGGTATAAAACCACCTCTAACCCTGACCACGACTCCATCAGCATTAAGTAGCGAATTTGCATTTGACGAGGGCGGCTGGAGGTGAAGGTACCGCCGTCGCTCCATGCATCAACGCAACGTGTTTGTGTGTATTTGGTGGGTATAGAATTTGAACATACCCTTCACTGAAGCCTCTAACCCTAACCATGACAGCCACTATCACGCTGGGTAAAGTTCCATCAATCGGACGTTAAGCTTCGTCAGGAAGCAATACTGTATGTATTCTGTTTGTCCCCCTTTGAGCTGATGGTCTTTATTCTTAGGTCTTGTGGTATCCCAATTGGAGCGTAGCTTCGGCCTTATTGGCAGGGTCAACGACTTGCTGTATGAATTGTCTGCCTTCCTTGCGGGATTTTCGCTGCACTCGCGCGAACTATTGAGCCTGCCATTTGACAGATATGAACTTTGTCTCTACAAGGCATGGTAGGCCAATCTTACCAATTTGCCTCAATGGTACAGGTTCGAACGGGTCTTATTGGCTCGCCGTCCGCACATAAGGTGAATCATTTCGCTAACTGCACCTAGAGAGTTGAGCTATTTCAGTGACTGTCTTCTGTTGCCGGAAACTCCCGACAACAGTCCGTGAGGTGTGCATAGAGAGTTGACAGGTCACGCGGCAAACATATATTTGAGAATATTCAGTGGGAAATATATACAAAGGCGTAATTGAAAATACATCTGATGCCCCATCAGGTCGATCCAGCTGTATTTCAGCTGTATCGTGTTTTTCAATAGTTGGTGGATCGTAAAGTATATCACACTGAACTTCTATGATAGGCCGAAGCCTACGGGACAACAAACATCGAACATATATTATTATCTGCTCCTCAGTGGTTCAGCTATGTATAGTGGCCGTTGGAGCTATTCCACGTTCAGGTGCTCCTCGGTTAATGACGCCCGTTCTCCCAAAAATATATTTATCGTCCTTCTCAACACTCATACCAGACAAAAAGCGCTCCAGATCAACATTTGGGAATGTTTATGGTTCAAGACCTTGTGCTTTAACTCCACATACCATGCTACTAATTGCAGTTACGCACAAGCTACGCATATATTGAATATCCTCAAATACCGAATCACACACCACATTTGCAAGCAAAGGTGCATGTTCTCCTATTCCAAGTTTCCGGGGCACAGAACCCGCCCGTGCGGTTGCTTCCGGGACGGGAGAAGAATGATAATGTCGACCAGAACGGCAGAAGAATCATTGATGTCCCAGCTTGCTGGTTTACAGGGGGTCGGTGAACACTAGTTCTGATTGTGCGGCTGATTCTCTGTCCGCTACCCCACCCGGTGAAGCTTGAGATCTGGTGCCAAAGACCCCAGCAAATTCCTTCGAGTTGTCGCATCAAGAACATCGGTTTTAATGCGATTGCCGACCTTCGGCGTTGCGACTGCTTTATGGGTGAGAGCGCATTTTTTTTCAACTGTGTGGTCCAGGCTGGAAGATCATCCCAATGCTTATCACTGACACACGAAGTTGACTGACAATTTGACTGCTTCATTCCGTTTTTGCGACTGGTCCAGGCTGGAAGACACCGACATTGCTTATCGCCACCTTCGAAGCAGATCGACGGTTTGACCGATTCATGGCGGAGAGCGCGTTTTTGCGGCTGGCTGAAAGACCCGGTCAATGCTTATCGCAGATCTTTGCAGTTGATGAAGGTTGATTGCTTTTGTGGCTGGTTGGACGACGAGGTCAATACTTATCATCACTGCCACTTCGGGGGTCCCAATTAATTCACATGACGTCAATGGCTTTCCCGCTTCCAAGAGAGACACCACAGTATTAGTGCTCCACAAGGGAAATGTCACAGCTCATGAATACGTGAAACCGAGTAACTGGATACATCCAGAAGATAGATAAAGTTCCGTCTGGAGTGGCCACAGGGTCCGATTGCATCTTCGCGAAACAGTTAAAGCGAACTATTTACCGAGAGGAGCGAAGCTGACTAGGCGCATCTGACGCAAGTAGAGATACACATACGACGAATTGCTCCCCCTGAGCGCGCGCTATTAGATAGGCAACGTTTGTGCCGTTAGGCACGAAGAAAAAGATTTGCGAACCTTTTGAAACGAGGGTCCTGAGGGGTTCTGCCAGTTCTGCCACGGGGACCAATCCAACCACATGGTTTGAAATGACATGTGAGAACACTTCGCTACTATCAGGTTCTTGCGAACAATGAGATATAGCGTGGCGAAAGTGGTGATGCTGTAGCACAAAGTCGAACCCGTCGGAAGTGGATCTTCCGAGTCCGTAAGTTAGGGGACGTTAGCCAAATCAGTTTACACCAAACCCGTTTGTAATTGGAGCGACCTTATCTATTCGCTAGCCACCCTGTAATCATTATCTGGGGCGCCGCTGAGCGCGTCGATGAGGAGTGATAAGTGATGTCCCCACGTTAGTTGTCCCAATGCAGAGACAAAATACGGCACGGTCCGCACGGAAATAAATGTGACAAAGATAGATAGACTTCGCAAATATGCACTGCTTACAGGCTACAAACAGTGACCGTGCGGGAGCTAGTGCAATTAGTACGCGGCTTAGACTCCTTCCATGTCTCCCATGTGAAATGATAGGCCACCTGAATTGATAAAGGAGATATGATCTTGTGCTCCAGTAGCGGAAACTGAGGAAACCTACCGTAACGATAACTACCAATGGCAGCCCTTGTTTCAGAGACTTGTCGTAATGCAGCACTATATGAAGCCAATCAATAGTGGAGCGTTATGCTTTGTACGCTCGGGCCGCTAGATCAGGAACTCCCAGAAGTAGGAGATAAATTTCACGTAGTAGCCGTAAAGATATGATATGATGAGATCAATATATGATATGAATTGGTTCGAATGTGGAATGCGACGAAAAAGAAATAATTACGGGTCCTGGGTTGCCCGGAGGTCCGTGACGAATTACAAGATGTGTCGCGTCAATTTTACCTAATCTGGAAATAAAGGTCCCGGCAAAGAGGCCAAATTTTTGATTTTTTTTTGAAAAACTGGTATGTATACCCGGGGCGCAACGTTGGTTCTTTATCGATCGCACACATAACCCTAATTAGGCAACTCTTGAAGTTCACTTCAGCCGCTGTCGTCCCTTGTCGTCCTGCCCAAGCCCAGTCGTACATGTCCGGTATTCGGTAACTGTCAATGAACTTATCATTTAGCAGGACACTACCGTGATGAAACGGGCACCACCTCTTTAGTATGGTGTGAAATTGGCAACCTTCTCTGTCAAGGCAACTCCACTGCTGCAACTTCTAGCAATTTTTTTATCCCTTGACGTCATTTACAAAACAAGGTGGATTGTTAGACGCGAGAGTATATAAGATGGGGTCAGCAATCGACCAAAAGTCAGTTCGTTAGCCCCTTCAGCCCTTCTACTACAGCCTCTCCTATATACCTCGATACCCACCCTCCTCATAGACTCATAACCCCCACCATCTTGAACGAAATCATAATGTCATCTCCGAACGTTCACACATTCTATGCCGACGCTGTCCTGTTCGACATGGTGTGTATTTTCTTTCGTTGGTATTCCAAATCTAACTCGGCCAGTGCATTACAGGACGGTACCCTCACGGACTCTATTGCGGCTGTCGAGGCAGCTTGGGGTAAAGTCGCCAAAGACATTGGTCAAGACCCCGCTTACGTTATCGCTGCAACCCACGGCAAGCGCGCCGTCGATAATCTCGCGCAATTTAAGCCCCATATCAAGGCACATGAGATGGACGATGAGGTACAAAATTTCGAGAACACCATTCTCTTCTTCGCCGATGCCTACAACATGCACGGACCCGGCTCGCAACCCAGCTCACCTGTCAGCTCGCCGTTCATAAATTCCCCTCTTAGCTCCGGTTACGCGACCCCCCGATCTTTCGATTTCCCCAAGCAGTTCTGCGCCTTCTTCTCGTGCATCATCATTCGTATCACCTCGCCGGCCATCATTTGCCAGCAAGCTAAATAGCATGCTGACTATGTCGGTTGTACCCGAAGCTTCTGTCTACGGTCAGGGTCCCCAATTCGAGAACTCCATCATGGAGGAAGATCAACAGGACATCGTCATGTTCGAGGCGAATCAAAAAGAAACACGTCCTCGAGGCTTGGCAACAGGAAGCAACGAGTGTTGATCGCTCAGTGCGGATTTTGCCCGGTGTAAAGAGAATGATAAGTTCCATTCCCGAAGGCCGTTACGCCGTCGCCACCTCTGGCGCAAAAACATATGGTATGTGGATTTCTATTTGCGAAAAAGTATAATACTTATCATCGTTACAGCATATGGTTGCATGACTCGTGTTGGCATTACCCCCGCCCAAGATAACCATTACCGCAGACGACAAGCGTCTCAAGGCTGGAAAGCCTGCCCCAGACCCATTCCTTCTCGCTGCCAGCGAACTCGGTTTTTCTGCGAAAAACTGTGTCGTGTTCGAGGACTCCCCAAGTGGGATCCGCGCAGGTGTGGCTAGCGGTGCCCACTGTAATTGCTGTGTGCACCAGCCATGAGAGGAGACAGATCGAGAACTCTGGCGCCCACTTTTTGGTGGAAAACATGGACAAAGTGAAATGCGAGTCGTGTGCGGACGGCAGACTCAAGTTCACCGTGCAACTATGATTATTCTTCACTGCTTCAGTGTATCCCTAGTCTTGACTCTTGACCTTCCTTCAGTGGAAAGGCCGCGTGATTATCTTCCCTTTTTATTTCCATCTGTACAACACGATTCTCACTCAGATCTGCATTCCACTTCGGGATGCTTGTACACGTACAGAGTACTTGAATACTCTTGTAATTCGAATAGAATTTCTCAATCTAGCGGCGCTGTGCGGACTACAGTTGTTCGGCGACAACATCATATCAGACTCGAAGGACCGATCGTGAGTGATTTCGATTTTGATCTCCCCTGACCCTTGCAAGGTACAGTCCTCGGTAAAGAAGGGTACGTTCTGTCGAAGACTAGCACCACTGCATGGTAGTACTGGTGGATAAGTGGGTGGATGTGTTCTGAACTTCTGAATTTCAATGTGCACAACTCATTGCACTTGCTGGAATTATCCTATTCGAAATTGTAACTACCAATAAGTTGCACTGGCTGGAAATCTCCCATTCGAAATTGTAAGTACTACCAATAAGTAGAGCCTTGTCACGGTGCACCAACGCCGTCGGACTTGGAGATTTCAGTCCCGATTGATGAGGAAGACCAGAAGCCTCCACGTGGGGATCAAATCACAAAATATTGTTTGACAGAAACCGATGAGGTCGGCATCGGGCGCCATGGAAGATGATCTATGAAGCGCCACATAATCTGATATATTCCAACTTGAGCGTACCAAAGCACAGGTATTATGTGGGTATTTTCCGTCTTGTCCCTGCAGGCCTGCCCTCTGACAGCAAGCTTTATCTGACGTCTCGTCCCTTTAATCGTTAATCGCGTCCCTAACTCTCCTTCCCAGCGACCTCATCCAAAAACGCATTTGAAAGCTTCACGCACTGCTCGTAGACCTCCTTGAACCCATCCTGCGCCGCTATTTCTGAGACCAGTTCTCTGTTCATGGTAACAACGAAGACAGACTCACCAGCCCCCCATAATACGGGTCCTGAATCGGCTTGTTGTCTGGCAGGTAAGAGCCCCAAAGCTTCACCGTCGCTTTCGATCCTTCTCTGTGACCGACATGTCGCTCCAGCGCGCGCAAGTTAGAACCGTCAGCCGCGAGTATGTAGTCGAATGATGTGAAATCTGAAGCGCGGACTTGCCGCGCAGAGTGGGATATAGGGACGTCTTTCTGCAGGTGGCATAGTACTCCTACATATTAAGATGCTGGGTGAGGAAAGGAGCATACCGTGCCGCATACTTCGATAGTCCTATGGTCCACAATAGCCTGAGTCCTGCGGGGTCATACAAGAGTACGGATGCCTACTCACCGTTCGTCAGGATCTTCCCCGATATGTGCTGCAGCTGTGCCAGCGCTGTCGACGTGGATATCGGTGATGCCGCGCTTGAGGGCTTCGTTGCGGAGCACGGCTTCTCCCATGGGAGAGCGGCAGATGTTGCCGAGGCAGACGACGAGGACTGAGATTGTCATCTGTTGGCTTAAGGCTAGTGTGGCGAGTGTAGGGTCTTATCAGTTTGTTATCAGTGAGAAGCGCCGCGCAGTACTAGTCTTCCTTCTATGGTGTGGTACCTAGGAATCAGGTCCTTGGTAGGCGCTCAAACGCTCACACGGTTCATTGACTTCATTTCCTTCAGAGAAGATAGATAGGATAACTATGTTGCGCCCTAACAAAGAGTACTAGTACACATATAGTCACCAAGAACATCTCGTAGAACAACTGTACCTGTCCTTCTACTAACCAAATCAAAGTAAGGCACTCGTAAATTAACCAACGCCGGTGCACTGACCATCATGTGCTCACTTTCATCACAGGCACATTTATGTTCTTGTGCGTTCCTAACTGAAGGCATGACTCGTGATCATGATCAATTCCGAGTCGGCAACCCAACGTGTTCGATCAATGTCAATATTAGGTGTTGATTTACATCTTGTTCAGACCCCATGTGTCCCCCAAAAAAGAACAAATAACACATACTACATGTACAACATTTGTAGCAATCACTCCCAATGAAAATATGGACAATACAGGACGTTGGATGGTCGGAGGTGAGAACGGTAGAGAGATTAGTCTTCAATGGGATGCTGGCACTGCATCCAGAATGGACCTGAGTTCCGGTATTAGTCCCTCATGTGAGAAATTGACATCTGTACACACCAATGGGATCCTGTAGGTCATGCATGGTCGTAGACCAAGCTCCAAGAACTCCATATTGAGAACGGATGTTGCCCATAACAATCGCTTCACCCCTGTTTTAGAGTAAATGGTTACCAAATGATGGATAATGTAAGCGCGAGGACCATACCACCACACTGGCTGATCTCCGTTACCAGCGACCTGTACCCGATCTCAACGTCAGCAAGAACAAATTGACTTGACTGGCGAAACTTACAAAGTGCCATCGTATCTGGTCGTCAGGCGTGAGTTTGACGTAGCCGACGATGGAGAAATTGCCATCCATCTCTCCTACGTAGTTGATTTTTGGCCGTGCCGGATGATCCGGGTCTTGCTCGACATTGATTACGCGGAAAAATATGTCTATTGCACTGAACGTCTCTTCCAACTCTCCCTCTTCAAATATAGTGTGATCAAGTGGTTCATCCTCCGGCGACTATAAAATTTCCGTCAGATGGGACAATAATTATAGGTAACAAGGGCAGTAGACATACATTGGGGTCATTATAGACTAGACGGGAACAATGTGCCACGTCAGAGACAAATCGAAGAACAAGAACATCGATAGCTTACTTAGTAACTCCCGATGATCCATGAAACAATAGGAGATGCGCCACAAGCCTTCGACGCCAGCCCAATCATTCTCGCGGTTCAGATTCAGGCTGGGCGGTATGACGGCCTGGCAGAATGTCAGGCTCAGGGAGCAACTTTCAAAAGCAAGTTCTTCATCCCCCTCCCTCTCCAATAACGCGCTAGCGAAGACGTGTGCGAGCTTCTGCATATGCACCCAATTGACTACTCCACTCCCATCTCGCATAAAAGGCCCAAAGTTGTTTGAGGACAGGTAGTTGCGCTGACTGTAAACATATGCTCGGGATATTACTCTCGTCGTTGCCAAAGCGTCTCTGTCAGTCAACCCAAACCATGTGTGCAAGCGTGCGCGTAGTTGTTCTTCTTCATGCGAATGGCTCTCCAGATCAAGGAACACGCCGTCCTGCAGGAGCGTCTGCATCCACAACACATTACGGGACGTTGGCTCGCTCTCAGGGAAAGGTAGAGGCGGTACGTTCGTCACTATGTCGAGCAGGGTTCGTAGCACCTGACATCTTTCATCTGGTCGACAGACAGTAATATCATTCACGACTGTCTTTGCGCGGATGATGCGCTGTAGCTCTTCCCTCCATTTGATGTCAGTCCGGCGTTTGCCGAGGTAGGTGACCGCCTGACGGGGATCATCAAATGACTGTGCCAAGTAAAGAGCTCGCCAGAAATGCTCATCATCGTCAGAGTAGACGAGCCTGCGGAAGAGTCGACACACTTGGGCTGTACTTGCGACATCAATGGGGTCCGAAATCACCAGAATATGCTCTAATACTTCAAGCGGCAGGTCGGTTATACAAGCGGGATCAGAAACCATTGGACAGCGTCAAGCCGAGGTTGGTGAGAAAACGTCAAGGACGACCGGAGGAAGGGCTGGCTACGTGAAGGGGTCGTTCAACTAGGTTGGAAAGGAAGAGTTTTGGAGGGATCATGATATGGTTCAATAAACACTCAAAAAAATTCTTTCACTATCGGGGTCGTGTGGGTAGCATGCTCTGAATCGAGCAACTTACTAAAATCAATAGAATTTATTTTCAATGTGGAAGTGATCATTCTCCTCCCTGAGTGTGTGTATACTATTTTACTCGAGGGCACGATGTGATTCCGGCATCAATTACTTGGCACTAGTAGCAGCTTAGGGGTGACCGAATGATGATCACTTGCCGGGGGTGTACATACTTTGGCATCACAAATGTTATACGGCAGAAACCGGCGAGTAAAGCCACCGTACTGCATCCAGCCTGATGAAATCTCATCTGGAATGGTTGAGCGGTCATCTCGAAGCGTTATAATGTCTGTAGTACCCGACCTGCATTTCGTCGCCATGCCTCAGCTCCCAGTACTGGGTATGCTGATGCGGTATACCGTCTTGCGCACATGTCGGTGCTGTGTTAGGAGGGACAGAGAGCTAGAATTTCATAGAGCCCCCCTTTTGGAGCTCCCCCTGCGTTGCCTTGGTAGCAGAGCGGTGGTATGTCAATGGGGCTGAATGCGGCACGGCGACAGAGAGGGAACGACCAAACGGAAGATCACAGATAAATGTAAATGCACTGTTCACAGCGTCTGGCGCGCAGTATGGCGGCATCGAGGTATTGGGACGGTTGGTAGCACCAAATTGTTTTTGCGTTTGTACATCCATCTCTAGATCTGTTAGTATGTGGTTGAGCATACTGCCTGATGGGATGCATAGATCCGTAGAGTCCTCCAATCAAAAAATAGACTCGCTACCATATTTAGAGGTGGAGGTTGAAAGGGGTCCTTGCCAGCGTGCAAAAATGGCTGGTTCGAGCCTGCTAGTGCTGTTCATGGTCGGAATGCTCGATGAACAGAAGACCTTCCGCCAAAACACGAGAAACAATGGCTTTGGCAGTCATAACTTCAGTCTCTCAGATCGTGCGAGGAACCACGTACAAGAAAAGCCGGGCGTGGGTAGCTTGAAGTAATAGGCCGGTGTGTATTTGTGTACTCACAAGAAGAGCGAAGCCGGGGTAATGAATGCGCGGTACATATAATTATGTGACAGCGAGATTTGGACCGGGGCTGGAAGCGGAAATTTAGTAAAGTTCGAGATGTCGATGCATATCGAAGTTGGACTCGAGAGATTTTGAGAACTTGAACTAAATGCTTCCTAGCCTGGTGGCGAAAAGTTGGTGTGCCGGGACCTTATAATGTTGCATGTTCGGAAGTGATGAATGAAGGTTGGACGTCTATTGAGGCACACACCCATGATCGCGTCCAGATATAGCCCAGTTCCAAGTTGTATGATACATCGGCTAGCGGGACAGAAGGTGAGTGAGTACAGTTGCTGCTGCGCACCTGAATTAGCCTTCTTGCTCTCCGTCCGCGGGTTGCGGCATAGTCCTTGTCCTCGACAGGTTTTTTTCAGCCCCTTTCTGTTGTCGCGCCAGCAGTGCGTACCGACGATGGGAGTTATTGAGTCCTATAGGGCTTGTACATCTCAATGTACGGGGGGATTTGAACACTGCATACAAGCGCCAAAACTGGTCTGCGGCAACTCAACATGCTGCATGAACCTGCCTTAATGTTCGGTTAGCGGAGGTAATATCACTGGCAGCGCGGAAGGGGCTAATTTCATCGCGAACCACCACATATAGGTCAAGTGCCAAAGACTCGAGTTTCACGGATTCGCCGGGAGCTTTAGAAGTCACCCTAAACGCCCAAAAGAAGGCGAAGCGACCTCGAACTTTAATCTGCGTTTGGCTACGGCATGATGCATGAGACATAGGAGGACGTGGCAGGTAAGTACAATTTTATGTTGAGACAAAGCTGCAATTGGTAACAGGGGATATCGAAAAACAAGAGAAATTGAATCGCCGTGACCGGAATGAGTTGACTATTGTCCCGAACATTGATTATGTAACATGAGCGCAACGCGCAACGTTATGAAGGAAGCCGAAATTACATGGCTAACACGTTTTCAGCTTTCACGACACTCTTTACTATTTCCTCTCGTTGGCAGGCCCACCTAGACTTCTACTCTCAAGAACGTGCCCAGTAAACGACGCGCCCCATACAGGTCCCCTAAGGCACATCAAAATTCGAAAGACGTACGATCCAAGTATACCGATTAACGTCGGGCTCACGCGCACAATTATACTTCAGCACTCTACTGATTGTTGTATTATTGTCTATGCCCGCAATGATTGCTGCTAGAGGTCCACCTGCGCCCGCACTTCCTCCGCACAGACGATCGACGAATTATGGCTACTACAACCCGATGGATGGTGGGGGGAGTATGCTTAGCGTGCGTTTTTTTTATGTTTCCTATACGTGGAGTCGTATTATGGGACGATGTTGATGTGAGAAATACGCTCTACAGCAAGTTCAGGACACCTATCCGGCAGGCCTCGGAGAAACCCATAAACGTCATCATTTCTGCCTACTCTGATTCTCAAGTGCTGCAGAATACTGTGACAAACGGTGGTCTTATCAATTATTTTCAGTGAGCACGGTCCTCTGTTCTTGTGGAGTTGTTCTTACGTGCAGGCAGATCATTCGGGTTCTCGACCGAGTGTTTGGGACAGAGTGACGATAGCGTGCAAACCGCTAATCTTGGCGACGGGAGCGGTTACTGTACGTTTCCTTTAATTATGATTCGGCTCTGCCCGGAGCTCAGTATTTCAGTAAACCAGACTGCCGTCATACGGTGGGACTATGGTGATGCCAATTTTGGAACTTGCCAGGAGTCGGTCGAAGGAGGGAACCACTTTCGCTATTGGATACAGAATGGGCCAAGCGCTGACTCAGGCGCAATATTCATGGCAACTTCATATGAAATGCCTATCGCCGGTGCGTCAGAGATGTAATTTTGATTAGAATTTTTAATGACTATGTTTCAGAGCAGCATAATATCATAGTCAATGGGTAGGTGCGAATTGTTTTTCAATTGTCTCCGACTTACATCCCGTAGTTATGACCTAGGTCGAGACTGGCTCGTTGGGAATGCTACCTTCCAATCGACAATTCTTCCAACAGCAAACATGACCAACACATCGACGTACTCGGGGCAAACATCCTTTAATAGTTTTACATATTCGACCACTGTGACGTATGTCTCTGGGCTGCTACAGAACACTAGCAATGGCATCAACCACTATCAGACTGTCGCTGTGAATGGCCAAAATGCGATCGATGGACTAGTGGCGGTATTAACCGTTAAGATGGTCCAGCAAGCCAGTAGTAGTTCAAGCGCGTGGGTCCCCGTCTCGGTTACGACGCATGTCCATTTGTGCTAACTTCGTGCAATGCACTAGTGCGGAATGGACACATCGTCCCAAAGGACTTTCCTGGACACTCCTTGCAATGGCATGTGTGATACTCGTGTCATTGCTCTAGATTTACAGACCCCATTATGGATATTCTCGAACAGTGGTTACACTACACGATATTACCTCGGACGTTCTTGAACGACGAACCTTTATTCATAACCATGTCTGCAGGCATACCTCCGCATAGTATATTTCATCCCTGATCTCACCTGCTAGCTGATACTCATATGTATATTTCTGGTATACTACTACTTATTCCTTCATTTGTAAGTTCGGTGCTCAGACCATGACTTTTAGAACCTAGACATTCACGCTTTGACGGATTACTTGTATCTATGTCTTGTATCAGCTAAGCTTGCCTGGTGATAATATCATGTTCTCGCCCGTATGAGCTGATCGTTTTCTGATACTGTTCAAACATGGATGCATAATATATATCATATAATACTTGGGGTCGTGTATATTATCGTTACATTTGTTACATGAAGATCAACAATGGTATTGGTTGGGTATTGGGTCGCATGAGGTTGCTGCTGACGACTAATAACCAGACCTATCGTAGGCAGTTTCCTTGGCTGCGAAACAGTCAATTCGAGTGTTACGTCGAGTAAGATCCGTCATGCTCACCATGATGCTTGGCCTTCTGTCTGTCTATGGCGTCCAACTAGATTAATAATTCACGTTAGGGGTTGCACAGATAATGGGGTAAGATAAAACGTACACCCTTCGTCTCGACCATGCGGTCGATAAAGGCTCCACCAAAGGCAGCTCTGTGGTTAGTGTCAGTCACGATGTATGTCCGAGTCTTTTGCGGTCGAGAGACTTACAAGAGCTCCTTGGCCTTCTCGTGGTTTGCAGGCTGGCCGTTTTTCGCGCAGTGCTCATTGTAAGCTTTCATTGCCTGCAATGATATGTTGAGGTCGGATGGGAAGATCGATAAGCAGAGGAACGATAACTCACCTCGTAAGAAGCTGCAGCAGCTAGCAGCTCATGAGAGAGCTTTGCCTTGTGGGGTGCATTAATGACCTGCGATGCTCACGATTAGATGGAACATGTATTGGATGACTGGTCAACTACCTGGTTATGTGCGTCAGAAAGGTCTTTGTGGTGGTCGTGATGATGCGGCATGCTGATGAAGGAATGGTAGGTATGTAATGGGTGATTGTGTGAAGATGAGACTCAGAAGGATAAGGTACTTATACTGTTCGCATTTCGTTGGCTAGCCAACTTTAGCACAGGTCCAGATAGATTCTGTACATTTCTGGGGATCTTGTTGATGTTTCGGGTTTGACGGTCTCGCGTAGGTGACTACCGGTGTGTATGCGCACATTGACAATTATCTTATCTAATCCCATAAGGAAGGTATAAGTGCATCCAAAAAATTACGTAATAAGTTCAACTGGTGACTGCTTCCACAAGTTGTTTGACTCATGTTCCGTTCACTGTGTCATTGCGAGTCAACCTTCCGTCTGGGATTTGGACTGCCTACAGGAGACTATATAATGTCCTCTCTGCTCGACTCTTCCAAATCACTTGCTCTCATGTCTTCAAACTTTTTTTTGTATCCTATTCTCTCTGAAATTGCGGCATCGCCTTGCCATATCATGATATCACCCGCAGTCTGAGCGGACACTGCCTCCGAATGCTGGCGCACTGCACTATTCACTTGTGAAAGGGGACTACTCCAGGCAATGCTGAGCGCTTGGCGAATATTCGAACCATTTTCACCGCCTTCACACTACACCGCATCGAGACCATCGTGACCCTACTCGGCACGTGTCAATCAACGGCTCAAGGCAAATTCCGACTTACTTCCCGAGGATTTCATAAACGGTACATAGCAACACGATTTATCACGATATCAAAGATCTAGCATACTAACTCTGTGTATTAGACTGTTACATCCAGCATACCTGCCGGTCACTCGGTGCTCGCTATGTACTTAGTGATAGGCAGGCCTGCGTTGCATCTCGTGTCCTGGCTCCCATCGCTGGCTTAGAATTGTTCCCTGACCTCATTCGAGAACAGATTCATTAATCGTGTCTCAATACAGAGATCAGAAACAATTCACTGGATTGGATCTCCAAAAAGGGGGTTGATCATGTGCCTTGATTAAGTTGGTCCATTGCATGTAATCATTGTGATGGTAATCGCCTAATCAAGCGCACAATGCTGCTGGAGTTGTCAGCATTCTGCAACTTTCCTAGGGAAGAATAGCCTCTCGCACAGAAGGTTCCAAGATCTACTAGCTTGCGGCGATCAAACAGCATCGGAACGTCAGCTCTTCCGTGTCTCTGACTGTTCCAGAAGCAACTACTGTGCCGACCCTTTCGCATCAAACTATGGGGCAATCGAATACGGATTAATAAGAGCAGCTCTCGCAGTTGCCGACGGCGCAGGTATCGCAGCTAGGAGAACTTGAACACTATAGCTCGCAGCAGCTGCGATCGCGCAGTCTCCTTGGCTCGCACGCATTACTCGCCAACACATTGTATAACGTGTTTTCTCTGCCGCAGCTATTCGCAAGGCTGTGCGACCCGTTGGCCGGCAAGCCATCCGATTGGCACTTGTGATGGACAGCGGGCCGCCATCCTGGCATGCCGCAGCCTTATTGTCCAAGCCGTGGTTGTCGAGGGTGAGTCAGGATGCGGTAACGACGGCTCAGCCACTAATATAGTCCCGATGCCATCGGAGTGACTCTGACGATGTACTATGATTTTTGGAGTGTTTTCCAACGTTTGAACCGCCATTTTTTGGTAACTTGTAAGGAGAATGAAGGCAGTTGTCTTGCCGGATGATTTTTCAACCAGTAACATATGTTTTTGTTTTTCCAATATCTGTCGGTTGTTTTAAAATCACCGGATTTGCTGTACCTTTCACACTATTTTGGGAAATGTGCGGCTCTGAGCTTGAAAAGCGGTGAAAAAACTCCCATATAAGCACACACGAGTCACAAATTTCCTCCATATCTCTTTCCCCTCAAACCACCAGCTGGCACCTGAGAGCAGCTTTTGCACTGCTCAGGCGTCCAACGAGTCTTAAAGTACTCAAAGCTAACCGTGAGTGACTCAGTCCTGTCTGATTCATTTCATTGTGTTCTACGTTTGGTTTGGCTGCATTGCATTGCTGCGCACAATCATATCAGAATCACATTACCGATTTCTATCAAATCGATTGAAATCAAGAGTGCGCGTGGCTAAACAATGTCCGCGTATAATCATCCATCGACCTCGAGGTCACCTGATCTGTCTCGTACATTGCCCCTCTCTGGGCCTTCACGAACATCTTCAGTGCAGCCTTTGGGGTCAGGGGAGTCATTGCGATGCAACGCACGCTCACCGCTCTTACCTCAATACCATGCTCAACGTGATATGAACGGGAAACTGACTGCGTCGTCGTCCAGAGCTTCCAGGCAGCCGACGTTGCCGCCTGCGTCAGACTCTACCTTTAACACGTCCCCCTTTCCCGCAATTTCACATAAACCTACCCATTACATTAACCAACATGTTCTCGATCCACCACTTGTGAATCGCTCGTTGTTCTCGCACCAACCTGGTCCATCGCAATCACCCGGTCACCATGTCTCGCATAATTTCCTTGAAAGTTCCCAACTTTCAAGTTCCTCGTCCACTCGCCATGTCGCGATAAACAGTAACTCAACACGTCAAACGACGTCTACTCCGGTCTTCAATAACATTTCGGATCTTGCAGCCCACTATGGGATACCCCAATCTTTGCCCAGTGCCCCTCGTACAACTCCTAGTAGACCAGAACCAGGAGAACCATCTTCAACACTCTCTGTTGAATCTTTCGGACCTACAAACTCACCCGATTTTGCCAATTTGTGCTCGAATTACTTGAACATGTTGTCACAAAAAATAGACAACAACGACGCGACCGTTGTCCACGGTGAGGACACGGCGCTCTGGACGGCCACGCCGTCTGACGCTGAAGCCATTCTGACGGTCATGGACGTTTCTCGGTGGTAAGTTATTCACTCCCACCATATTTGCGTGGCTTACACGATGGGTACCAGCCACACCGGAACTAAGTGACTTGAATGAATACCTCACTTCACCCATAATCGACTCACCCTTCGATGATGAGTTGCTCACTACGCCCGCATTCGGCTCTGCGGACATCAATGCGGACATCCTCACGAGTCCGCTTTTGGATGATTTCGGGGGTGACTCGTTTGGCGAACTACCATCTCTTTTTGGTGATTTCGGTACTATTTATCCCCCAAGCAAGCCCACCGAGTCCTACCACATCCCCGAACCCAACTTCGATGCGCTGTATCAAATGTCGCCCGACACTCCATTCGAATCTCCCCTTGAATCTCCTGCCAATCGTCCACCGCAGCGGAAAGTTGCTGTCACAGGCACGCGTAAGAACATTACGCCGGAGGCCCTTGTCCCTGTCGATGCTCCCACGCAGCAGCGCAAGTACCTTACCCCATCAGCAACCTCTCGCAAGGAGGGTTCCTGCTGTTTTCGCTCGGAAGCGAGCGCGTGCGGTTGCTTTCGGTGAGGAGCAAGACGAGCTCACCGAGGATGTGCACATCAGCCCTTCCATGACTGAGCAGGAACAAATTGAGGCAAAGAGGCGCCAAAACACAATCGCTGCTCGACGAAGTCGCAAGCGCAAGTTGGAGTACCAACGTGAATTGGAGGAGAGTGTTGAGCAGTACAAGCGCGAAAGTGAGATCTGGAAATCGAAGGCAATGACTTACCAGGCCCTACTGCGAAGTCATAACATCGAGTATCCCGAGCTTCCAGACCCATGAAAGCCACTCAAGTAGTCTCGTCATTCTCTTTGTCGTTCTTTTGATACCTGATAGTTCTGAACTTCGATGCTCTGTGTATTCTTATTATGTTCACCATCCCCATCCCTTTCACATCCACTGGCGAAGAGCATCGTCGTATCCCCTTCCCACATGTTCATGATCCCTCCTGACCTACGTTTTTTCGTTCCCACTTCCGATATTTTCTTGATCTTTATCCTCTTATCCTCATCACGCGTTGCCATCTAGTAGTATTCACGTTCCCCGCCTATATGCCCAAGGTTGATTACATATGCGTTATCGATTAGATCTGCAAATCAAAAGTAATGGTTTCTGCGTTGTCATTAATGGTTCGAACTTGTCCGTGCGACTGTGAATTGAGGCTATGCCAACTAAACTTGTCATTGAACAACCAAGAGCGTCAAGGTTCTACGTGAAACGATCTGGGCCTGAAGATTTGACTAATACTTACGCAATACCAACACTTTGTCTTGAAAGGCTGCCGACTCGCCATTACACGATTAAATCCTTCAGGTCATTCTACGTCCGTTGACCTTAAGCACGAGGCCCGTGCTCGCAGGCTCCTGACAACTGACATGTTCTTCACGTCAACTTCGAGCAGCAGCTACGAACGTCTTGAGGGCGGCTTCGGTCCAGGTCGTACGGCTAGGATGCTAGCATGGAAGAAGTTTGCAATTGGCGCTGTAGTGCTCATCTCTGTGGTTTGGCTTTTTGGACCGAGATCGAGCATAGATTTGATACCCGGTGCGTCTTGCGATAATTGTCGTGAAGGAATGGATGCATTTACATATCATGAAATATAGATTCGTCATTGCCTGGCATGGATCCCCCAGTAGTACATACACCCACAAAGACAACTCCTTCGAATCCCTCAGAGGATGAAATCGACATTCACAAGACTACTGCTACGTCGCCACCCTCCCAAACCTCCTTCCCTACCTCCCCAGAAACAGACCCAGACCTCCTCAAAACTGTACACTGTACATCCCCACATTCTCCTACCCTCCCTCTTGTGCAGTATGCCCTCATGATTGACGCCGGTTCAACTGGCTCGCGCATCCACATCTACAAATTCCACAACTGCGGACCCTCGCCAACCTTCGAGTATGAGGTGTTCCGCATGATCCAACCAGGGCTCTCTTCGCATGCAGGATTCCCAACTGCAGCGGCAGAGAGTCTTGACCTTCTCCTCGACGAAGCCATGACCGTGGTGCCAGAATCTTTGCAAAGTTGCACGCCTGTCGCTGTTAAAGCCACCGCTGGGCTTCGACTTCTCGGCGCCCACCAAAGCGATAGTATTCTCACAGCAGTGCATGACCACATCCTCTCCAAATACCCCTTCCCATTTCCCGATAAGGATGGTGTTGTCATTATGGATGGCAAAGACGAGGGTGTTTATGCGTGGATCACCGCAAATTACCTTCTTAATACCATCAGAGGTGATTCGCCCAAGGACGCTCCGCCCTATGCTGTGCTCGATTTGGGTGGAGGGTCCACGCAGATCGTGTTCGAACCCCAGTTTGGCGATGAGAAAAGCGACAATGGTCTCAAGGAGGGCGAACACAAGTATGAGCTTGAGTTTGGTGGGGCTAAGCGAGTGTTATACCAGCACTCATATCTTGGATATGGCCTCAAGAGCGCTCGGGAGAGCGTGCATCGTGTCGTCCAATTCATGGATTCTCTGAGGTCGAGCAAGGATGGCGCTAATGATCGGATGAGAATGGTTCACAACCCTTGCTTGGCTCAAGGGTCGGTGAAAAGAGGTGACGCTTCCTGGGGCAGATGGCGATACCGTGACAGTGACGATGACGGGATCGGATGTTGGCAGTTTTGAGGCTTGCAATCGTATCTTGGAGCTTGTCATGGCAAAGGATGAGTAAGTCCTTTCGTTTTCTATCGACATCCTTCGTGATTGTTGATCGCTCGCAATAGCGTTTGTGAACTCAAACCCTGCTCCTTCAATGGTGTTTACCAGCCATCACTCCTGGACGCCTTCCCTAACGGAAAAATCCTTCTTCTCTCGTATTTCTTCGATCGGATCACACCGTTGCTTTTAGCAGACTCATCACCAGATCATCCCCAGCCCCCCATGTCAATTTCAACATTCGCCACGCTTGCTAAACAGGTCTGCGCGGGACCTACCAGCTGGGAACAGCACTGGGGCGCGTATCCTGATATCATGGAGGAACTAGAAGGTCGACCAGAGTGGTGCCTTGATCTCAGTTTCCAGCACGCCTTGCTGGTCCTTGGCTACGAGTTTGGTGATGATCGGGAGGTGCAGCTTGGGAAGCGTATTGAAGGCACAGAGCTCGGTTGGTGTCTTGGTGCCACGATAGCGATGGTGGGTGGAAATCTACGTTGTCGGGTGTAGTGCCCAACAAGGACAGTCCGTAAAATAATGTGGAGTCATCATCTCACTGAGTAGATGTAACACAGAGAACTGTCATTACCCGCGCGGCGCGCAACACGTTTGATTATTTATCTCATCTAGTCTCTCATGTGCAGACCGTCATAGTAAGATCCTCCGGGCGAGTACTTGTGGAGTAACTGAGGTACTACCCCTAGTATACGGGGCAACGCGTGTACTTGTTTTTACGTTTGTAATTCCGGCTGCGAGCCTACAACTGCCATTGTACACCTTATCGACGAGCTGGCAGTGACGAACGGCTTCTCATCTAATGAGGCCGAATCCGTGCTGCATTGGCTGGCCAATCGACGTATCGGAGTCACATCCGTAGACGCGCCTCATGCCGTCACACGTCGTGACTGATGCTAAGCGCTAAGTCCTCAAATTCGTCTAACGTCGTTGATTTGGGCTTTTTGTTATTATGTCCGAGTCTGCTCTATTTAATCTCGCCTCGCGTGGGCGCAGACCTCAAGACCGTGAGGCCTTGAGGGTTAGCCTAAGGTTAGCCAGAAGCCTGAGATAGGCGATGGTGCGGGGTACGTCCTGGCCACAGGTGGCTATATACTACGCGTAATAGGAGAGTAATAGGACTCGGAGGTGCGTGCTTTTACATCTGCGTGCGATCATTAATCAAGAAAGCAGGTTCTTGTAGACTGCCGTTGTACTCCTTATCGATGAGCTAGCCAACTAGGGGCGGGCGGCCCGCCCCACTAGCCGGACAGCAACCGCCTCATTGGAATGAGTTCACGTGTGATGTGCCACTTCTTCTATCGGTCATTCCTTCGTACAACCATTGGCAGCAGCTCTATGCGTGGATAACGCTAAATTTAGATATGGTAGAGACAGCAGTCGCGGGATCGCCTCTTCTCCGCCTGTCTATATCTCTCGTATCACCATGATTGCGCGTCAGGATGACGAGGAGACACCTCTTCTCCAACGACCAACGACCAGGACACCTCTTCCCTGGGATCAATTCTGGATTATACTGTTCTTGCAGGTGTCAGATCCTCTTTCTCGCCAGACCCTTGCCCCGTTTGTTCCTCAAGTGCGTATATTCCATTTGCCTGTACTTGAATCTGACCACAATTGGAACTTGTCAAGCTCGTTAGAGATATTGGAGTGACTCACGGAGACGAATCCCAGGTTGGTCACTATGTCGGTATCCTTGTAAGCTTGTCTTCATCGTTCCTACCCGTTCGTTCCTTCTTAATCTTCTCCCAAGGAATCAACATACTATGCAGCTCATGTGCTAACTATTTTTCATTGGAGTCAATTGTCTGACCACATCGGGCGGAAGCCTGTAATACTGGTATCTCTGTTAGCAATTTCTGTTTCGATGCTTTCGTTTGGGCTGTCGAAGACCTTCGTTGTCCTGATGGTTAGGTCAGTGTGTTCAGTTAAATATCAAATGGCAGTTGTGACCGTCAATTACTAATGTTCTTAACCAGTCGTGCCGTCTGCGGAGCATTTGATGGGAGCAATGGTGTCATCATAAACATAGTGATGGACATCACTGACGTAACCAATATGCCCAAGGCATTCGCTTATGTACAAATTCCGTGGATGATCGCAAAAATAGTTGGGTAGGCATACAGTACATTTGCTCTTGCACTGAGGTTCACGGTATCTAGACCACTCATTGGAGGATCGCTCTCCCGACCAGCAGACAGATTCCCTGACATCTTTGGGCGATCAGAACTCCTCAAAACTTACCCATATCTCCTGCCATGTTCTATCTCGACGATTTTTGTATCGATAGCTTGGCTAGTCGCGTATTTCTGTCTTAAAGAGGTGAGCGTAATGTTGAAAACCCATACTGGATCACACTAAGTGTAGTAACAAGAGCGTTTCTACCAGGATATCACTTTGGGAGCTAATCAAAGGAGGATCCTTCCCACAGTCATACCAAAAGCCTCACCAGCCATCGAGCGATGTGCCAGTCAATCCTAGGGAAGCGAATACTGGAAGAGTCCAATCAAAGCCGCTTCCGCTCCGCGCCCTGCTAACTCCAAAGGTCCTGACTGTAACAGCGAGTTACGCCACTGCGGCTCTGTTTCACATGGCGTTTACTTCGGTCCTACCTGTTTTCTATGCAACATCGATTGAACTCGGTGGTCTTTCCCTCGACCCTCCTCGCATTGGTGTTATACTTGCAGCACAAGGTGCCGCACATGGCATATTTCAGCTGCTTTTCTACGCTCGTTTACATGATCACTTCGGTGCAAGAGCTGTCCAAATCGCTGGCGTTAGCTCCGGCATACCCATCGTCATTTTATTTCCAGTAATTAATGCTCTGGCTCGATCCCATGGGATAGGTTTGGCTGTGTGGCTATGTGTTGCCATCCAGCTTTCACTGACAATCAGCCTGATCATGTGCTTTCGTATGTCAATCCAGTACTTCATGCGTTCTGCTGAACTGAGAAGAACACATAGCTACCTTACCATCATTCGTCAAAGCGGCTGCTCCAAATCGTGCCTCGCTCGGAGCAACCAATGGTATCGCCCAGATGTTCGCCGCAGTAGCAAGGGTCATTGGCCCAGCGTCTGCAGCTTCGGTGTTCTCTTATTCGATGCAGGAAGGGCATGATGCGTGGTTGGTATACTACTTCTTGACAGCAATTGCATGTCTCGCCGTAGGTATTTCTCTATTACTTCCCCGAGATCCTAGAGTATGGGAAGATCCCCAATAGCGAACGACCGCGTGTCGTCTGTTTGCAGCCATGTTAGTACATCTTCCGGGTATATAGAATGCGATAGTCAAGCCTGAGCCTATGTAGGCGACAGTGCGGGGTACATGCCCACCCCTGGCCACAGTGTAATCAGATCATCCGTCCCTGAGACAGCATGATCGTCACTGTGGTCCATTACTCGTGCTTTGAATTCCCTTGCAGCTGATGTGGGCCCGCAGGAGGTGCTGCTTTGGAAGTGTATTGAAGCTAGTTTGGTTGGTGTCCAACTTGAAATTTGAAACTTGAAGTTGATTCCAACTTCGTGCACGGAAATATATATACATTGTCGGGTGTACTAGTGCCTGGCCAAATGACGTATCGGAGCCATCGCACCACTGACTGATGCTAAGTCCTCAAATCGTTTAACGTCGTTGATTTGGGCTTTTGGTTATTATGTCTGCTCTGTTTAATCTCGCCTCGCGTGGGCACAGACCTCAAGACCGTGAGGCCTTGAGGATTAGCCTAAGGTTAACCAGCCATAAGCCTGAGATTCTCTAGGCGATGGTGCGGGGTACGTCCTGGCCACAGGTGGCTGTATACGTGGCTATATGCGTAATAAGAGAGTAATAGGACTCGGAGGTGCTTGCTTTTACATTTGCGTGTGATCATTAATCAGGAAAAGCAGGTTCTTGTAGACTGCCGTTGTACTCCTTATCGAATCGATGAGCTAGCCAACTAGCCGGTCAGCAACCGCCTCATTGGAATGAGTTCACGTGTGATGTGCCACTTCTTCTATCGGTCATTCCCTCATACAACCATTGGCAGCGGTTCTATGCGTAGATAAGGCCAAATACAGAGACAGTGTCGCGCGATTGCCTCTTCTCCGTCTGTCCAGATCTCTCGCATCACCATGATTGCGCATCAGGATGACGAGGAGACACCTCTTCTGCAACGACCAACGACCAGGACACCTCTTCCCTGGGATCAATTCTGGGTTATATTGTTCTTGCAGCTGTCAGAACCTCTTTCTTCTAAGACCCTTTCCCCGTTTGTTCCTCAAGTGCGTATATTCCATTTGCCTGGACTTGAATCTGACCACAATTGGAACTTGTCAAGCTCATTAAAGACATTGGAGTGACTCACGGAGACGAATCCCAGGTTGGTCACTATGTCGGCATCCTTGTAAGCGTGTCTTCATCGTTCCTACCTCTTCGTTCGTTCCTGATATTCTCCTGAGGAATCATCATACTATGCAGCTCATATGCTGACTATTTTTCATTGGACCCAACTGTCTGACCACATTGGGCGGAAGCCTGTAATATTGATAGCTCTATTAGCAATTTCCGTTTCGATGCTTTCGTTTGGGCTGTCGAAGACCTTCCTTGGTCTGGTGGTTAGGTCAGTGTGTTCAGTTCAACATCAAATAGTAGTTGTGACCGTCAATTACTGATATTCTTGACCAGTCGTGCTGTCAGCGGAGCATTTGATGGGAGCAATACTGTCATCAAGAGCATGGTGATGGATATCACTGACATAACCAATATGCCCAAGGCCTACGGTTATATACCGATTCCATGGATGATCGGAAAAACAGCTGGGTAGGCATACAGTACATTTGCTCTTGCACTGAGGTTCACGGCATGTAGACCACTCATTGGGGGATCGCTCTCCCGACCAGCAGACAGATTCCCTGATATCTTTGGGCAATCAGAACTCCTCAAATTCTACCCATATCTCCTGCCGTGTTCTATTTCGACAATTTTTGCATCGATATCTTGGCTAGTCGCGTATTTCTGTCTTAAAGAGGTGAGCGCGATGTTGAAAACCCATATCTAGATCACACTAAGTGTGGTAACAAGAGCGTTTCTACCAAGACATCACTTTGGGAGCTAATCAAAGGAGGATTCTTCCGACAGTCATACTCAAATTCTCACCAGCCATCGAGCAATGTGCTAATTAATCCTGGGGGAGCTCAACCAAAGCCGCTTCCGCTGCGCGCCTTGCTGACTCCAAAAGTCCTGACTATAACAGTAAATTTTGCCACTATGGCTTTGTTTCACATGGCGTTTACTTCGGTCCTACCTGTTTTCTATGCGACATCGATTGAACTCGGTGGTCTTTCCCTCGACCCTCCTCGCATTGGCGTTATACTAGCAGCACAAGGTGCCGCACATGGCATATTTCAGCTACTTTTCTACGCTCGTTTACATGATCACTTCGGTGCAAAAGCCATCCATTTCACTGGCGTTAGCTCCGGCATACCCATCGTCATTTTATTTCCAGTGATCAATGCTCTGGCTCGATCCCATGGGATAGGATTGGCTGTGTGCTGTGTGTTGCCATCCAGCTTGCGCTGACGATCAGCCTGGTCATGTGCTACCGTATGACAATCCAGCACTTCATGCGTTCTACTGAACTGAGAAGAGCCTACAGCCTGCTTGGCATTATTCATCAAAGCAGCTGCTCCCAATCGCGCCTCGCTTGGAGCAACCAATGGAATTACCCAGATGGTTGCCGCAATTGCAAGGATCATTGCCCAGCGTCTGCAGCTTCGGTTTTCTCTTATTCAATGCAGGAAGGGCATGATGCGTGGTTGGTATACTATTTCTTGATGGCAATTACATTTCTTGCAGTAGGTGTTTCTCTATTACTTCCCCGAGATCCTAGTTGTATGGGAAGATCACCAATAGCGAACGGCCGCGTGTTATCTGTTTACAGTCATGTCAGTGCATCTTCCGGGTATATAGAATGCGGTAGTCAAGCCTGAGTCTATGTAGGCGACAGTGCGGTGTACATACCTATCCCTGGCTACAGGCGCCTATACGGGGCTACATGCGTAATAGGAGATGCCTACTTTTACGTCAGCGTGCGATGCTCTTAGTCACTGATCAGAAAAAGCAGGTTCTTGTGGACTGCCGTTGTACTCCTTATCAACGAGCTAGCCAACAAGTCGGTCAGCAACCGCCTCATTGGACTAAGTTCACGTATATATCAATAATGGCTGTTCAAGTTGTTCCCTCGTACAGCCATTGGCAGCGGTTCTATGCGTGGATAAGGCCAAATACAGAGACAGTGTCGCGCGATTGCCTTTTCTCCGTCTGTCCAGATCTCTCGTATCACCATGATTGCGCGCCAGGATGACGAGGAGACACCTCTTCTGCAACGTCCAGGGCAGCCAACGACTAGAACACCTCTGCCTTGGAATCAATTCTGGATTATACTGTTCTTGCAGGTGTCAGAACCTCTTTCTTTTCAAACCCTTGCCCCGTTTATTTCCTCAAGTGAGTATATTCTATTTACTTGGACTTGAATCTGACCACAATCGGAACATTGTCAAGCTCATTAGAGACATTGGAGTGACTCACGGAGACGAATCTCAGGTTGGCCACTATGTCGGTATCCTTGTAAGCGTGTCCTCATCGTTCCTACCCCTTCGTTCCTCGCTGATATTCTCCCGAGGAATCATCATACTATGCAGCTCATGTCCTGACTATTTTTCATTGGAGTCAACTGTCTGACCACATTGGGCGGAAGCCCGTAATATTGATAGCTCTATTAGCAATGTCTGTTTCGATGCTTTCGTTTGGGTTGTCGAAGACATTCCCTGGTTTGGTGGTTAGGTCAGTGTGTTAAATATCGAATAGTAATTGTGATCGTCGATTACTGATACTCTTGACCAGTCTTGTTGTCGCGGAGCATTTGATGGGAGCAATAGTGTCATCAAGAGCATGGTGATGGACATCACTGACGTAACGAATTTGCCCAATGCAATTCGGTTATGTACCAATTCCATGGATGATCGGACAAACAGCTGGGTAGGCATACAGTATACTATTTGCTCTTGCACTGAGGTTCACGGCATCTAGACCACTCATTGGGGGATCGCTCTCCCGACCAGCAGACAGATTCCCTGATATCTTTGGGCAATCAGATCTCCTCAAAACCTACCCATATCTCCTGCCATGCTCTATTTCGGCAACTTTTGTATCAATAGCTTGGCTAGTCACGTATTTCCGTCTTAAAGAGGTGAGCACGATGTTGAAACACATCTAGATCAAACTAAGTGTAGTAACAAGAGTGTTTCTACCAAGACGTCACTTTGGGAGCTCATCAAAGGAGGATTCTTCCGACAGTCATACTCAAAGCCTTACCAGCCATCGAGCAATGTGCTAGTTAATCCTGGGGAAGAGAATTCTGGAGAAGCTCAATCAAAGCCGCTTCCGCTGCGCGCCTTGCTAACCCCGAAAGTTTCGACTGTAGCAGCAAATTATGCCACCACGGGCCTGTTTCACATGGCGTTTACTTCGGTCCTACCTGTTTTCTATGCGACATCGATTGAACTCGGTGGTCTTTCCCTCGACCCTCCTCGCATTGGCGTTATACTAGCAGGCACAAGGTGCCGCACATGGCATATTTCAGCTACTTTTCTACGCTCGTTTACATGATCGCTTCGGTGCAAAAAGCCATCCATTTCACTGGCGTTAGCTCCGGCATACCCATCGTCATTTTATTTCCAGTGATCAATGCTCTGGCTCGATCCCATGGGATAGGATTGGCTGTGTGGCTGTGTGTTGCCATCCAGCTTGCGCTGACGATCAGCCTGATCATGTGCTACCGTATGCCAATCCAGTACTTTATGCGTTCTGCTGAACTGAGAAGAACCCATAGCCTCCTTAGCATTATTCGTCAGAACAGCTGCTCCCAGTCGCGCCTCGCTCGGAGCAACCAACGGAATTGCCCAGATGTTTCTCGCAGGAGCAAGGATCATTGGCCCAGCGTCTGCAGCTTCGGTGTTCTCTTATTCGATGCAGGAAGGGCATGATGCGTGGTTGGTATACTACTTCTTGACGGCAATTGCATGTCTCGCTGTGGGTGTTTCTCTATTACTTCCCCGAGATCCTAGTGTATGGGAAGATCACCAATAGCGAACGGCCGCAGTGTTATACGTTTACAGTCATGTCAGTGCATCTTCCGGGTATAAAAAATGAAGTAGTCGAGCAGAGACCCTCCTTGTTCGTAACTTAACACTGAAGATATCTTCCTTCCTGGGAGCTCTCTGAGTGCTTTCAACGAAAGCAATTATTAAGATGGAGATGTGAATGGTGTGTAATTCGTCGTGTTCCTCTGACGCTATATCAATCCTGACTCATATCCGCGACTGCGACTCTCCCAAGCGACTCAGACTGAGATATCCCCAGTAATCGAGAATCTTATCGTGTTTTCTGGATGCTCGTCTTTGCAAACATGACAGTGTACTATCATTTGCCACGTAGAGATGCAGATTGCACGAAAACTCTCGAGTCCAGACGATTATGGCATTGATCAGCTGGATACAGTACTGACATGCATATTCTGAACTCCGAGTCATGGAGGAACTACTAAGGCCAGCTAGCATCATGACCTGACCGCGACTTTCATCGTATGCGCCATGACTCATGCTGTGGCACCGTCGTAACATGCTCCACAAATCACTGGGCTGGGCTTTGTACTGTCATGCCTACTTGAAATTATATGCCCTCGTGTGCTGGACGTCTACAGCTGGGGTACGTACCATCCCAACCTAATGCAGACCTGCCCGTGCTTCTGGATAATAATAGTACTTAAGAGGTTCCGTTCAAGCGAGCTGTCACCAGATTCGAGAAGCAGCATATTCCTATGAACGATGTACCCTCGGTATCATGATGTGTGTTCTCTGTACGTACTTTCTTTTACATACACATTCACTTATTGATACACGCTTCACCCACGTTCACGTTTCATTCTCCGTTTCAACGATTCTTTAATGTACTCCTTCGTACGATATAGTTTTTCCCTCAGTCTTTCTAGTCAAGAGGTGAGCACAATTCGCTACTATGTCTGCATGCATATACTTAAAGCTTCGCAATTATTGTCCCATCGTCTTCTAGGTATGCACTTGTCGTAGTTCAGTATTTCTAACCAAGACTGAGTTATTCTTCCTTTGTCTTCTAGTCCGAGCCTCTTCACCTCGTGAGGCTTCGACTAACCAAGGAGCCACTCAATCGGCGACCGAGTTCAATAGTCTGCGCCCATCGTCATCTTTCTCTCGTACCACCATGATAGCACTCCAAGATGACGAGGAGACTCCTCTTCTCCAACGGCCAGAGCAGCGGATGGCCCGAACTTCACCTCTGCCATGGGATCAATTCTGGATCATATTGTTCTTGCAGTTTTCAGATTCGCTTGTTTTCAGACCCTTGCTCCATTTACCCCTCAAGTGAGTATATTCCCTCTGCTTGGACTTGAATCTGATCGCAAGAATTTTGTCAAGCTGATCAGAGACATCGGCGTGACTAACGGAGACGAATCCCAGGTTGGACACTATGTCGGCATCCTGGTGAGCATGTCACGATCCTTCGTTACATTCCTTCCTGATGTCGTTCCGAGCAATCGTCGTATTATACGGCTCAAGCACTGACTATCTTCCATTGGAGTCAACTATCTGATCACATTGGGCGGAAGCCAGTGATACTGACCGCTTTATTCGCCATATCGATTTCGATGTTCTCGTTCGGACTGTCGAAAAATTTTGTCCATCTGGTGATCAGGTTTGGGTGTTTAATAACCACCATAAGCGTCAAGTACTGATTTACTGATCAGCCGTGCTTTCTGTGGGGCATTCAATGGGAGTAATGGGGTCATCAAAAGCATGGTGATGGACATCACTGACACAACCAACTTGCCGAAGGCATACAGCTATATGCCGCTCCCATAGATGTTGGGGACCTTAGTTGGGTAGGATAAAACATCTCTTATTCGTGAAACGGGATTCACGATAGCCTAGACCACTCGTTGGTGGATCGCTCTCCAGACCAGTGGACAGATTCCCTGAGATTTTTGGGCGATCAAAACTCCTGACAACCTACCCATACCTCTTACCATGCGCCGTTCCAGCTATATTCGCCCTGGTGGCTTGGTTAGTCACGTATTCTCGTTTCAAAGAGGTGAGGGAGATTTTCTAAAGACCATGTCTGGATCACACTAAGTGCGGTAACGAGAGCGTTTCAACAAGGGCACCTTTTTGGGAGCTGATTAAAGGATGGCTCTTGCGACAGTCATACGCAAAGCATTTTCCGCCATCGAGAAGTGCTCTGGCCATTTCTGGAGTAGCAAACTCTGAAGAAGTTCCATCAAAACCGCTGCCACTGTGCGCCTTGCTAACTCCAAAGGTCCTGACTGTAACAGCAAGTTATGTCACCATGGCTCTGTTTTACATGGCATTTAGTTCTGTTCTACCTGTTTTCTACTCGACGCCGATTGAACTAGGTGGCCTTTCCCTTGACCCTCCCCATATTGGTGCTATACTTGCGGTATCAGGTGTTGCCCATGGCGTATTCCAGCTACTTTTCTACGCACGGCTACACGATCGCTTCGGTGCAAGAGCCATCCATATCGCTGGCGTTGGCTCCGGCGTACCTATCATCATTTTATTCCCTGTGATCAACACGCTCGCTCGAGTCCATGGCCTGGGTTGGGCAGTGTGGTTGTCTGTTGGCGTTCAATTTTCGCTGGCAACTAGCTTGGTTATGTGCTATCGTATGTCAACCAAGCATTTCTGGCGTCTTACTTGACTGAGAGGCCATAGCCTGCTTGGCATTGTTTATCAGAGCCGCCGCTCCCAATCGCGCATCGCTTGGAGCAACCAATGGAATTATCCAGCTGGTTGTAGCAGGAGCAAGGATCATTGGCCCAGCATCTGCAGCTTCGGTCTTCTCTTATTCGATACAGGAAGGTCATGACGCGTGGTCGGTATATTACTACTTGATGACAGTTGCATTTCTCGCTGTAGGTACTTCTCTGTTGCTTCCCCGTGATCCTAGTGTATGGGAAGATCACCAGTAGTATCGTCACCAGCGACCTGCATGTTGTTTGTTTTCAGCTTTGTTCAGTGATTTGTTGTACGAGTACATTTTCCTTGTATGGCGCGGTAGTCAAACAGATATCTTTCTTGCATCCTTGACTCCTTGCAGTTTTACAGGCTTTTCTGGTGCAATGTGAATCAAAGTGAGGACCTGTTTACGAAAAAAAGGTTCAAAAGCGGCGAAGAGCATGGTAAAATTCAAACATGGAGACAAACAAAGGCCCCAGCTGTGCGCTACTTGTAGACCACAAAATCCAGATGAGTAAAGTAACATCCTTCTCCAGAGATACGATCACAGCGTGGTCTGGCGTGATGCAAGTTGACATGTAAGCCTTGCCATCAATGCATACATAATCCCAAACCTACTTAGGACTGGAAGCGGGGAGGATGACTAAGCGCGTATGTCGACGACCCCAGATAGCGCGCGCTCGCTGTTGACAACGTCGAGGTTCAAGAACCTACCTGTGACATATACTTAATGGCCACTGGCAGGAGTCCCTCGAACTCACTGTCCTCAACTCTACCAGTCGGATATCTGGACAGCAGTTGTAGTGCGTCCGTGATGCTATTAGGCTGTCACTACTTGCATTTCATTGGCCTTTTTCAAAAGCTTTTTGACACCTTTCCAAGCTCAAAAAGGGTTTCCGCATACTTGGGAACGGACATAGTTAGGTTTCGACCCTTCGAAAAGAAGGTTCCAAGGACCGAAAAAGGTGATTAGTCCTTGGACTACTTATCTGTGAGCTTGATCGACGGCCAGCTCTGATTAAAAGGAGTGTAACAGGCTGCGCCCTCTATCTTCCTCTCGTACCACCATGATCACGCGTCCAGATGATGAAGAGACTCCTCTTCTGCAACAGCCGATAGCCAGAACACCTCTGCCCTGGGATCAATTCTGGATCATATTGTTCTTGCAGTTTCCAGACTCGCTTGTTTTCCAGACCCTTGCCCCATTTACCCCCGCAAGTGAGTATATTCCCTCTGCTTGGATTTAATCTGACCACATTTTGTCAAGCTGATAAGAGACATTGGTGTGACCAACGGAGACGAATCCCAGGTTGGACACTATGTTGGGATCCTGGTGAGCATGTCACAATATTTCGTTATCTTGCGTTCCTTCCTGATATCGATTCGAGCAATCATCGTATTATACAGCTCAAGCGCTGACTATCCTCCATTGGAGTCGACTGTCTGATCACATTGGACGGAAGCCTTTGATATTGACCGCTCTGTTCGCGATAGCAGTCTCAATGTTCTCGTTCGGGCTGTCGAAAACATATGTCGGTCTGGTGATCAGGTCAGCATGTTAAACAATAACCCTGACAATCAATTACTGATATACTAATTAGTCGTGTTTTCTGTGGGGCATTCAATGGGAGCAATGGCATCGTCAAAAGCATGGTAATGGACATCACTGACACAACCAACTTGCCCAAGGCATACGGTTATATGCCGCTCCCATGGATGTTGGGGGCCATAGTTGGGTAGGCACTTACAATACGTCTGCTTGCTCTTGAAGCGGGATTCACAATGCTAATCCTAGACCACTCATCGGAGGATCCCTCTCCCGACCCGCAGATAGGTTCCCTGAAATCTTCGGGCGATCAGAACTCCTGAAAACCTACCCATACCTCTTTCCATGCGCTGTCCCAGCTATACTTGCCTTGGTGGCTTGGTTAGTCACATTTTTCCGATTCAGAGAGGTGAGGGTGATTTTAAAACCATGTCTGGAGCATACTAAGTGCGGTAACGAGAGCGTTTCAACAAAGGTACCACTTTGGGGCTAATCAAAGGACTGTTCTCGCAGCAGTCAGATGCACAACTTCCTATACCACCGAACAATACTCTGGCCAGTTCCGGGGAAGCAAACTCTGAAGAAGTCCCATTAAAGCCACTTCCATTGCGCGCCTCGCTGACACCAAAAGTCCTGACTGTAACAGCAAGTTATGTCACTATGGCTGTATTTTATATGGCATTTAACTCGATCCTACCTCTGTTCTATGCGACGCCCATTGAACTCGGTGGTCTTTCCCTTGATCCTCCCCGCATCGGGGCTATACTTGCAGTATCAGGTATCGCCCATGGCGCATTCCAGCTACTTTTCTACGCTCGTCTACATGACCGCTTTGGCGCAGGAGCCATTCATACTGCCGGTGTTAGCTCTGGCATACCTATCGTTGTTTTATTTCCAGTGATCAATGTTCTCCCGAGTTTATGGAATGTGTTTGACGGTGTGGTTATGTGTTGCCGCTCAACATGTGCTGACGACTAGCCTGATGATGTGCAATCGTATGTTAACCCAGTACTTCGTGCATGGTACTTGACTGAGAAGAACCCACAGCTTGCTTGGTATTGTTCATCAGGGCAGCTGCTCCCAATCGCGCCTCGCTTGGGGCAACCAATGGAATTATCCAGATGGTTGCCGCAGGAGCAAGGATTATTGCCCCAGCATCTGCAACTTCGGTCTTCTCTTATTCGATCCAGGAAGGTCATGATGCGTGGCTGGTATACTACTTCTTGATGGTAATTGTATTTCTTGCTGTAGGTACTTCTCTATTACTTCCTCGTAATCCTAGTCTATGGGAAGATCGCCAGTAGTGTAACCAAGAGCGACCTGTATGTTCAAGTTATCCGCTCCTCTATCAGTAGATTTTCCGGGTCTATGTATATGGTGCCACAATTGTATCCACACTTTTTTCTTCTTCTGAATGACTGAGTTCCTGCGTTTTTCTGGTATTTGCCCTTTTTGTCAATTAGCAGTAGCTTACGCTGGGTGCCACGTCTACAACGAGATACCGCCGGCATCGGGTGCTACTGCGACCATCACGTCATGCTGTGTTGTTTCCTCTTAACGTTCATGTTCTGTTCAATTTTACGGCTCTCCTGGGGACCTCTGCTTCATTTCACGGCGTTGTTGGACCACAAACTTCGACAACACCATTGACGTCCTCTTCCCAGCAATTCTCGAAGACGCTGAATTCTTGTACTTAATTAAGCTTAAGCTCAAGGCTCCGAGTTGGAACACGGCGCCACTCTTGGTCCTCTTCTTTACCTTACAGTTTTAGCCAGCTCGGACACCGAAGGAACTGTTCATACACGCACCAACATGTGGCTCCTATCACTTCACTTACAAACTGCAGGACGACATTTTTTCAGTCATTGCAATCATCTCAGCCTGAAGAGAACATGGAGGTCAGTGGCACATGTACTTTCTTCTGATTTCAAATACTGGTGCACGTCCGGCAGCCCAATAATCGACCAGCTAAAAGACTTCGCCTGCAAGGACTTGACAGCTTCCAAGTAACGAATAATACCTCAAAACTCGCGTACAAATTTCCCCCGCCCTTCGTGTCTTCTTTTGATCCACCGAAGGCCAGGTCATCAACAAATGTTCCTGATGACAAGCAAGAAAAGTTGAAGGATTCGATTCGTGTTCGACAGCGACCGCATGGCCCGTTCACTGCCGAGCTCCCCGACTTTGGCGACACTTCGCTCGGACGCGAGGCTAAGGGAAAGGAGAAGGAGATATCGGTTCGCCCAGCTGGCAATCGCAAGCGACCGAACCCATTTATCACTGAGTGACGCAGGGGCAGACACGTCTCGCGCGCCAGTCGTGAAGCGATTGCCTCGTCGGAACCAGCATCTGTGCATCCTCCTCCTATATCCCATCTAAAGTAACATTCTCTACCTCTTCAATCTCTCAAGCCACCTTCGTTTGTAATCAGCGCCCCAGCACATGCATCATCTTCCGAACCTCGATCTTTTTCAATTCTCAAGCCACCTCCAAGGCCTCAGTAACTACTAAAGCCATCGTTCCGAAGCCCCTTGTTTCACCTAGCTTTGCTCCACTTCTCCCAAAGGACGGTGCAGGTGCTGAGCTGCTCTCGCTTTTCCTCCAACGGCACGGACACAACATTGTCACTCCATTCGAACGTGAGATACGGCGCGGCATTGGACCCAGCCATCGCAAAAACAAGAGCTCTAAAGGGAAGTTTGTACGGTATGTACGTGTGTCGTGAGATCATTGGCCAGCTCATACTGAAATGTGCGATGGTACAACAGTAGTGGAATGGCAGCGCGTGCGCAACACCTGATCTCAGGCACGAAAATTGACCATACCCTTTGGTGCCTACAGTTCAAACAGAAGCTCTCATCCGCGTCACCCTCCGCACCGACTTTATCGTGTGATTTGGGCCTACATATTCTGCGAGTACTACCCATTCCCACCCCACCCTTACCCATGTGCACATCGCAATATGCCGCATCTCATCGCGCCATAGGTTCGCCAACATAACCGATTTGAGAGATCAATGTTATGTCGTTCTTTTTCTACACATTGTCGAGCCCAATCGTGATTTCGGAGAGGGCAAGGATGTCTTGGCCTGGGTGCCGTGGCACAAGGTTATGTTTTCCACTGTGGTGCCGAGGGAAGTACTAGGAAGTCTTTCGGTTGAGCCATTGATACGTCCGAGAAGCGTCGTCATTGCACCACGATGGCATATTATGCAGACGCATTGAGTGACAAGAGGATCTAGGGTTCGTGCCGGACCGCCACATTGGCACTAGTGTTTTATAATCATATTGCATGGTGTTTAGAACGTGCTTTTTTGGGCCGCTTATCCAAAGTCCTCCTGCCGACGAGTCGAACGCCAGTGCCTCGGCCATCCGCATGAAAAACACTTTATTCTAAACTGATATCTGGAAGGTAGCCCTCTAACACGACTGAAACGAGTCTTTCAAATTCCGTAATCTCAATGCTTAAGTTTATGTACACCCTTTTTGACTGTACATCAGAATCCCAGCACAATACAATAGGTCTGCAGTTTAGAACGTGCTTCTCAACATCATCTCGAGAAATGCGGGCCCCTCGGCTACTAATTCGTAGTATTGTACCACACCTACATCCTATACTCGTTACAATATCCCCCTACACAGTCCATAGGGTACCGCGCGGCCTAATAGCGGAATGCGCAAGACCCACTCGGGGACGTCTCGGCCCTTTGAGCCATGGCTGAGTTAAAGCGTTCATTGATATGATTGGCTCTAATTCAGGCTAATTAATGTCTGTTGTCTGTTCATCAAAATTAAATTTAGCAGCCATCATGGCGCTCCATTTTCTATTATGATATATATCCTAACACGAACTTGACTCTATGATATCGACTTAGCTGGAGACTACATGCTTACCATGCAAGAAAGCATGACGCTTGAGATTGGCCATACTGGCGTTTAATTACGCTAGTGTTCGAAGACACCTCGATAGAATTATGTAAGACTGTGGGAGTTCTCATTTGTAAATGAGAACGAGCCTGAGGGGCCTGTCCTATTACATACGTTCTGGATAGCAAACGATATATCTCAACTTGTGGGTGGAATGGACTCCTTCCGCGGTCATGTCCCACCAAGTGGATGAAGAGACACCTCTATTGCAGCCTGAGGAGCAGCATAAAATCAAAACACCATTACCCTGGCGCCAACTCTCCGTTATACTGTTCCTGCAGCTCACTGAACCTATAACTGCTCAGGCAGTTGCTCCGTTTGCACCTCAGGTAAACTCAACCTGAGTTCGTATTTCACGAGTTTCTGATGAGCCTTGTTTCGTTTCTCAGCTGATCAGAGATGTTGGAGTGACACATGGCGATGAATCAAGGGTAGGATATTTCGTTGGTATCATGGTGAGTACCCAGTGTTCGCTGTAAATAGCTGTTTCCTGATCCACTTTCAAGTATTCCGTGTTCTATGTCGCTCAAGCCCTTACAACCCTTCAATGGAACCGACTTTCTGATCACGTTGGCCGAAAGCCAGTCATTTTGACTGGTCTATTTGGCATATCAGCTTCCATGTTCCTATTTGGACTTTCAAAGACCTTCGGGGGCTTAATACTGAGGTTCGAGCATCATGCTCATGATTGAAAATATGATGGTTTTAATTTTAAATTTTTTCGTTTAGTCGTGTATTGTGTGGAGCGCTGAACGGCAACGGTGGTGTCATCAAGAGTATGATGATAGATGTTACAGATTCAAGCAACATTGCTCAGGCGTACGGTTTTCTTCCTCTTCCATGGATGACCGGGAATACGCTCGGGTAAGGTCCTCGCATTGTTTTGTGTACCCCATTCTTACGTCGAATGATCGGCTAGACCTCTCATTGGCGGGTCTTTATCCCATCCGGCGGATCGTTTTCCCAGACTGTTTGGGCAGTCGACATTTTTGAAGACATATCCTTATTTCCTGGCTTGTGCTGGTCCAGCATTATTCGCCGCATTATCATGGTTGGTTACGTATATGCTTTTACAGGAGGTAAGGTAGTGGTCAACTTATTTCGTTGATCCATCTCATCTATGTTTAGACTGTGCCAACGACAACATCCTTATGGAGTCTAATTCGAAACAGATGTCGGACCGTTCTTACGTTCGTACATACCAAGCCACCACAGCCTGATAGATCAGATTCCGATACCGTTCAAGGTTCCCCCAACGATTCTAGGCCCCTGCCTCTGAGTGCATTAATGACTCCGCATGTTCTTATCGCGACGTTGAATTACGCGACTCTGGCTCTCCTTGACATCGCTCTGCGCTCCCTAATACCCGTGTTTTATGCTACGCCAGTGGACATGGGTGGACTTGGCCTTGACCCTCCACGGATTGGCAATATTCTTGCAGTGTTCGGGATTGCCAATGGTTTATTCCAGGTGTTTTTCTTTGCTCGGCTGCATGACCGATTTGGCACAAAAGTGGTATTTACCTGCGGAGTCGCGTCCAGTGTACCGACCATCATCGCATTCCCGATAATCAACATGCTAAGTCGGACGTATGGGATTGATGCCACAGTCTGGCTTGCTGTCGGCCTTCAGCTCACAATATCCATTGCTCTCAATATGTGTTACTGTTCGTTTTTTATGTCCAGTGTCGTGGTCATCACTAATCAATCCACAATAGCTTGCGCGGCAATGTATATAGCAGCTGCATCTCCAAATCGTGCATCATTGGGCGCCACTAATGGCCTTGCTCACACAGTCGCTGCGTGTGTGCGCATCATTGGACCTGCATCGGCGATGTCGATGTTTTCATTTTCTGTGAGGGAACCTTATTATGCGTGGGCGGTTTACTATTTTATGATGGTGCTGGCACTCCTTGCAGTTGGCGCGTCTTTGTTACTGCCCCCGTCAAATATGGAAGCGTGGTAACTAGCTTTTATCTCAGTTGTTAGCAGCGGTACATGATACTTGTCTCCTTGCAAGTAATGCTACATACCATAACTTCTGGCTGATCTTAGTCTGCAATAGCGTTCGTGCGTCATTGATCAATTTCCCAGATGCTGACTTGATTCAAATTCCCTTGTTTGGTGTGTCTCGATTCCATGCATATTTGACCTTACTAATAATTGTTCTTCTCGAAGTTTTTTTTGGAAAACGTCCGTCGTCAAGGCTTGTTTTGTATTGTTGCCTGCATACCTCAGCACAATCCTCATACTCAGCATATTCTCTCACCGGCTGCTATCGGCCACAATGAGGAAACGGTATACACGTCATACTAAGTATTACAAGCGATCGCGATGAAGACAATTCGGAAGCTACCCGCTTGCGCATGAATGCATCAAAGTTTGAGCTGTCCACGGTTCTATTGTGCTTGGCAGACCCGAAGTTCTTCCAGATACACTCAGTGATTCCCTAAGTAGAGCCCTACTCTAGTGACTAGAGTTGAGGTGTTGCGTCGTAGAGATGGCGGTGCGTGTTATCCCTGAACGTTGACTTATGACAGCAGATTAGCCAGGTTGGGCCCAGAGATGATCAATATTGCACCAATCGCCATATGAAGAATATCCATGAGACATTCCGCTCCGACATGAGACTGTTCCCGGGAAGTAGAAGTGCTTTTCGCAGAGCTGATCTCAGCTTCAGGGTCCAATGACGTACCGTGTCAGAAGGTGTGTTGAAACTTCGTTATGGGCGCCTGATAACTCATTCGTTCCGACGTTGTGAAATTGCGCTCTAGTGCGGCCGACGATACGACTGCAGAAGGGAGTTGGCTCCAAGGGACCATCGATCGTCGATGATCACTTAATGTATGTGATGCCAGATCCATAAACGATTTACCAGTGCTGTCAGGTGCTGTCACAGATTGTCAATCCTTTGAAGCCACTTTGACATCTCTCACTTATTGCGGCCGCGAGAACCCTCGTTGCGGCCTAGTGCGGCATGCGTAACGTTTCATCAATATATTGCGCGAAAGGGCTACTTTTAAATCCTTCCATCAAGAAATGACATCGATTCCCTTTAATCACCTGATCACTTCGTTCACGTATTGGATGAGTCTGTAGTCATGGTGAACGCCCGACTTTCCTTTCCCCAGTCTCCCAGGATTGTTGGTTCGAACGTTTTTTGCACCGCTGCAATAATCAGCAGACTCCTCGTCGTTGGCCCTGGCGAACGACATCCACACTCTTTTCATCTCCACACTCTTTTTCGAGACTCGAGCTCTATCATTATAATTTCTTTTCGAGTTGTACTGACTGCGTATCCTGCTTTAACACAGGATGCAACGCGTCTCTGTCCGACGTCATGCGGTTTTAAACAGGATTCTCGACGGGCGCGATCCCTCTCTTATTAACTTGCCCATCCCGGTACCATCTGTCCCAATACTTTCTCCCTTGGTCACCTCTCTTGTCGGTGGAAGTAATGGTGGGGCCTCTCCAGTAGCAAGCCCGTTACCAGCAAGTCCGTTACCAGCAAGCCTCTTACCAGCAAGCCCGTCACCAGCAAGCCTGTTACCAGCAAGCCCGTCAACCAGCAAGCCTGTTACCAGCAAGCCCGTCGCCAGCAAATTCGTCACCAGTAAGCCTGTTACCAGCAAGCCCGTCGCCAGCAGATTCGTCCCCATCTCCCGCCACCACTCCAAGCGGGGGTGGCAGCGGTGGAACCGGAACTGGTAGCGGAAGTGGAGGGGGTGGAAGTGGAGGGGGTGGAAGTGGAGGGGGTGGAAGTGGAAGTAGCGGTGGCAGTAGTGGAGGTGGAAGTGGCAGTGGAAGTGGCAGTAGTGGTGGAACTGGAGCTGGGACCGGAACTGGAGCTGGGACCGGAACTGGAGCTGGGACCGGAACTGGAGCTGGGACCGGAACTGGAGCTGGGACCGGAGGTGGAGGTGGAACTGGAACTGGAACTGGGACCGGCACCGGAACTGGTAGTGGAAGTGGAGCTGGAAACGGGGGAGGGAGGGGAAGTGGAAGTGGAAGTGGAGGCGGCAGCCCCAATGGAAGTAGCAATACAGCGACCACCACGCCTGCATCGTCACCGGCAGCCTCCCAAAGCTCCCCTTCGTCACTTCCGGGAGGTACATCACTCATCATTAACAATAGTACCGTCAATCAGTTCAATTCTAACGGTGGAGGACCGCCCGTAAACGTCCAAGGCGCTCCGGTAGTTCAGTCTTCATCTTTGACGGGCAATTCCAAAATGCAGTCCACGGGTGCGCCCACCGCCGGTCTCCAAGGCTCGAGTACATCCACTGGTGCCGGAAGCTCCCCGAGTGATGCTACTCCCACTCTTGCCACTGGAGCTGCGACTTCTTCGCACCAGCTGTCCTCAGGCGCAATTGCAGGAATCGTTGTCGTATGCCTTCTATTCCTGATCGGTTTCATCGTGCTCTTCGTACGGCGTCGCTCCATTGCTCGCCGTCTTCAGCACCGCAAACAATGGTGGCTCGGCAGAAATACCACATCAGATAGTTTCTCTATCGTAGGAGGCAGTGTGGGAGACTCTCAAAGTACGGGGTCACCTATCCTGAACAGGGCGAGTGCTCGCAGCAGCTTTGCTACCAACTTTGATCAAGGACTCATGTTCCGCATTGATTCCCCGACGCCACTGCTCAACCTTGATCTCGCCGCATTCGGGACAATTCCCGAGTTCCCTCCCATGGCGGAAGTGCGCGAGCGCACCTCGATCTTGTTCCCTTCTGCTAGTGCTGTTGCTCGTAGGGAGTCTATAAATAGCATGATGAGCAACGGCAGCGACCCCGACACTCAGTACCTCATTGTAGGAAATGATCTCAATCCTCCCGGACTATCTAGTCCCATGTCCGTCCGTCCATTTTCTCCGTCAGAATCCTTCGCGTTCCCCAAGCCACCCCCATGCCCCAATGAGGGGCGGTGTCCTTCGTCCGTCTCTGTTATTAGTGGCCACGGCCTCCTTTCCCCCTCGTCATCCGGTGCTACCCTCGTCCAGATTCACTCTCCTCCCCCCATATTCAATTCTGATTTACTGCCCTCCGCTCCCGCTGCCTCCTACCTGCCACCTAGTGCTTCTTTGACAATTGTTCCTGGCACATCTTCCGACCCCTTTGCTGACCCTGCCGAGTTCGAGACCATCCGTCGCCGATTCACCCCTACTCTGGATGATGAAATGTCTGTCGCCCCAGGTGATCAAGTCCTCGTTATGAAAGTCTTCGACGACGGCTGGGCGCTCGTCGAGAAGCAGTGCGGATTCTTGGATCATAACGAGAAGGGTCTCATTCCCGTGGACTGCTTGCGCGAAGCCGGCCAGGCCCTCCCTGCATTCCTAGCTCAAAAGCGGGTGAGCAGCTATGGAGCTGATCCGAATAAAGTGGCCCAGATGTTGGCGGGTAGCTTCCATGCGTTTTGAATGACAAAGACTTAATTGGTAAGGTTTTCTTCCCTTTGTCAAAGCCCTCGTTGATCTCGTTGTCTTTCTCAGTGATACCAGCATTATTAGAGATTTATGATATCCGTCATGCCAATCTCCACTTTCTTGCATTGTTAGAAAGATCTATATATTATATCTTGGTCACCTGATGCCTCATCCTGTTATCTCTGCTCCTGCACGGTTCCATAAAATCGTCGTCTATACCACTTCTTTCATTTATTTCATTGTTTTATTTATGCATATGTTGCTCGTTTAACTTGGCCCCTCTGTACTTCGCTGACCCCCCTTTCCTGGAGACATTTATGTTGCATTACATCGCACATGCCGGATCCTCCATACTTTAGATACCTTGTTCTTGCTACTCTCTGTTAACCTGGATTGTACTGTTGGACTCTTGATTTACACACTTCTGCAATGCTTCAACAGTTTTAAGAGTTCGAATGTTTAGACATTCTGATGTCCAGATGTGATTGGTGTGCACCATCAATGACCACTAAACGTGACAGTACAACCCTCTAATCCACACACTAATGTCAGTACTTTCCAACTCCACACACTAAGCCAAGACGAAACACATTGATCCACATTGGTACGGCTGAACGCTCTCACTTAATCGAACCCTGCGTCACGGATACTTGAAATTTAGTAAGCGGTTGATAGAGATTATCAGTCTCTGCTGTCGCGAACACCAGCAGAGTTCATCTGCGTGGCAAGCCTGACCGAAGCAAGTTGCTGGCTTGGGAGTTATGGTAGATCCAAGGCCGAAACTTTTCGGTTGGTGGTGTTAGCCGAGAGAGTAGCTAGGCTTGCATCGGGGCAGTGGACGAACCGGTCCGTAAGGAGCTGCGCCTAGTTGTAGCACAACGCCGGAAATGCCGTCTGAGGATGTCTCGTAAGGGTAGAGCTCGGTCTGGTTCAAGATTCGCCGAATCTGCGTCTCGTTGAAGTAGTTAGGGAGCTTAAATACGAAGGAAGACGGGGGCAAGCGTGGGGCGAGCGTTGTTGGGAGGAAGTAACAATGCTTGCACTAGTTGGTAGCCCAGATGACAGGTAAGTGTGTGTATATGCTATCCATGATGAGGCCGCTAGCAATATCATCTAGGGTGTAATCCCCGTTGACGACGGTGGCCTAGGCTGTACCTAGATTGAGGGAGGTAATCGCAAGGTCTCCGGCCGACGTATTCGCTACACACTCGACGTCTGACTCTATGAGACCTGTCGAGGAGTTGGAAGCCCAGCCGATGTATTTAGCAAGTTGCAAAGAGGTACTAAGAGCTGACTCGGGCGAAGAGACAGGGTTGCTCCTACTGTTCTGGAAAGTGATCTTACCGCAAGGATAAGATCACCAACTAGAACAGCAGCACCTCGTGACTCTGAAGTCAGACGGCTACGTCATTTTCTTCACGATACGCCCACTGGAGAGGCCTCCCATGTATTTCGGGTTAGTTCCGAGGAGATATCTAGTCATATAGCCGCCAGCCGACTCGCCGTAAATGAGTAATTTAGTGGGCTGGTAAAATGGTTGTGAGCGTCAGGGAACCCACGAGATAAAATAGCATACATCTCTGCCGAAGGCCTCGATATTGTCTTGCATCCATTACAGAGCTAGCAAAGTGTCTTTCAGGGCAGTATTGGATACATTGAACCTGAATAACCAGTTAGATCACGATGCGAACAAATCCCGAGTACAAAGTACTAGCCCAAAGTAATAAGCCCATAATTTGCAGTAACGATGCCTCCTCTGTACGAGACCCTGAGGTTCGTCCCATCAAAGATCTAAAAACTTGATCGATCATCATATGTAGCACAATCAAGGTGGACAACCGACATTTGGCACATAAGATCTGATGTATTCACTCGTTGTCATGTTGTAGGTGAATGGTCCACTACTGCCACCATGATCCGACTTGACCACCGCCATGAACTGACGAAATGATCAACACAATCGGCAGTAACGGACAAATGATCCTCAGACTCATGCAAGCGAGGTGATCCACATTATCCCATAGTCAGAATGTGTTATTGTGATTATGAATTATGTTGAGAACCTCGATCCGAGTGTGTTTCAAGAAAAAACATTGAACTGACGAACATGCACATCAAGAAGGCCATTTACACTTTGGTCGAGTTTGGGTATACAGTTAAATGAGCAAAGCCAGGTCGTTGCCTGTTGTCCTTCACAATAGTGGGCTATTTCGCAGATGCAGGTGCTTTGTTAGGTTGTTCGTCTGGTACATCTAACAGGAAGTCGGAAGCGCCGAAGAACGCAGTGGGAGAAACTGGCGACAATTAATTTGTGGTCAAGGTATGTTGCAGCCGTTGCTCGTGTGGTGCGTCGACAGTATTCAGAAAGTGCATGGTGCCCATAGACACCAGTGAGTCTAGGCACTCCAAACAAAAGTTCACCCGTTGCTTGCCCCGTGAAGGTGAAGGACCGATCTGGAATGGGTGCGCGTGAGCTTGTATGTGGATGGAAATAAAAGTTGGATGCAGCTACTTCACCTTCTTTCTGGTAAATGGCTCGATTCGTGTTCGACTGCAGTTGAGGTCATTGTTGGAAACCATAACAATATTACCAATTAGTATGGCAGAAAGGGCAAGAGATGCGGAAAGACTGGCCAACGACCGAAGAGGCATGCTTATAGGCCCACGCATGTGTTTGCAAAGCAAAATGACGCGGCCGGGACACGTCGTTAATCTGCTCAAAGGCCATTACAGTGGCACGGAGTTTGAAATTGTTGAACATTTTTTACTGAGTCCTCCGAGGAGTCGTGCTACCGTGGAATTACTACTATCGACCTAGTGACAATTGTCCAGATTCATAGGTACGTTCGAGCTGTCAAATGTCGGATCATTGTGTGATTGGGGTCCGGGGAAAGTCATTCCCTTTCATCCCCCAGTTTCAGCTCTGGCATTTTAAATGGGTGTGTGGTCAGTATTACTAGCAATCGTTACTACGAGCCGGTGTGCAGCTATGAGCAACCTGGCTTGTAGCATACCACTAGTGGCACTATATTATGCAGCCCTCCACTTTGACGTGCCGCAACGTTCTATGTTTCAGGGCTGACTTGCAATAATGTTAGCTATTCTACTCGGCAAGGTGAGTTGCTGGTGCAGTCGGTCAGGATTACTACCTGAAACTGAAAGATGATGAACATGACCTCAGGCTCCATTTGTGACGACACAAGGCATAATCGAATCTACGCGTCCCTGCACGCTGCGGCATAGAGCGGAAGTCAGGCTACTGACAAACTTTGAAACGTAGCTGTGGAGTATTGCCACGGATTCGTTTCGGCATGAGCTCGCTTCTATTTTGAGGCTTCTCATCGAAGGCCATCGAATCTCGAAGAACGAGCGGTCCGTGGGGAACTTAACTCCAAACCCCACACTCACGTCGTGAAGCGCGCGGATAAAAGTTACGCCACTCTCACTTATGGGTGACATTACTTGGAGTTCTACTAACTATTGGATTGCCTCGAGATCATCGAGCTCCATAGGATAGCTGAGGCGGAGCTGCTATCATGCTGCGGTTCAACATCCTTACAGAAATGTATACTACATCGAACAGCTGCAGGCCTCAGTCATAGTACTCTTCAAAGCGAACACAAGCGGACTGGTGCCGAGTTTCAACTCCAAGTAAATCTCCCGCTCCATCACATCCCGTCCTTTTCGCACTCCACGGTTCATTTCTTAATGCGGCTACATAATTCTTGTGGAGTTGTCAGCTGGAAAACGCCACCTATGCTTAGATAACGAGGGAGCCTCGTGCAGACTTGCGTAGGACTGCACATATAACTTGAATGAAGTCTGGTGCTTTTTCGAAAAAAATTCAAATCTATCTCAAGTCTAGATCCACAGCTTTCTCACTCTTTGCTCTTGCTTTGCTCGCCTCACACAGTGACGTCAGTAATCCTGCTTTGACTTTAAAAGTTTTGACATGGGGGATACATCTTCGGCACACCACGAATACTCTCGCAGTATCGCTGCGTACACTTTGAAGCAGCTCATAGAATGGCGAGCGTCGCTGAAACGCCTGTCAGAGGAACACGAGCGGGAGAGTGTGCAGGACAGCGTCGACCAGCGTGATTCTAAAGGTAACCAGTTGATTTGTTCTGCGAGTGTACGGAGATGAAATTATATCTCAGAAAACGTTCTACTCCCACAATAGATCGCTTTGGATGCGTAAAATGATATTTCGATGTGCAAAACCTGCCTCGTCAATATGTACGTGCCCTGTCAATACTGCCGTCATTTCCAGCTGAACTTAACTGCTCGTAGACCGGATCTTGCATCACTGCTCTTCATTTTCTCTTTCCACCTTTGAGCCCAATCCGTCAGAGCTCTGTATATCATTCTCCTTTGTCACGTTGTATCATTTAGTTGTCACATATTTCAGTATACTACCTAAAGTACTATGACCAAACAAATAGCAAGGCGCTACTATGTTCGTGCTATTCTTAGCAGATGTCAAATACTGGTGGTGGTTCTAACCGACAGGTCTTTCGATCTTATGGCCGCGTGTTCTAGTATAAGAAGCAGGAAACTCGCAGCTATCACCGACGGTCCAATAAGGCACTTGTACAATGCCGTACACGGTCTCTCTCTCGTTTACACGTTGCTTCCAGTATGGCCACCCCCCCTTCAAAATTCTTCCAATTGTTAGCACGAAGAGGACCTTCGTTTGCAATCAAGTACGTCTTGACATCGATTATATCGCTTGAACCTCGAAGCTCGAGGCCTCGAGGCGCGGGCTGATGCATCGATGGCCCGAGGTTGATGACACAAACTGTGGCATATTGCGAATTCCTTCGCGGGAGACCGTCGGCTCCTCCGAGTGACTTAGTTCCTACGAGTCCTCAAAGCATACAGCCCGGGTGGTTATCAGAGCGCTGCAGAATGCGCTGTCTCCTGGCTCTGCACTCAGCCTTGGACACCCTGGGCCTCGTCTTCAAGCTAGGTGTCACGAGGCTCCGGCTTTATGTGCTTGAAGAAGTGGCCGCACCAATGGGAACCGTTGCCACAAATTATCCAGATCTCATTATTCATCCTCCGCGGCCGTCGTCTACGTGCGTCCAGTACGGATACAACAAACAGTATGTACTGCAGCGAAGGATCATAAATATCTAATACCCAAAAGAAAATCAAGAGTTCAGGAGAGAAGTGAAATACACTATTAAACAGATATTCGTGCTTTCAATGATAGTAGTTCTAGGAAAGGGTGTCAGGTCGACGTAGGTAAACGGGTGGTAGAGGACTCACCTGCCGTAGATTGAGGCATGTTAAGATCGCGACTTTGTAGTATTGCCTTGTGATGCTTTCGCTGCATGTTCAATCTTGTCAGTTGTGTCATGCCGTCTACTTTATCACACCAACCTGCTCGCTCCTTCTCCTCTTGCTCTTTCGCCCTGCGTTCCAGCGAGGCGCGCCATTGTATAAGCTGCTCCAGCGTGTATGTAGTCATGTCCTCAGAATATTGGGACAACTGGGCATCTGAGTTGGATTCTTGAGACATAATAGTGAGGGTGATTTGAATAGAGAAATTGAACTCGATGTGTTGCTTCACTCTGCATGTCGAAACATGGGTTTTATACCTCAACGTGGGCCGTGAGACTGCTGCTGCGAGCCCCAGGGGTTGTCGGAAGTTGCAGATGTTGACCGATCGAGTGTTCGGACGCAAGGCACCCTCATGACAGTAAAAATGATGTCGTACACAGTCCCTTTCTTCATGAACACATGCAGGCTATCCTAGTGCCTGGTACCTCGTACTTTAGACATAGCGGTAGGATTGTTAGCAGTTTAAGGAATGCTGGTGAGACAGAAATCACTTCATGTCTGCGAGAGTATCGTGGGTTTGCTCCGATACCGCTCCTTTCGCGAGACGTGCCGGAATTCATGAGAAATCATAGCTCGGTAGGCACATGACTAACTTGAGTAATTACCTATAATCTTCAGGCTGGCTCATCCATATTAATGTCTTCTACCTGCAAGTACCTGGGGCGTCGGAGTTTGACTGTCAGGCGAGGACCTGGTGTGACATCCGAGAGCTCGGCTGAGATACTATCCGTTCATTTAAAAAGAATAAGGCGCCGAGAAAATCATTTGAAGAGTAATGCGTACCTTGGCTATATATGTAATAAATAGCCTCGTGTTCTCTTCGACGCACCTAAGGCTAACTAAGACCGTCAATTCAGTCTAGGGATCAGGTACCTGACGCAGCAGGCACTCAATTTAGAAGGAAAATAGGCTCACATGCCTTACGACACGTGCAAAAATTTTGGAGGTAGGACAAGACCAGAGGTGCCTTGAAGTTACACTAATCAGTGCCGACAGTCACTCTTCAAGTGGTACCTCCGTTCCATTCGTTAGGAACTTGTGGATGGAGTAATGGCTAGGGGAAGGCGGTTCCTTTTGGCATCGGACATCACGTCTTATGTTAGTCCCTGGTACCTTCGCACTCCTCGCGGTGCACGCTGGAAGTAGTTTCACGGAGACGTCCTTGCGTACCGCCTCAGACCTCATGCCGGAATTGTTCCATCTTTCATCAAGTCGTCCTCGAAAGACTAAGCCATGTATGGCTTGCAGAAAAGCCTAAGACCTGACCAACAGTACGTCTTCCTACCCATGGGGCAAGAAAGCCCATGCCTGAAGGAAGTTGAGTGTTGAATAACAAAAGTTGAAAGTGTACGTCACGTCAAGGTACTAATTGCCACATTAATGCCTATCTGAGAGCTGTGTAACATATCCGTGTAATGATATTGAGCCTAGCGCGCAGCCACATCGGCCGGGGAGTTTCACTTTGACCCTGTGGCCGCCCGAATTCTTTTGCGCATATCAAGCACATGGTGGTCGTCCTGCCAAGTAGATGAAGGGTCCCTGTACAGACACTCCGGCCCATTGAATAAGCTAAAGCTTGAGAATTTATTGTAAATAGATGTCACGAACGCAGAGCACGGTATAATATATCGAATGTATCGCGTCTTTTTAATTTAGGATAGCATTATCCAGGTTGTTGTGCATTGTTTGTTCGATGACATTGACAGGCTCAGCCTCAACTTAGCCCCGACTTGAACTATGTATAACGTTCGAACGTTCATAAATAGTCCAAGACTTTAAGCTACTATTGGTATAGGTGCCCCGTGCTTGTGGTATTGCCCGTGTCCTGACAGTTGATTGCTCTCTGACAGTTGGATCTTGCCTTCGCCGAGTCCGAATTGATATGCCTTCTCAGGAAGGCGTAGTCAGTCTGAGTGGCCGCTTGGAAGGTTTCATCTACTCATTACGACAAAACAAGGCGTGCAACTTGTAACGTTCACCCATACTCACGCCACCATGTGCTTACAGCGCCAAAGACAACAGGTAGAGTCCAGACCTCAGTGCTTCTCTCTCACGCCGAGAGTCCGACTCACGGAAGAGCCACTGTTATCACTTTATCGATCTCCACATTGATTGTCACTGCGAACAAGACATCCAGTGAGTTTGTTAAGAACTGCCACAGTCCCGAGTTGATCTGTGAGTTCTGACTGGGGTTGATCCTAAGGTGCCTCCCATACTTGTTTCGCCCGGTGTATCGTACTTCACCAGGTTTATTATCTATTGGAGATCGCTGTTTGATTGTCCTGCTAACACACCTTCAGACTTCTATGTACTACTAGTCTACTTACTAGCACCACAGATCATTGCCAGTCATACGAAAATGACCCGTCGAAGCCGTCGATCAGCTGCGAATAATTGTGCGCATGCTGGTGCTGATGCCAGTCAAACTGTAGGCTTGGCGGGCGATCATAGGACAAGAGGATTTCCTTCTCATGCGGATGGGTTGGGATCTGTCTCTTCTTATGCTCTCTCGCAGCCGAATAGTATTGTGACCTCGTCGGGCGGCCGTGACACGCTAGGCCATGGAGGCCAGCAAGCTAACTTTCACATTGTTTCTGCATGGTTGAAGCCATTGCGTGTCGCAGAGGCTCCTCAAGCATCCAAGAAAGATGTGGTGACGAAGATGCCAATTCGTCAATCTACACAACAACACTTGCTAAGGACAGACTCACCGATTGCTCAGGCAAAGCCCGCACTCAAGTCGGGCAAGAAGGCGGGCAAGAAGGCGGAGAAGAAGGCGAAGAAGAAGACGGAGAAGAAGGCGGAGAAGAAGGTGGAGAAGAAGGCGGAGAAGAAGAAACGAAAACCATTCTACAAGGAGGTGAAGAAGGAGATCAGAGGACCAGCATACTGGAAGAAGAAGGCGGAGGAGGATGCGCGCCTATTAAACATTGCCCGGAGAATCTGGGGACATGCAGTAGGAAAAAAGGCAGCTGGTAAGTGCTGAGCGTTGAATCTCTCCTTCGTTCATTATTTCAAATTGACATATATTGTTTAGAATACAGGCGAAGGATAGTGGCCAAGAAGTGTAAGAGACGTCGCCGTGTCTCACGCAAATGGATGGAGAAAAAGGAGGGCAATAATCGAGAGGCACGTCACAAAAAACAAGACCAAAAGCAATTTTTCGTAAATTTCAATAAAGCGTATGAAGATAAGCTTCGGATTGGTAAGTGCTGTATTTTCGAAAGAACGTTGGGCCATTTCACCATCGCCGCTTCCTAGAGAGGAGGAGAGAATATGCAATTCTCAGGAGCGCAGGCAGAGGAGTCGAATCATCACATGCTACCAAATGGTGCGTGTTGTTCACTTTAATTTTTTTTACATATGTTTACTCCGTTGTGCGTTCTAGGGCCCAGGGAAATAAGGGGAAGTATTTCAGATGCCGGTCCGGCGCAGAAGGAGGCGAAGAAAGTCTGCAGAGTGAATGAAGAAAATGCATGGACGTAAGCTTGGTAGGTCATGATGTCTGCTACTCGGATCCAATCATATTCTTACCGAACGGAAATATAGAGGATAAGAACTCTGAAGTGTGGTATCAACACGTGAAGAAGACAGAAGTTACAGGGGAACACAGCAAAAATAATCTCGCAATCATTTTCCTATAGAGCGGAAGCATTGTGGGCTCCAAAGCAAACAATAAATGGCGCTAGCTATGTTGGAAGGTACAGGTGTCTTAAGTTTGTGTACTATAGGTCTATGACATGGTTCCTAATATGATTGGAATCGGGTGAATGATCATCAAGATGATAGCAGTTATAGCCTCCCGACGTTGAACCAGGATATAAGCTGTATGCTTGTATTAACCCGCGAATCGACTATTAACGCCGCCTCATGCACATATAAAACCTCACCCACCTCATCACATTGCCACGAGAGACCCGGACCAGTGGACTAACTGGCGAGTACTGTTCAGCAGTACGTCCAATATCTGACCGCAAACAGGGCTACTTGCCCACTTCAAGGACCGCACAGGCTTTGATGACATTTCATCCACAGCAGGAAATGAAAATGAAACCTCGATCTGAGTCTTGGGTCCTTGGACTTTCCATAATGGCCACTGTGGGGGATCTTGGATGGAGGTTCCATGCCGATATATTTTCGGTTTTAACATTGTACATTCCTGACCTGTGAACAAGCAGACGTGCGACGAGTATTCCTCGGTCACACGAGAGAATGGGTCCAGGCGAACACGAGCCCAAGGGCAATACATGCAGGCAATAAATTGAAGGCCGGCTGTATGTAAGCACGCTGGCTTACTAGAGTTCCCATGATCTACATAAATACTGTCCGCGATACTGAAACATAAGCTTTCAGTATCACTGCCTTTAGCGTAACAGTTAAGGGACGACAATCTTGGCTAAGTTACACTGGCACGGTCCAGCGCACGGAGTGTGTCTCGAGTGTAGGCGCTGAAACATTGTTTACCATATGATATAGCATGTTTGAGGTCAGATCAATGAGATCAATGGTGGCCCGCCATGGTTTGCAAACATAGAGTAGGAGAAAAAGATGTGTGAGCCCTCGCCACAACCTATACTATGATAACTCGCCTGCCTTTCCGACTTGCCCCAAGTGAGAGACGACAGACCAACTTGCCAGTAAGTGCTTGTTGATCAGAGGTGGCGATATCCGATGGCGATAAAACCTTCTGTCAGCCAAATTCAAATTTCACACTTCCATCCGCGGTCCCGCAAATTTTGTCGGCAGGCTCGGGCCGGGATATGTGGGGTTTGATTCCGTTTGAATTTGATTTGATTTGATGACACATCACTGTAATATCGTGGCAAGACGTAGTAGTAACATCTTCTCTCACACCCAAACACACCATTCAATTGCAAGTTGCTATGAAAGCATATATATATGGGGTTTAGGAAGAATATCCATGTGTTTGAGGTGGCGGAATCAGGATGATCCTTGTTCCGGGAAAAGTTAAGTCAAACTTGAAGTGTCATCAATATCCTTGTATTGTATACGGTAGTTGGCTCATGGGCCGCTGCTATCTCAGCCTACTTGACCTTCTCAAGAGGTGATTCCGAACCCCATTCGTCCTTACCGGACAATCTACTGTGTCGCAGAGCAATCGGCGATTCGACTTCTGCCGCATCAGCGTTTGCGGATTCCAATTCCCTTTCTTAACCCGAGCGACCTATTCGTGGGGCTTACCATCGATATCAGACGCATTTTCTACGTCTATTAAGATACTCAATTTTCACTCATGTTTTATTCTAGCCCACTTAACACCATGATGCTGGAAACCCTCATCATGAGTGCCAACTATGCCACAGGTGTTGTTACACTCATGGCGGTACTACTCGCCGTGTTATACCAGAAACCCTCGGGTAGGAACTGTATTCCGCTTCCACCTGGACCTCCCGCCCGTTGGTTCTGGAGCAACGCCTTACCTACTGTGAAGTGAGTTTTGACGGCGTTCAAATTCAAGATATTAAAGGCTGATGAAGATCGTCCACTCAGTATTGCCCATGCGCTGACCAACTTGGTTCGAGAGTATGGTCCGATTGTGTCATTGCGACAAGGTAACCAAGTGATAGTTGTCATTGGCAGTGTTGAGGTAAACCATCCATACCATGAGCTTCCTCCGACAACTTGAATGACCAGACATCAACCATTTTACTAGGCAGCTGCGGACATCATGGAGAAGGAAGGTGGATCACTGGTAGATCGACCTCGGTCCATTGCCGCGGGTGAGATACTCTCAAAGGGAATGCGTATTCTCATGGCTCGTTCCGGAGATCGCTTCCGGCGCCTCCGAAAAGCGGTACATACCCATCTACAGCCGAAGGTAGCAGATGCATACCAAGATATGCAGCGCGAAAACGCGATTATCTTCATATTAGATATGCTGAATGATCCAAAGAACCACCAGAAGCACGCACAGCGGTATGTCATTACCATGACTTTTTGCGATGGTTTCATAGATATGTACCCCAAGGTATGCAGCATCGGTCATTCTTCGAGTGACTTATGGGAAGTCTGTGTCCACTGCGAACACCGATCCTGAAGTTGTCCGTATTCACAGAGTCATGGAGCATTTCCAGGTTGTGATGCGCCCAGGAGCTTATCTCGTGGATCGGGTGCCTCTTTTGCGCTACTGGCCTGGTTACGGAAAAGAACTTACTGAGTGGCATCATGAGGAACTAGATCTATACAGGCATCAGCTACGGCGCGTTGAGAGTGAGGTGGTAAGTGACTTTCTGTTTCGATAAATATATGTCATTTATATCTTTTTGCACTCAGGATCAAAACGAAGCTGGCCCCTCTTTCACCAAGACACTATTGGAGAACGCCAAAGAACACCAACTCTCTATAGACGAGATGTCCTATCTGGCCGGATCACTCTTTGGGGCGGGCTCTGATACGGCAAGCCATGCAACTGATTTATCATTACGAACTTACTCATTCATAGTTCAGACCGCTGTTGCAATCACCGTTGCTATTATGGCTGCAGCGTGCTACCCAGCGGCTCAGGCAAAGGTGCATGAGGAGCTCGATGTGGTCATCGGGTCAGACAGAGGTACTGCTAAAGGATACAAAGATTTGATTTCTCGAATAATTTCTCGTGGTAGCGCCGACATTCAAAGACTCAAGCTCGCTCCCCCAATTGCACGCGTTCTTATTGGAAACCTTGAGATGGAGACCTGTCATTCGCATAGGTTAGTTTGAAATTCAGCACGCTCCTGCACAATGCTGACATGTGCCTCAGGATTTCCACACCGTGCAACGAAGGATGTTTTTTGGGTCAGTGTTTTAAATTCATTGTAACCCACGTTCTCATTCTAGTCTGTGTGATATCAGCGAGGATACTGCATCCCCGAAGGCGCAACAGTCTATGGGTGCCACTGGTAAGGTGTTACTTCTCGATGTACAACGCTTCATCAAGTGTATGTTTTCAGGGCTATTTCTCGCGATCCTACTGTCTTCCCAAATCCTGAAGTGTTCGATCCCCAGCGCTGGCTTGATTCAGAAGGTCGCCTTATGGACAATATCAAATTCATCGCATACGGCTTTGGTAGACGGTACGTCGTGCCGACATCATTTTTTTTATACCGATCATTGAAATTCACCTATCATTAAAAGTGTGTGTCCCGGCCTGCACCTCGCAAACCACTCATTGTACATTAGCCTCGCACTTCTCTTGTGGTCTTTCCGCATTACTCAACGACCTGATGCCCCGATCAACACGAATGCCTTCCTGGACGCTGTTATTGCCCGTGCAGCACCATTTGAAATCGATGTCATTCCCCGGATCGAAGTTGCGAAGCTGAAAGAACTTATGACCGATGGGTGTATAGATTGAAGATTTTTATAGCCGCCGAAGAGATATTATTCTACATAGAAAAGCTGGGTCGGCATATGCATGTAGACAGGCAAGACAAGTATGTCATTTGTTTGAATCAAGTGAGCGGAGGAAGAAGGGCACCCGGCAGACTCATTGCAACACCTGCATTCATTCATGATACTCTTACAGCGAGTTCTTCAATTCTGTCGTCTTCCATACGCGTTGCGATTCAATCTTCATTCCTGGCTCCCATTAAAGAAATGACCCCTGGTGAACTTTGCGAAACATGTCGATAAGATCCTCAAGTTATCGTGAAACTGAGCGACGTGCAACTAGTGTTCCGCGGCGACACGAAGGATGAATCCAGGGTGAATATGAGGTTGTGGGATAATATATACAGGCCATAAAGGAAGGTCATCTGTACTTGGCTCAAAATCATATGAAGGGGTATGAGTATAGCGGTAGGTAGTCTCGGGAATTTCACGAGACTTTGTCCTAGGCCGCTTCTGAATAGCGGGAAGAGGAGTGGACGAGATACGAGAAAATTTGTTCGGGGTCGTGTATTCTGAAAGCATAAACTGTCAAGTAAGCTGGTTCCTGTCGCGGAGACGCGGAGAGTAAAACACGAGCAGCCAACTGACTTGCCGAGAGACTGCCGTGAAGAATACCCAGTACACTATGACTCATCATAGTACTTGCGCGTGTATCGACAACGTCAGCGCCGACAGAGCACCAAGAGAGAATCCACAACGAACCTCTTGGAAACTCTCGCCAGTTGCGCTCCTCGCTGAGGCAGACTTGAAAGACTCTGGAGATCAGCTCATTGCCATTTCACTCGCATTGGTGGCCTTGGACCGCCGACGACGGGACAGACGCAGTGGTAAGTATGGTAGAGGAGCATATGACTAGCAAATGTCTGAGGATTTCTTTGACACCCTTATTAATGTCTTGACATTCAAAGTCTGGCTGCGGTAGGTTGTTTTCCTCGTTCAACGAATTCCCAGAGATCTGTTGTACAGGTAAGCACGGAGTACAAGACATTCGACCTGTTACACACGTTATTCTAATAATGTGCCTGGTTAACTTCAAAACTCAGCCAGCGCTCCGGTGACGTTACATACTTGACCTGAACTTTAACCTTGTCGTCACGGTCGTCGGTGCCGGTGAGTCCTACGACGTATGCCCTCTGACTTCAAGGGACTTTTGATTTTTGAGTCTTCAATTGCTTCAGCACTCAATTTTGCATTTTAGGTGTCTGAACCACCATGGGCTCGACGACCCGCAGGCCCAGGCTTACTGCCTGCACCCCTGTTGGTGCTAGCCTCAGGCTTTTTTTGCCTGCGCTCTGCGTGGGGGTTTTGACGGAGGCTTCTCACGCGGCGCAGGACAACTTCCGTCGTAACTGTATGTAACGTCTTCGCAGGACTGTTTAGTGGCAATAGCGCGGTGTCTTCGGAGATAGTGCAGTGAACTTGATGCGGGAGTGATTTGTGCTGGCCATGGTTCCAGTAGTAACTCATACTTGATATCGGTATGTCTTTGTTTGTAATCTTTGCACTTCGGTGGCTCAGCACACAATCAGATGCAGTTTACTCCCACATCTTGCCGACAACTTCAGGCATGAAATAAACTGGTGAAGAAACTGCCACTTAATAACTCTGACAGTTTATTTCCCATCGCTTATTGTTCAAACACTGAAGAAATAAACTGTTATTGAGTAGGGCTAGAGATCCTAGATTCGCGAAGAAATTGAATTGAAACCAATCGCTAGTCAGTCACAGCCAGAGGCAGGTCCTTCCCGCCTTGCGCAACACTCGGGAGCGCAGATACCGCGATGACATAACTTCTGATAGGTCGTCCGCATTGGATGGCGCTTTGGTCAGCGTTCTCATGTGTTATTCTCATCGGGGAATATATGCGTAGCGCTCGTTGTGCTACTCGAGTCTAACTATTGATAAGGCCTTTGATTCGTCTCCCACTGCATCATGCAGATGAAGTTCATCCCCTCTGTACTATCGGCTCTCAAGGCCCTATTGAAGGGCCCACCCTGGTTGCTATGGAAAGTAATCTCCATATTCTTTGGCAGGAGAGAGTACCCACTGCCCCCGCCACCTCCGCCGATATCATTCTCGGCTTTATGTTCACCATCTGATTCACCATACGAAAGTGCTCACTCGCTACTTCAAAGATCATATGAATGCACCCGCTCGCAGCAACAACAATCCACGCCCCCTGTATCTCCTGATGTTGCTCCTGTGACCGAGCCTGCTCAAAGTCACACTCCTCAGGTCTGTCTTAGCATAATCCATCTGTCGGTGCTGTCTACTCACCTCTTCGACGCAGCGATCACGTCGTTTTTCTGGACCCTGAATTAGCTACAGAGTCTCATCGCCAGCCGAGCGTACGATTTTCTGCACAACCTACGCCCCCCGTATCTCCTGATGTTACTCCCGTGACTGAGCCTGCTCAAAGTCACACCCTTCAGGTCTGTCTTAGCATAATCCATCTGTCGGTGCTGTCTACTCACCTCTTCGACGCAGCGATCACGTCGTTTTTCTCGACCTGAATTAGTTACAGAGCCTCATCGCCAACCGAGCGTACGATTCCCTGTCCAACCCACGCCCCCCGTATCTCCTGATGTTGCTCCCGTGACCGAGCCTGCTCAAAGTCACACCCCTCAGGTCTTTCTTAGCATAATCCATCTGTCAGTGCTGTCTACTCACCTCTTCGACACAGCGATCACGTCGTTTTTCTGGACCTGAATTAGCCACAGAGTCTCATCGCCAACCGAGCGTACGATTCCCTGCACAACCCACGCCCCCCGTATCTCCTAATGTTACTCCCGTGACCGAGCCCGCTCAAAGTCGCATCCCACAGGTCTGTCTTAGCATAATCCATCTGGCAGTGCTGTCTACTCATCTCTTTGACACAGCGATCACGTCGTTTTTCTGGACCCGAATTAGCTACAAGAGCATCAGAGGTTGTTGTAACGCCCGTTGTAATTGACCCTAATGATGATACCGATTCTCTTCGTCACAAAGCCAGAATTGAAGGGAATCGCATGGAAGAATGTTTCAATCAAAGCTGCGAAGCGTACGCTTGTGACGAGCGAAGGCTCGCTAAACAGCTTTCCCTGAGGGGTGAGGCGTACAAAGCCAACATGGAGCTCTTAGATAAGGAAGCCAGCACAAAGATATTTCAAGGTATGAGACTGATGGACGGAGTATGCAGCATTCGCCAACTTACCTCCAACCTTCTAGAGAATAATAAAGTTTGTTGTTGTTGTTATGAATCACGCCGCTGTCCGACGCTTTTCACAGGGACTCGGGCCCAACACGATTGATCTTCACCGACTCTCTGTCTTCGAAGCCAAGGCATACTTCGACGATGCTATTCAAGGGGTTCGGGACCGTGGAGAATTGTCACTTCGTGTGATCGTAGGTAAGACATCATCCATGGCACACTCAACTTCAGAAACAGGCTTCTCATTGATTGCAAAACTGCTCAGGAAAGGGAATTCACTCCGAAAATAACATTGCCAGGATCAAACCTGAAATCCAAGAATATGGGAGAAGGTATGTGCACCGCGAACGTGCCCCCATAAGTTGGTTCTCATCATAGATGTCACGCAGTTTGGGTTTGACTGTTGAAGTGGATTCACGCAATGATGGCTGCCTTGTTGCGAAGATTAATGATCCCAGCTAAGTTGAACGACAATTTTTTGCGATCCCCATGTACCCCTTTTTTGTGTTATTCTTCCTCTTTTCATACTCGAGTGTGTACGATACTATAAGAAGTGTTTTGGTGTCTTCGTAGTTAAATTCATCGGTCAGGCCCAAAATTGTACTCAAAGCTTCGTTCTCGGCATCCTGTAGGCTAGCTACAGCGTGGATGGTCGCCACCAGTAACTAGTAGGCCGTTGTTTACCCATAACTTCCGTTTTATACCCTCTATTTTGTGGACGCCCTTCCCTGCTGTCTCTACGCAATATATAGCGTTGATGTTTGATCTCTTCAAGAATGATCCTGTTGATTGTATAGGCTACCGCTTCCCATGCACGTGTCGCTCATGGAGATGCTGATTCGCAGAAACGCTCCTGTCACATGACAGCTTCGCATCGGATACCATAGATGTTCTGAAACTGCATACTGGTAATCTCGCATATGTTCAAGTGGGGGAGATCGATCGATCAAAGATTAAATTCAAATTTGTCGATGGGTGCGCAATGCTCTCTTGAAGTTGTAGAGGACAACCGTCTGGTCAGCTCGGCCGACGGCATTTTACTATCCTGGACCAAATATGGCAAGTCTTGCTCCCACGACTTTAATCACCGAGCTCACCTGGACTCTTGATGGCACCCGACTTCTCTCAGCAACTCATACTTGGCGCTCTTAGGATACCCGCACCTGGAAACAGGCTGCCAGCGGTGATCCCTGGACTAGGACTGGCCATGCCGATGATCAGGCAATCAACTACACCATGATCATCTTGAACCCAGCTGGTACCCTTATCGCATCAGCATCTGCTGCCTCCATGCAGCACAGTTCGTTTGTTTCAGCTCCCCACAGGTACAGCGGAAGTCGCCCGATTTCAGCACTCAAATGCGGTTTTTCATGCCGCATTTTCGGTCGATGAACGCTCTATATCCAGCAGCAGCGGCGACGGCAGGAAAATCTCGCAATGGGAGATAACGGAGGATTCCTTTTACCAGAAAGAAGGTGAAGTAGCTGCATCCAACTTTTATTTCCATCCACATGCAAGCTCACGCGCACCCATTCCAGATCGGTCCTTCACCTTCACGGGGCAAGCAACGGGTGAACTTTTGTTTGGAGTGCCTAGACTCACTGGTGCCTATGGGCACCATGCACTTTCTGAATACTGTCGACGCACCACACGAGCAACGGCTGCAACATACCTTGACCACAAAATTAATTGTCGCCAGTTTCTCCCACTGCGTTCTTCGGCGCTTCCGACTTCCTGTTAGATGTACCAGACGAACAACCTAACAAAGCACCTGCATCTGCGAAATAGCCCACTATTGTGAAGGACAACAGGCAACGACCTGGCTTTGCTCATTCAACTGTATACCCAAACTCGACCAAAGTGTAAATGGCCTTCTTGATGTGCATGTTCGTCAGTTCAATGTTTTTTCTTGAAACACACTCGGATTGAGGTTCTCCACATAACTCATAATCACAATAACACATTCTGACTATGGGATAATGTGGATCACCTCGCTTGCATGAGTCTGAGGATCATTTGTGAAATGCGCAACGTCTAAGCCTTCAGAAGCACTTTAAATTCTACCAGAAGGTCCACGCCGCTGCCTCACGCGTTCTTGAGCCACTCGTCGTCTAGTAGTTCCAAGGCTGTAGGTCGTGCGTGGGGATCAATAGTTAAACACTTCCGAATAAAGGCAGCGGCAGGAGCTATGTCCTGCCTATCCATAACTTTATATGCTCGGAGACAGCTTTCCATTGCTTGAGGGATCAAATTGTGAACGCGGAGTGATCCTTAAAAAAGAATTTCAAATCCGCTCGCTGATGAAGGCGCGATACCTTACCTTGTTCGTCAAAGAAATCACTCCGGCGTTGACATCGTTCCAAAAAGCTAGGTGGAAAAGGCCCAATATGTTCGAGAATTCGTTGGAGACAAAGATTTTCCACGCTGATGGAAGAAGACTCCGAGAGTTGAAACATAGCTGCACCAGTCAGGTATTCGAAAACCTAGATGGCTTTCGGTTGATGACAGCAAGTAAAAATAAACTATATATCTTACTAAACATCCCATGGACCATACGTCGATGGGTGTAGACCACCCATGTCCCAGAGTAACTTCTGGTGCGCGAAGGAGAACAGGTTGAACCAGTTCTGCTCGGTGCTCTTTGGCGGGTGTTGCTGTTGACGACGGGACAGATGGGATATCATCGTTCAAATGTAAGGACACTAACCTTGACCATAATCAATCAAACAAACCTTGAGGTTGCTAGCATCCTCCCGAAGGCCGAAATTAGGGAGCGGCTGCGACTTTACTGTGATGATAGGCTCAGGAGATAAAGTGGGCTCAAACCGAGGGTCGTATGTGGCGGATGGCGTTTCTTCAAGGAGGCGAGTTATAGCTTCATCTTCGTAGTCCACACAGACGAGAACGTTGTCGGGTTTCACATCTTAAAGATTACGTTATTAGTTATGTGATTTGCTATAGAACAGAGCTGGAATACATACCTGTATGTACGAAGCCGCACTCGCGGTGAAGGTAGTCCAAAGCAAGAAGTGTTTGTTTGACTATACGTTTAGTGAGAGCAAGAGTAAAAGCACGCCCGTCGAGTTGCAGCCTACGGAGACCGATCATGTTCGCCCCCAGAATGTTGGTCACGATGCAAATGTGAGGACCATGGCGGCTCTTTTCGGCGATTACGTCGTAGAGATGAAGGCAGTGTTGGTGGCCGGGGTGGTCAGGATTAGCCGTTTTGATGGTCCTAAGAGAGTCCACCTCACGTAGAAATCCTTGCACCACACCTGCGGTCGCGTTGACTGTAAGAACCTTGACAGCAACATATTTCGCTGGATATGCGTTCCTAAAATTACCGTGATCCTCATAAGCAGGCTCGACAAAAGATGCACTTACCCCAGGGTGCGCGCAAGCCACACGTTGGAATTATCAGCCCATCCAAGTTTCCTTACGATCTGGAGCTTGCCCTCTGCAAAATGCTGTCCTAAGGTAATGGGGTAATATCCAAAGCCTTGCTCGGGCGACAGCACAAGTGGCTCTTCGTCGCACACAAATTCTTCCCCGTCATCTTTTTCGTTGATCTGCACATGGACGAACGGATCGTCCAGAGCTCTTTTAATAGAGTCGCGAGCCAGTGAGGTAGATATGGAAGTAAAGCGAGGAAGTGTGCGACCTAGGGTCTTGGGCCGTAGAGCGCCACGAAGTGAGTTGGCTATGACAAGCATCATTCAAGTCGGGGTGGTTTGCTTTCATACTCAAGAAATTCGGACATCGATACTATGTGCGTATATATCAGCCTTAAGTCGGAATATACTAAATCCGAAAATTGATACAAAGCGGTTGTTTGGACTCAAAAGGCTTTGCCAAACAAAGGCGCACAGCCGCCCCGTCCCTAAGTTGGCAAATTACCTTGAGCCCGCAGACTGTAGTAAGACCGTCCTGGTCATATCCAGCGTACCGGTTTCCCATAGGCGTATTAGGGAAGAAATGTGAGCTTTCAAAATCGGGTAAGCGTTATTAACATGCATTTGAGCGTTCATCCATTGCGTAGATAGTCGCAAACCTAGTGTCATTTCTTGGTCGACTTCATTCATCGTTCCCCGGTATGGCCTGACATGGTCAACTTCGAGTCTCCGAGCATGCACAAAGAGATACCAGGCTGTTGAGCTTGAACTGCGTTTTCAGTTGTATATATTCGAAAAAAATCCAAACTGTGGGCGTTGCCAAGCGGTGAAAGTTTCTTCTTCCTCGGGATTCAGCGCGTATCGTGCTCGTCTCTTGTTAAAGTTCGGCCCATGAAGCCTAGCGGCTGACGACGGAAGTTCATACTTGCCTTCGCAATTATTATTCAGTAGCATCGATACTACATCTTCCCGCGCAATGCCTCAAGTAAGTTCGCACTTATCTGCATATCTTTTGTGATCCGAACACTTATCGAATTGGATTTCGGCATTGATGATATAGTAATATCGTCCAGTAGCAAGTAATATCAAGACTTCGGACTTGGCTAACAAGACATTCCAAGACCTCGTGACACGGGTATTGGACCTTCCGTTCATCGGACCTAACCAACCTTAGGCAAGCCAGTCCTTGGCATTGCATTCACATACGTTTCTTACATATCTCCACTCCACTGAGTATTCAAGTTCGTTCTCAGACTATTGCCTAATTCAGCATCTCTCCGGGTTTTGTCTCAACACATCGAGCAATATCCGCCTTGGCGTGGCTACAGAACGACGAAGCCACCATCCCCATACAAGGAGAATCCCCGTGTCATTCCTTCCAATCAGCGGCAACCCTTTTCGCCTCTATTTCAGATGATACGATTGTAGCTGCGGGTCTGGCTATTCGGACTCGGAAGAACTGACAGTGCAAACGGGCCGACTCGAGTCTAAAGTGTTTGCACCAATCGGAGATCGAGAAGACGCGGGTATAAGGATGACGCATCTGATTACTCAACAGCGTCGAACTTCTTGATATGACAAAATCCCGCCCGCAGCTTTATACAAGGAAGAAAAACACAGAAAGATGCACAGGGTACGTGCCCGATGTTTTTTTACTTTCCTTTGTCTCAGTGCTCCAGTATCCCATAATCTTCTTTTACTGCGTTGGCAGATTATTTATCCCCATTTTTTTCTGCCGAAATGATGTATGTTTACGTGACTGGTAGCAGCTGCCTCGGAGTCATACTTAGAGTATGGCAATTTTGGTCCCCCATTCACGATCACGAGGTATACGTGAGGTTGAGAGCGATAACAAAAATTATACGTTTAGATGATGTCAATACATCCGAATAACCTTATATCCGGGAGGCCGCTTCGCCTTCATATCCTGACAGGTATTGATTATTTTTTAATTTCTTAAAAACCCTTGTTTTATTGTCCGTTGGGGATGATGTTTATACGCTATATCGCTCCTTGTGCGGTCTGTAGATCCTGTTCTTTGTTGGTGGGCACCATACTGAGGTTTTCGAACAGGGATTATTGTTGCAATATTGGACTCGACTTGAGAATTGAAAGCTCGGACCAATGTCACAAAGACACAAAATCTAGCCAGGGATGCTTGGGCACCGCAGAAGGAGTAAATGTGTACGTCCTTCGGAATCCGCAGCAGATTCACCAGTAATCCTGTCGGACAAATATCCGATAGCTTGACTAGCCAAGCTATGATTATCTCCACGCAATGGTGCGCACACGTACTCGGTACATACCTTTAGCGCAATATCTTTCGCAGAGTGTAAGATCACCTTGTAACGTTGTAAGTGCCCCCTTTTTTGACTGTATAAGAAGCAATCAAATTTGGGTCAGGTACTCAAAATTTCGCTGCTTCATCTTTCTCAATTTGCGACTCATGGCTACTTTAACCGTTGTAGAAGCGCCTTCTGGACCTGAACACAAAACGCCATGCAAAAAATTAGATGTCGAAGCGTCCACAGACACAAATGATACAATCGACATAGAACATGTTCCGGTTGATGACGACCCCCGTCAGTGGAGTCGTACCAGAAAAGTGTGTGTATGACACTCGCACTGTGTGACCCTCCTGACCCTGTACCACTTGTAGACAATAACTTTGTGCATGGTGTCACTAGCTACAATGGTGTCTGGGTTGGCTTCTAACATTCAAAATCGTTTGCCACATTTGTTTTCCGCATGAGCATTTTTTTGACACCGTCTCGCAGCCTCGAACTTTCTGATAGAGGAGGATTTACATGCAACAACTAGCCAGATTAGCTGGACATTAGCGGCGTTCCAACTCATACAAGGGAACCTTCCGCTGCTGTGGAGCACCGCAAGTGAGATTAAAGGCCGTAAGGTGGGTCTAGGTGTACCTACCCTTTTTGATCTGCTTGATGAGCGCGGATCTCGTTTATCACAGCCTGTCTATTTGGTGGCTTCGGCTATATTCGTGGTAGGAAACGCTGCTTTGGCGCTCTCGAAGACCATCGAGGTGATGATTGGTATGCGAGCACTTCAAGCTGCGGGGTAAGCATCCATCTAAAGAGCTTGATCGTTGATTGACCCCCTTCCTGAAGTTCATGCGCCGTTATTTCTATTTCGGCTGCGACCCTGGCCGATATCTATGAGCCTCATGAGCGCGGTACCATGATGGGTATCTTCTATGCTGCACCTCTCTTAGGACCCGCACTGGGCCCTATACTTGGCGGATCGTTGTCACAAGCCTTCAACTGGCGTGCAAGTTTTTACTTTCTACTAATCTGTGGAGGAGTAATATTCTTGTCCTTCCTCATCCTTTTCAAGGACACGTACCGACGTGAACGAAGTCTTACGTATCGATCCGCTTTACAACGACTTCATACCTCCAGAGAACCTGTTCAGAGTTCCGGGAAGTCTACCATCACCGGGCATGAGTCCAGGGAAAGCCAAACATCGGTCAAGGACACTGAGAAGCAGCTCCGGCTGCTGAATGTTCCGGTCGATAAATCAGTGGTGGCTGTCAGGCTATCAATAAAGGACATCAACCCCTTCCCGTCATGTTTTCGAATGCTGTCACGAAAGAACAATGTTCTAATTCTTATTGCTAATGGTGAGTGAACAGTTGGCCTTTTGTACACATTGTTAGTAACTTCATTTCGGTATAAGGACTCGTCTTCGGCTTTACCTATTGCCTTTCATACACGTGTGCCCGCACTCTGGCCAACGCATATGGTTATAATGCGTTAAGTGTTGGTTTGGTCTTGCTTTGCCTGGGCATAGGTAAGATCCTCGCTGCTTGGATTGTGGCAGAGGGCTAATTTACTATGAAGGAAGCATCGCTGGGAGTGTGATTGGTGGGCGTTGGTCTGACCGGGTGCTTGCGAAGATGATGGAAGCGAATGGAGGAGAGTGGTACGCAGAAGTGAACCTTTTTTTATACTCCTGCACTGGAGCTCTTGATTGATGTCTTCCCAAGATGCGCTTGGAGAGCTCGACACTGGGGATGCTGTGGCTACCTCCTGCTGTCATCGGTTATGCTTGGGTGTGTGAAAAGCATGTCAATGTCGCTGTCATTTGCGTCATGCTCGTTCTGATTGGATTCTCCTCCATGTCGGTACACCGGTTATTCGTCGTTATTGCTCTGACATCTATTCCCAGATGGATGTATACTTGTACATTGGCATACCTCGTTGATGCCAACCCTGGTCGCTCATGTACAGCAGTGGCTACAAACAGCTCGTTCCGAGGATCCCTGGCTTTTGTTTCGGTGATGATTGCTGTACCGCTTCAAGTGAGTTCCCTTGATATCTGCTGTCTCACAAATCCTGACATTAGCCCACTTTCCCTGTAGAATGCTTTAGGAGATGGGGGGTTGTATACTGTGTGGGCCGGCATCTTGATTGTGACGGAGTTATTGGTTATATTGGTACTGCGCAAGGGAGAATCATGGCGCAGGGAAGGTGAGGAGCGTGAGCTAAAATACTAAGTGAATGAATCCGCGTCTTGTATTACACTTATATGATAATCTTCCAACAACTAGATCCGGATTGCAAGACCGGTCAAACATTATGTAGTCTGTTGTCCTAGTCGAGCTCACCGTAATTAACAAGACTCGACTGGAGCTAACGCTTCTTGTCGACATCATTATAATCACTGGAACAGTAATCCTCAAAATCCCGCTTCCTGTCGACCTGATCATAATCGCTGTAATCATTCAGACCCGTCGCGAGCTCACGCTCCATACTCTTTCCTAGGAGATCACGTTGAAAGCTGATGTCAAGGTTCTCTCGCTTAGCTGAATGATACATTGTGGCAACTGAGTGGATATGATACTGCTGATGATCATGAATACTCACAGGAAAGTTTTGAGATGGCTCCTGGCGTGGGTGACGCCGCAGCAAGAATGACGAAAGATACAAGTGCACTCAAGAGCACAGGAAGCTGCATGTTTGGTGGTAAGAGGAGCGACTATTTTGTCGATACACTACACTGAGGGCAGAGGGCTTTTATACGTTCTCGTAGGCCCGCCCCATTTGGCCTCTTCCACATGCATGTTCAGATTGGGTACAGGGGTCCTGACTCCTGGACCACGTTTTCGAGCTTCGAAGCGCCGCATCGCCGGGACACAACATTGAATAGCCTTGTATGGTAATTGCCTAGTGACTGATACATCATACAAATGAGTCCGCTGCAGAAGCTCCACCATCATGACTCACGGTGCAGTCGCACTAGTACTGCGCAGTAGCGTGAGAGGAGCTCAAGCTGCCACGTCACATTGTGCTGTCATCGCCAGCATATCTTGCGCTTATGTAATGCAGTCGTCGAGTACAGTTTATTTCTGCCGACCTACGATGGACGGATGAATCGTTGTGGCTCAAAGTTAAGTTTCTCCACCTTGCCGGAGCGCCACTGCTGGATATGACGAATTTTCCACGGGACTCCGAGCAAGACACTTGAAATGACATGAGTGCTTTTCAAATTCCTTAGGCTGCCACATCGGCCATGTGTATGAGAGTAGCAGTATCTAGGTTAGGGTCCCGGGAATTTGCACCAGGCAAATTTGCCCTGCAAATTTACCCTGCAAATTTACCGTGAATGACAGTGTCAATTTCACACCCTCGAAAACATAGTGTCAATTTGGGTGAATTTGTTTCTACTGGACCCAGAACACCTGAAAAGCTTATATATGATATACTGGACAATCCTGACAGCTCAGACGCTTGAAAGATTTGCATAGCTTATTGTGGCTCTAGTATCTACATAGTTGAAATAAGGTTTATATTTGGTCGAACACCATTATGCCGATGATGACCGAAATATTGTGAAAATTAGGAACTTGAAATCAGTCCGTAATAATTCCAACAGCGTTACAGCTTACATGGAGCCAAATCTCAAGGATCGACTGGCTGAACTGCGACAGTATCTCAAGGCGCTACCATCCAACATTCCCGTCCCAAAGGAATCAAAGTATAATTTTTCCGACTTCAGCTTGGACGCCGATTGGACTGCAGAAATCGGAGAAGCTGTAGCTGTCAACCGAGAACTAGAGGTCAGGTTTGGAAGTCGTGCCGGTGGCCTGAAAATCGTGGAGCGAGGGCCAGAGACAGAAGCTGTTGTGGATGTTCTCGAAACTTGGATCAAAAAATATCCAGGCGACATTCTCTTAGAGAAGTGGGTCTATGACACTCTCGAAGCTGCGCGAGGTCTCATTCTTGCAGCCAGCAACACTGTGAGTCAGTTTTATCTTATTTCTAATAAAATATTGACGTACTAGTATATAGTTGCCGGTCTTCGACGTGGAAATAGATTCTACGAAGCACAAGCCAGTCAATGTCAATAATCATCAACCCGAGAAAAGAAAGAAGGTTCAGAAACTCGATACACATGTCCTGTCAACCTTCGATGATGACCGGTACCTTGATGCTGATGAAGACGAGGATGCTCGCAAAGGTGGTGCTAAGATGCACCCACTACTTCGCAAGATTTCGAAGCCTTGTCGTCTGGCAAGCGATCCTACTGGTACCAAAATTGTGCGGTGCATTGCTAGCCATGGGTGTAATGTGACATGGGCATGGCCAAGAGCTCGACAACGTATAATGAAGCACGCTGCCCATGAGTGTCCAAGCATGGCAAAAGAGTGGCGGAAAGAAGCAAGAGAGTATATGGCGTCCCAGGCAACAGGAGGGAAAGCAAAGGTCGCAGAAGAAGCATTGGACTCGGATTCTAAAGAACATGTTCTTGCGTCGGAGGTAACAGAACGGCCAATGAAGAAAGCGAGAATGGAGTTGCAGGCTGCATCAAGTTCAAAATCAGTCGTGCCATTCAATAAGGCATATGTTATGGAAGGAACAAAGCAGTTGAAGATGAATGGGGATCACGCACTGATGCTATTCGTTACGTGCATTGGAGTTCCGCGCGGTTCAAACAGATGATCAACGATGCACCCGGTCGTTCCACCACCTGTCCGACCACCTATGAAAAGAGATATCGCAATAAACGACTCGGATGACGAGACCAGTGAGGGACAGTGGCCTTATGATGGTGATGACGTGAGCTTCAATGGAGAAAAAAGTGACAGGTTTGATGTTGGTGATCATCAACTTATCATCAGGATTCCTTCTCGATATTCTCTCAGACCAGCCTGTGCAGCTTGAGCCAACCGCTTCCGCGAGTCACGGACCTCCATCCAAGCTGACGTCTGACACTGCAACTTCATCGACGACACCAATGGATGACGAGTGGGAGACATGGGAGTCTGTAGAGTAAATTACAGTCAATTAGGTGAAATTCACCTGCAAATTAACGCTAATTAGCGTCAAAAAGCTGGAGCTTTCGGGGGCTCTGCCCCCGAACCCCCGTCAGTAAATTTGTGTGAATTTCGTGTCATTCACACCTGTAAATTTGGCCCTCTGTGAGGGCCATGCTAATTAGCCTGTCAACCAGACGCCATACCCTAATTCCCGGGACCCTAATCTAGGTGCACAAGTTGTGATCGTCTCGTTCTACTGCAAGCTCAGATGGGTCAAGCACACCAACCCTGAGAAGAAAAAAAAAGGTATAAAAAGCCCTCTCGAAATTGTTGGGACGAAGTAGTCACTCAGCTGCAGCTTTCTCTTCTCTTCAGCGCTCTCACGTCCGTCGTCAGTCTTCCTGGGGTGTGAACACATACCAAGAGCCATCATGACGCACTACTGTGAGGATTCGTGACCGCTAGCAACGCCAGGACCCACAGATATAGGTAGGGATGCTAGTTCGGACAAATTTTCAAGGTCTGAGGGCCATATACTTGATTCAATCCGGACAAATTTCAGTGCGGCCCAGGGACCTGGTCCTTTATGCGAACGGATGCCGGCTGAGATAACGAAGGCCTGATCCGTGTCCAGACAAATCGTTAAGTAGTTTGTTGGACTGAGTAGATTGGGCGTGAAACTAAGAGCTTGTTGGTATAGGTTGGCAACTTTGCATTCGCAATTCGGAACCACGATCTGCCCACAGCGGTTACCGTGGTATAGTCCACGTATCTGACAATGACGCAAATCATGAGACGGGGGTGTTGGGGTAGTGAGACTAGTGACAAATCAATATTGTCAAGGTGCTGAGCGTGGCCCAAGACCAGAATAAGGAGTCTTCATATACAGGACAAAGTAAGAACAGAGGAAGGGACCGTTGACGTCATGGACTTCCGACATTCACCTCCTCGGCAAACACCGAGAAGCATTTGAAACACTCGACCCACTCCAACTCCGCAGGTCGGCAGGACACTGGTATATAGCCCGGCCCGTACTACGGTAGAGGCTCCCACAAACCGCTCAGGACAGGACACTTGCTGAGGCTGGCATGTTGCGTTAGATCTTAGAGCATAAGCACTCGCGAAACCAAGATGTTGTGTCCTCCTTTGCTGATTGTGTTCCTTCCAGATTCGTTGACTGGTATTTATTTACAGTGTACACGATATCCTCCCCGTCTGTACCTCCCACGCTTCATCAGCTCTCTCCCTCTTCCGGTCCAGATCTTGCTGCTATTATCGCGTGGCCAACCCTTCAATGTCAGCATCGATATTCCTGCGGCTGATGTCCTCTTGTATTCGTTCGTCAGATTCATACAAGCGTCCACGATATTGACGATAGTAAGTACTCGGCAGTCGCGCCCATGATCGCGACCTGCCAAAGAATCTGTAGGTCAATAGTACCGAACTGCCAATCACTATGTTATATACTTTCACAGGCTGCGGGTGGGTCTGAGGATCGCCTCGAGTCAGCAAGTTAGCGGTGTAATTGTTGGTGTAGGTTAGGTGGAGCAGGATCTTTGCAAATTGAAATGACTGGTGCATCAAACGTTATGCATGCGGACATCCGGCTATTAGTGATTAAAATAGAGTCTACTGAGATCTTCGAAGTCAAGAATTCGGTGCAGCGTCGCAGTGAAAGTCGTAAGCGTTGAGCTGGCGCGTAAAGAAAAGCATCATTAATTTAATGAGTGCCCTATCATATCATTTGGCAGGTGACACAGCTGACGCTGATTCAGAGGCAGCTAGAGGAGATAAGTCAGCATACGCATGCAGACAGGGAAAGAGATGGACATTGAAATCCGCAATCGTTCACGCTCCTCTTCTGATTGGAGAAATGACTCGCGGGCATCACTATGAAGCACGTCAATGAGGCCCTCAAGCTACATAGAACTGAAAAATGCGTAATCAGTGCTTCACGCTGACACGAGGGATGAGTCTAGGGCGAAAATAACTGTGCGACAATGCGTGCAGGTAATGAGGGAAGGTGGTCTGTACCAGAGAGCACTTTTGAGAGGTTCCGATTCAGATCCAACACTAGGTGATTATACAGGACAATCATTGGAAACACAATGTACTCATCTGGCATGCCAAAATTCCCTTGCGCACTGTCTCTCGCACCGCACCTATGATGTCTCGTGTGCCATGATAGGTCATCTAGTACGTCAGCAAGGACTGCATTGTGTTCTAAGCGGAGGTAGAGCTTTAAACGAGCGAGAGATGGTCAGAGTTCGGAGTACATATGAACAACAATGTTAGCTCTGAAGTAAACTATAGACCATAGATAGATGCGAGAAGCTATGTTTACTTACTGGACGATGCACTGGCTTGAGTATATGCATTGAAACATGACTAGAATTGGATGGTTGTTTGCACAAACCGATGCGATAAGAACCTGTGAATGGACGATTAGCGCCGTCTCGTGACATACAGCATGTAGGACGTAAAAAAACTTGCATATCTTTCCAGTTTGCCAAGCAACAGACCAGTAGACAAATGGCGAGTACTTGTCAACTCGTTTGCCCCCATAACTGATCACCATCTGCAGCAGAGTCGGATTGATCCACCAGATTACAGTAACGAGCTATGACTTCTAAATCTTCTGCAAAGCTGACCTTCGAGGAAACTTCAACCCCGGCGCAAGGCAAAGGGTCAGCTCCAAAACACAAGTTTGAAGGACACGAGGAGACGATTTTGGGGTTCGTCTTCTTGCAAGACAATGTCCACATTGTGAGTGGTTCATCGGACGGCACTATGCGCAAGTGGAACTGCGACACGGGACTTCTCGTCGGGGAACCATGGAAGAGGAATGGGGGAGGTATATGTGCACTGGCGCTTTCACCGGATGGGAAGACAATTGCTTGTGGGAGAGAGGACGGAAGCGTTCAGCGGTGGACTACCAATGGGGAGATGATCGAAGGCGTTTGGACGGGTCACAGCAAGGCGGTGTGGTCGTCCTCGTGGTCACCTAGCGGAAGTCATATTGCCAGCGGGTCCAGAGATGGAACAATTCTCATTCTAAATGCAAGAAGTGGGAAAGTCAAGGTGGGCCCGATTGAGACGAAACAAGGCTGGGTGTGGAGTCTTGCATATTCACCTTCGGGTGACAGAATCGCATCTGGCGGGGACAAGAAAACAATTTGCGTCTGGGACACGAAGACCGGCGAGCTTGTTGTTGGCCCCATCGAAGGCTTGGGGAACTCTGTGACGTCGTTGGTGTGGTCGTCAGACAGCACAAAACTGTACTCCGCATCCGACGAATTCGCACGTGTTTTCAACAGCACATCAGGCAAACTACTCCATCGCTTTAAATTCAAGCACCGAAATATCGATGCATCCGACGAATTCGCACGTGCTTTCAACAGCACATCAAGGGCCTGGCTGCCCCCCAACGAATTTGAAAGTCATCTCGACAACACACCAGAACTAGTATATCACCATAATATCTTGCATTCCATCGCCCTTTCACCCACACACAATGTCCTGGCATGTGTGGGCGCCAATGGCGTTGCACAGCTTTGGGACACAGGGTCCCACCAGCAACTCGGCCAGCCATTGCACGAGGATCACAGATTCACCCTTCGCTGCGTGTCGTTCTCTCCAGACGGGAGATACGTAGCATATGGCGGATACGACAAGAAACTTACTCTATGGATGCTCAAAGACATAGCTCCTCAGCTTCCAGCACCCGCACTACTTCAGTTTCTACCACCCACACTACTTCAACAAAGTGACCGACAAAGCACACAGGAGGAAACTCGGTCTAACTCCCCATTATCGTCTTGTCTGGATGTCAGTACTTTCACGTTTGACTTCCTGTCTTGCTCACAGTGCTGTTGCAGGCTGATGCTACGGGAGGTGGTGGCTTCATCGATGATGCGCACGACGATCCGTACAACAACAATTTCTTCCAGGTAGGACTCTTGTTTTCATCCAAGGGTTCTAACACTGACAACAAGTACTTGTAGTCTTCGCAGCAATCTCTTCCATCGCCATCGCCTGGCATCCATGTCCCTTCCTTGTTTTCGGCTCGCCGCCTCTGGAATGTCATCTCTCGACGTCGCCCACCAGATGAGTCTGTTCCGCGAGAACGCTCCAGACGTGGTTTCTTCGGTCGTCGTGCTCGCTCAAACTCGTCCCTGGAGCTCGCAACTACGATACCCAACCAACCAGTGCCAGAAGGGGAAGGCGAACAACGTGAAACTGTTGATGACGTAAGTGCTGTTTCGACTCTCACACACCGTCATCTTAACACGACGGCCGTCAGCGCGGTTCCGTACATGGCTCACTCAGCGCCAGAAATGATGAAGGTAGACAGCGAGATGATCCTCTCGCAGACGCGCGGAGTCCACTGTCTGATGATCGTACTTCCACCACCCACCTGCATAGCAAAGATCATCGAACACTCTGGAAACGGCTACTGCAGGCTCGAGGGAAGAACTCCACATCTGGTTCCCTACATCCCAGTACTCGACCTGCTAATGCGCCCCAACAAATAGTGCACAATCCCTGGCACTGGAATTCCAGCTCATTTCCAGCAGGGTTTTTCAGACGTCCTGTCGATGTTGCTGCTTGCCGCGAGGAAGATGTGAGTAACTCGACAATACTCCCCTTTCATGTTATCGAAATCGCTTTGCAGAGATACGGCATTACCCCTGAAACTGATGCGGAAGCGGCCGCAGCTATGCTACGCACGAATGACGATGTGGCCAGCAGTTCAACGCGACCAGGTCAACCTGCAGTGGTGGTACATGTTTCCCAAGGACGGCCCACACAAACACAAGCCTCGACAAACGGGCCAGAAGAAATTGCAGTAAGCTGTTGTGGATTTGTCGTTAGCCTGAGCTGTCGTCGTTCCGACTCGCATCAGCCATGAGTTCATTTACTGAGGCATTTCATTGACCTAGTTCTTTTATGTACATTGTATATGGACTGCATATCTCATACTCAGCTTTGCGACGTCCTCATAGATTTACACGAGCAGTATTATATTCATACAGAGTTGTCCACGGTGCACTGTCACTCACTCGTTCGCGATTGTACTTTCTTCACCCACCTGCTTGTACCTCTGGTCAAGGCCAATTAAACAAAACCGGGCATATGATGAATTTATCACTACCATTGCGCAAGGGAGTATCTGAGACTTGTGGTCGATGACTTTGGTTTGTTTTGAGGTGTGCAAGGAAATATTGGAAGCGCTGGGCATCTCTAACAGCGAGGCCTGGAAGAAAACCTTGGCAGGATTTGCCTTGGGAGTGGGAATGGCCCAGTGATTGAAAATCCTGCACCACATTTAGCAAAGTCATCGTGCCACTTGAGTTAGGTGAGCACATTAATATTTTGGCACAATATTGTCTAGCATCTAGGTCTGGTATGTTAACTGTGAATTCGTTAGCATAAACTTCCTCAAGCATCAAATCAAAGCTAAAGCCTCATAAGCAATGAGTTGTGCGTCTCCAATGTGATAGGAAAAGGTGCAACACATTGTCCTCGGCCATTTTCAGGTGAGTGGGCCTCCGGACGACGAGTATTTCACCACCACAGGAAGATGAATGGTACGACATCCAATATGCGACACAATTGGCTGGATGAACCTATTATACTAGGCGAGCGATCATAAATGTTGTGTCAGTGTCGCAGCAAACAGTGTGTTGAACTGATGGGCAAAGAGAAAATGCATTCGTACATACTGATATCAGCGAGGAGTGTATCATGTTCTTGGTTAGAGTAGAGCTTTAAACAAGCGAGACATGGTTGGAGGTCGGAGTACATATGAACATCGTTAGCTCTGAAGCAAACTATATATAGATGCGAGAAGCTGTGTTTACTTACTGATCAATGTATTGCCTTGGGTATGTGGATCGAAACATGATTGGAATTGGATCGTTGTTTGCACAAACCGATGCGATAAGGACCTGTGAATGGACAATTTGCACCACCTCGCGAAATCCATGCCTTCCATCTGCAGGTCATAAAACTCGCCTGTCTTGCTAGGTTTCCCCTAAACAACTGACCAGTATACCAACCAGTGAGTGCTAGTCGACTTGTTCGCCTCCAAAATTGATCACCGACCACGGTAGAGTCACCAGATTACAGTAACGAGCCATGGCTGCTAGATTCTTTGCAAGGCGGACCCCCAAGGCCTTGGAAGCTTCGGCCGCACCGCAATGGGAAGAAATAATTCTGAAGCACGAGTTTGAAGGACACAAGGGAGCGATTTGGAGTTTTGTCTTCTTGCACGACAATGTCCACATCGTGAGTGGTTAGGCTTTTGGAAGGGTCATAGCGAGGTGGTGCAGTCGCTCTCGTGATCACGCAGCGGAAGTCATATTGCCAGCGGGTCCGATGATGGAATAATTTTGATTCAGAATGCAGAAAGCGGAGAAGTCGAGGTGGGCCCAGATGATACGGAACAGTACGGGGTGCGTGCTCTTGCATTTTCACCTTCTGGGGAGAGAAATCTGCATATGTTGATGTATACACTGTCAAACGTATCAGCTGTAAAGCTTACTCGCGTAGTACGTACCTCCTAGGCTCGGTCAGCTCTCTCCCTCTCCCAGTCCAGATCTTGGCTGCCATTATCGCATGGTCAGCTTTGTATGCAAGCACCGATATCTCTGCAGTTGATGTCCTCTTGTATGCGTGCGTCAGATTCATACAACCGTCCACAATATTGATGATGGTAAGTACTCAGCAGTCGCGCCCATTATCGTGACCTGCCAAAGAACCTGAAGGTCAATAGTGCCAATAACTTGACGTACTTGTATCTTATATACTTTCGCAGGCTGTGAGTGGGCACATAAATGTATTTCATGAACTGAGGATCGACTCGAGTCAGCAAGTCAACGTAATTGTTAGTGTAGGTCAGGTAGAGCAGGCCCCTTTCAGATTGAAATGACTGGGTGTCGAACGTTACACGTGTGGACGCCAATGGCGATTAAAATAAAATGTGCAGATCAGATGCTTTAAGTTTGGTGTAGTGTTGCAACGGAAGTCTTTAACGTTGAGCTGGCGCATAAAGAAAAGGACTATTGTTTAAATGGGCGCCCAATCATTTGCCAGGCGACACGGCCGACATACTAGTTCAGAGGCAACTAGGGAAGATGTGTAAGCATACGCATGCAGACAGGGAAAGATATGACATAACATTTGGTTGTATGGTAGAGAGAGGAAGAACAAAACCCGTCAATCACATTACAATGAACATTGAGATCTCCACTCCTCCTCTTTCGATTGGAGAGATGACATGGCCACCACCACGAAGCATGTCAATACGGTCCTCAAGCTATGTAGAACTGAGAAACGCGTAATCAGTATTCCGTGGTGACACGAGGGATGGGTCCAGAGCGAAAAATAAGGCTGTATAATGATACATGCAGGTAATGAGGAAATATTGTTTGTACTGATGAGCACTTCTGAGGTTCTGATTCAGAGCGAAGACACATCCGACACCAAATGAATACACAGGACAAACGCCGGAAGCGCAACGCACTCACCTAAATTCCCTGCGCACTCCATGTCTCTCGCCCCGCACCTATGTCATCTTGCGTATTTTATGATAGCTCATCCTGACGTCAGCGAGGACCACAAGATGTTGTGTTATTGTTCTGGGTAGGAATAGAGCGTTAAACAAGCGGGGGATGGCTGACAACAAACATAAGCACAAACCATAGATGGACGTGAGAAGCTGTGTTTACTTACTGGTTGATGCATTGCCTTGAGTATATGGATCGAAATACAACTGGAATTGGATAGTTAAGGACTGTGAATTTCAAACATCAAACCAATGCGATACAAACCTGTGAATGACGATTAGCGCCGCCTCGCGGAATTTACGCATACCACCTGCAGGACATGAAAACTTGCCTGTCTTGCCAGCTTGCCCCAAACAACAGACCAGTATACCAACCAGTGAGTACTAGTCAACTTGTTCGCCCCCATAATCGATCACCGACCGCGGTAGAGTCAGATTGCTCCACCAGCCTACAGTAACTAGCTATGGCCACTAGATTCTTTGCAAGGCAGATCCGCAGGGGAACTTCAACCCCAGTGCAACGGGAAGAACCAATTCTGAAGTACAAGTTTGAAGGACACAAGAATGCGATTTGGAGTTTTGTTTTCTTGCACGACAGTGTCCACATCGTGAGTGGCTCAGGGGACGGCACTATGCGCAAGTGGAACTATGACACGGGACTTGTTGTCGGGGAACCATGGAAAAGTGAGGGAGGAAGGATATATACACTGGCGCTTTCACCGGACGCGAGGATAATTGCGTGTGGGAGAGAGGACGGGAGCGTTCAGCGGTGGACTACCGATGGTGAGATGATCAAAGGCATTTGGACGGGTCATAGCAAGGCGGTGCGGTCGCTATCGTGGTCACCCAGCGGAAGCCATGTTGCAAGCGGGTCTGACGATGGAAAAATTTTGATTCGAAATGCGAAAAGTGGAAAAGTGGTGGGCTCGATCAAGACGAAGCAAGGAGGGGTGCGTGCTCTTGCATATTCACCTTCGGGTGAGAGAATCGCATCAGGCGGGGACGATACAATTCACATCTGGGATACGAAGACCAGAAAGCTTGTTGTCAGCCCCATCACAAACCTGGGGAACTCTGTGACCTCCTTGGTATGGTCGTCAGACAACACAAAGCTTTATTCCGCATCCGACAAATTCGCACGTGTGTTCGACAGCAAATCAGCCAAACTACTCCATTCCTTCGAGCACGACAATTACTTGTATTCCATTGCACTTTCAACCAAACATAACGTCCTGGTGTGCGTGGGCCTCCAAGGTGTTGCACAGCTATGGGACACAGAGTCCCATCAGCCACTCGGCCAGTCATTCCACCAGAATCACAACCACCTTTTCCATGCGTCGTTCTCTCAAGACGGGAGCCATTTAGCATACGGTGGATTCGACCAGAAACTAACTCTATGGATGACGGTCAAAGACATGGTTCCTCAGCTTCCAGCATCCACACTATTTCAAAAACGCGATAAACGAAGAACACAACAGGAAACACGGTCCAATTCCTCATCATCATCATGCCTCGACGTCAGTACTTTCATGTTTGACTGACTGTCTTCCTTGCTTATATTGTTGTTGCAGGCTGATGCTACAGGAGGTAGTGGCTTCGTTGAGGACGCGCACGACGACCCGTATAATAACTTCTTCCAGGTAAAGCTCTTCTTTTCATGCAATGGCACTGGTACTGACAACAAGTACTTGCAGTCTTCGCAGCGATCTCTTCCATCGCCATCGCCTGGCTTCCGTCTCCCCCCATTGTTTTCGGCTCGCCACCTCTGGAATGTCGTCCCCCGACGTCACCTACCACCAGACGAGTCCGTTTCACAGGAACGCTCCAAGCGTGGTTTCTTCAGTCGTCGCGCTTCCTCAAACTCGTCTCTGGAGCTCGCAACCATTAAACACAACCAACCAGTGCCAGAAAGGAAAGTGGGAGAAAGCGAAGGCGAACAAGGTGGAAATACTGATAATGTAAGTGCTGTTTCGACTGTCGCATACTGTCATCTCAACTCGACCACCGGCAGCACGGTTCCGTGTATGATGCACTCAGCATCACAAAGAATAAAGGCAAACAGCGAGATTATCCTCCCGATAACATGCAGAGCTCACCATCTTATGATCGCACACTCCCCGCCCACCTGGATAGCAAAGATAGTCGAGGCCACTGGGGGCGACTAATGCAGGCTCGAGGTAAAAATCACACATTCGGTTTCGGACATTCTAGCCCTCCACCTGCAAATGCGCCCCAACCAATACTGCATAATCCCCAGCACTGGAATTCCAGTGATGCTTGCCGCGATGAAGATGTAAGTAGCCCGACATTGTTCCCCTTTCATGCTATTTAAGTCACTCCGCAGAGATATGCCATTGCGCCTGAATCTGATGCGGAAGCGGCTGCAGCCATGCTACGCACGAATGACGATATGGCTGACAGTTCAATGCGACCAGGTCAACCTGCGTGGTGGCACAAGTGTCTCAAGAACGGCCCACACAAATGCAAGCCTCGACAAGCAGGCCAGAAGAAATTGGAGTGGATTTGTCATTAGCCTGAGCTGTCGTCGTTCCAACTCGCATCAGTCATGAGTTCATTTACTGAGACACTATTATTCGTTAACTCATCTCTTTTATGTACGTTGTATCACAACTACGATGCACGTCAACAAGGCCTTCAAGCTATGTAGAACTGAGAAACGCATGGACCCAGTGCGGAAATAAGGCTGTGTGACAATGGGTGCACGTGACGATGGAATGTCGCGTCCAACACCAGATGAATATACAGCACAAACACTGGAAGCACAATGTACTCACCTGGCATGCCGAAATTCCCTGCGCACCCACATCATTTAAACCAATGTAATAAGAGCATGTGAATGGAAAACTAGTGCCGGCCCAAATGTTGTATCACGACATGAACCTGTGAATGGACGATTAACGCCGCCTCATGGAAGCCATGCATGGCACCTGCAGGACATAAAAACTCGCCTGTCTTGCTAGGTTTCCCCCTAGCAACGGACCGGTATACGGACCAGTGAGTGCTAGTTCACTTGTTTGCCCCCACAATTGATCACTGACCGCAGCAAAGTCAAATTGATCCACCAGATTACGGTAATCAACTATGGCTACATTCTTTGCAAGGCGGACCCGCAGGGAAGTTTCAACTGCAGCGCAATGGAAAGAACCGATTCTGAAGCACAATTTTGAAGGACACAAGGAGAGGATTTTGTGTTTCGTTTTCTTGCACGACGATGTCCACATTGTGAGTGGTTCAGGGGACGGCACTATGCGCAAGTGGAACTGCGATACAGGACTTGTTGTCGGGGAACCATGGAAGGGTAAGGGAGGAGGCATATATGCACTGGCGCTTTCACCGAACGGGAGGATAATTGCCTGTGGGAGGAAGGACGGAAGCGTTCAGCGGTGGACTACCGAGGGGAAGATGATCAAAGGTGTTTGGACGGGTCATAGCGAATGGGTACGGTCGCTCTTGTGGTCACCCAACGGAAGTCAAATTGCCAGCGGGTCCGATGATGGAACAATCCTGATTCAAAATGCAAAAAGTGGGAAAGTCGAGGTGGGCCCGATCAAGACGGAGCAGGATTGGGTATGGAGTCTTGCATATTCACCTTCGGGTGAGAGAGTCGCATCAGGCGGGAGCAAAAATACAATTTGCATCTGGAATACGAAAACTGGCAAGCTTGTTGTCGGTCCTATTCGAGGCCTGGGGGACTCCGTAACGTCGTTGGTGTGGTCGTCAGACAACACAAAATTACATTCTGCCTCTGACAAATTCGCACGCGTGTTCGACAGCACATCGGGCAAACTACTACATTCCTTCCGGCACGACAGTTACCTGTATTCCGCCGCACTTTCACCCAAACACAATGTCCTGGCATGTGTGGGCAACAGTGGCGTTGTGCAGCTATGGGACATAGAATCCTACCAGCAACTCGGCCAACCATTCCACCAGAATCACGACGACCTTTACCATGTCTCGTTCTCCCGAGATGGGAGATACTTAGCATATGGCGGAGACAACAAAAAACTCACTCTATGGATGGTCAAAGACATAGCTCCTATGATTCCAGTGCGCACACCCCTTCAGCTTCCACCGCCCACACTACTTCAGCGAAGTGATAGACAAAGCACACAGCAGGAAACTCGGCCAAACTCCCTATCATCATCATGGCTTGACGTCAGTATTTTACATTTAACCGTCTGTTTTCCTTCCTTACAGTGCTGTTGCAGGTTGATGCTACAGGAGGTGATGGCTTTATCGAGGAGGCGCACGACGACCCATACAACAACAACTTCTTCCAGGTAAAATTACTGTTTCCATGCAAGAGCACTGGTACTAACGACAAGTACTTGTAGTCTTCGCAGCAATCTCTTCCATCGCCATCACCTGGCTTCCATCTCCCCCCTTTGTTTTCCGCTCGCCGCTTCTTGAATGTCATCTCTCGACATCGCCCACCACCAGACGAGTCCGTTCCAAAAGAACACTCCAAGCGTGCTTTCTTCAGTCGTCGCGCTCGCTCAAACTTGCCCCTGGATCTCCCAACTATTAAACACAACCAACCAGTGCCAGAAGGCAAAGTGGGAGAAGGCGAAGGCGAACAAGGTGATGATGTTGATGATGATGTGAGTGCTGTTTCGACTCTCGCACACTATCATCTTTACACAACGGCCGTCAGTGCAGTTCCGCGCATGATTTGCTTAGCGCCAGGAAGGATAAAGGCAAACAGCGAGATGATCCTCCTGCCGACGCACAGAGCCCACCATCTTATAATCGCATTCTCCCCGCTGGATCGGGCACGGACTGCAAGGGAAACCCAGGCCAAACCTCTATAGCGGGAGGCTGCGGCTCTATCTATCGAGGACCGACTACGACAAGCCGCAGGACTACCGACTACGAGCCAGGACTCCTGCTACTGCGCCAGAACCCCTGGCACTCCCTATGACCTGCGCCAGACCATCCTGGCACCCCATGCCAGATCTCCCCACTACACCGCCCACCTGGATAGCAAAGATAGTCGTGGCCTCTGGGAGCGACTAATGCAGGCTCGAGGCAAAAATTTCACATTCTGTTTCCTGCATTCTGGAACTCCGCCTGCAAAGGTTGATAGCTTTGAAAATCCTGCACCATATTTAACAAAGTAATTCCAAACGTAGCGAAACGTGAGCACCAACAATAAGCCAGCGGAACTGATAACTTCAAGTGTATGATCCGTGACTATGTACCCTACCTCAAAACTTGGGGTAAAATTTTGCAAAACAGTCCCAAAGGTCTTCTTCGAGACGCAGTCTGCACGAGTGCGAGAGATTGAAATTGCGATGACATCATTATAACGATCAGCACACCATATGCTGCAAGGGCAAAACTTCACGCCTCACATTCACTGGACCGGTAGTGGATGCCACATAGGATAACGATGTGACTACTCAGATGAACCAACATGTTACATTTCCTTTTGTTGATTTTGTCCCTTCTAGATTCATCGACTAGCATTCATTTATAATGTACACGATGTCCTCCGGGGCCCATCACGTTGTATGACATATTTATTTACAGGTTCGATCCGCCTTCCCCTGTGTCTCATCATCGAGCTTTCTACCTTGACAATCAGCAAAAAAAACAGGCCGGTACTATGTATCTGCATATGTTGACACTGTCAAATGTTTCAGCTGTAAAGCTTACTCGCGTACCTCCTAGGTTTGGTCAGCTCTCCCTCTCCCAGTCCAGATCTTTGCTGCTATTATCGCATGGCCAGCTTTGAATGCAAGCACCGATATTTCTGCAGCTTGTATGCGTGCGTCAGATTCATAGAAACATCTACAATATTGACGATGGTAAGCATTCGACAGTCGCACGGCGCGCCCAATGATTATTGTGACCTGCCAAAGAACCCGAAGGTCAATAGTGCCAATAACTTGACGTACTTGTATCTTATATACTTTCGCAGGCTGCGGGTGGGGACTATGAATGTACTTCATGAAGTGAGGGTCGACTCGAGTAAGCAAGTCAGTATAACTATTGGTGTAGGTCAGGTGGAGCAGGACCTTTTCAGATTGACTCGGAAATGACTGGCGTGTTGAACATTATATGCCAATGGTGATTAAAATAGAGTACACAAATGCTTAAGTTCGGTGCAATGTCGCAGCAGAAGTCTTCAATGTTGAGCTGGCGCATAAAGAAAGGGACAGCATGAGCACCCAATCATTTGCCAGGCGACACGGCTGACGCTGATTCAGAGGCAGCTAGGAAGAATGGCTCAGCATACGCATGCAGACAGGGAAAGACATTTGCTTGAATGGTAGAGGAAGGACGAAACCCGTCAATTGCATTACAATGGACATCGACATCGACATCTGTATTCATTCATGCTTCTCCTCTTTCGATTGGAGAAATGACATGACCACCACTAGTACGAAGCATGGCAATAAGGCCCTTAAGCTATGTAGAGCTGAGAAACGCGTAATCAATATTACGCGGTGACACGAGGGACGAGTCCAGGGCGAAAATAAGGCTGGGTACAGGGAATGAGGGAAGGTCATCTGTACTGGCGAGCACTTCTGAAGTTCTGACTCAGAGCGAAGGCACATCCAACAGCAGATGAATATACAAGACAAACGCCAGAGGCACATTGTACTCGCCTAGTGCTCCAAATTTTCCTTTGGCGCTCTATATTTCTTGCCACGCACCTATGGCGTCTCGCGATGCTCATTCTGACGTCAATGAGTACTGAAAGGTATTGTGTTGTGTTCTGGGAGAAAGTAGAACTTTAAGCAAGTAAGAGATGGTTAGATAGACGCGGGTTACTTGTCGATATGTGGCCTTGAGTATGTGCATTGGAGCACAATTCACCATACTAGGATGATTGGGAGATAATAGGGACCATGGTTTGCAAATATCAAACCAAAAGGCTGTACTACGATATGAACCTGTGAATGGATGATTAGCGCCGCCTCGTACATTCTATGCATACAGCACCTGTCTTTCCAGCTCCCCCCCAAGCAACAGATTAGTAAACCAACCAGTGAGTGCTGGTCAACTCATTCGCTGCCATAATTAATCAGTATCCGCGGCAGAGTCAGATTGATCCACCAGATTATGGTAGCGAGCTATGGCTACTCGATTCTTTGCAAGGGGAACCCGGAAGGAAGCTTCGACCATAGGGCAATCGGAAAAACCAATTCAATGGGAAGAACCAGTTCTGAAGCACGAGTTTAAAGGACACAAGGAGGCGATTTGGGGGTTTGTTTTCTTGCATGACAACATCCATATCGTGAGTGGTTCATTGGATGGCACTATGCGCAAGTGGAACTGCGACACGGGACTTGTTGTCGGGGAACCATGGGAAGGTGAGGGTGGAGGCATATATGCGCTGGCACTTTCACCGGATGGGAAGATCATTGCGTGTGGGAGGGAGGATGGAAGCGTTCAGCTGTGGAACACCGATGGGAAGATGATCGAAGGCGTTTGGACAAGTCATAGCAGGGCGGTGCGGTCGCTCTCGTGGTCACCCAACGGAAGTCGACTTGCTAGCGGGTCCGATGATGGAACAGTCCTGATTCGAAATACAGAAAGTGGGAAAGTCGAGGTGGGCCCGATCGATGCGAAGCAAGGCGGTGTGTGGAGTCTTGCATATTCACCTTCGGGTGAGAGAATTGCATCAGGCGGGCAAAATGAAACAATTCGCATCTGGGACACGAAGACCGGCAAGCTTGTCGTTGGCCCCATCAAAGGCCGGTTTGATGTGACGTCGTTGGTGTGGTCGTCAGACAGCACAAAAGTTTACACCGCATCCGACAGATTCGCACGTGTTTTTGACGGCAAAACAGGCGAACCGCTCCATTCCTTCGAGCACGACCATTACCTGTGGTCTATTGCACTTTCTCCCAATCACAATGTCCTGGCCTGCGTGGGCTTCGGTGTTGCACAGTTATGGGACACAGAGTCCCATCAGCAAATCGGCCAGTCATTCCACCAGATTTACGACATCCTTTACTATGCCAGTGTGTCGTTCTCCCAAGACGGGAGCCATCTAGCATATGGTGGATCCGACAATAAACTCACTCTATGGGTGGTCAAATACATGCCAGTGGCTCCTCAGCTGCCGGCATCCACACTGCTTCAACAATGCGATAGACAATGCGTACAGGAGGAAACTCGATTAAACTCCCCATTATCATCATGCCTCAATGTCAGTATCTTCATGTTTGATTTTCGGTCTTGCTTTTCTCACAGCGCTGTTGGAGATTGATGCTACAGGGGGTAGTGGCTTCATTGAGGAGGCGCACAGCGACCCATACAACAACTTCTTCCAAGTAAAACTCTTGTTTTCATCCAAGGACACCAACACTGACAACAAGCACTTGTAGTCTTCGCAGCAATCTCTCCCATCGCCGTCGCCTGGTTTCCATATCCCCTACTTGTTTTTGGCTCGCCGCCTCCGATATGTCATCTCTCGACATCACCCATCAGACGAGTCCGTTCCACAAGAACGCTCCAAACGTGGTTTCTTCAGTCGTCGTACTCGCTCAAACTCATCCCTGGAGCTCGCAACCTGTTAAACCCAACCAGCCAGTACCAGAAGGTAAACGAGGAGAAGGTGAAGGTGAACAACGTCAAACTGTTGACGATGTGAGTGCGGTTTCGACTCTTGCACACTGTTATCTCAGTACAACGGTGATCAGCGCGGTTCCGCGCATGATTCGCTCAGCGCCACAAAGAATAAAGGCAGACAGCGAGATGATCCTCCCGACAATGCGCAGAGCCCACCGTCTTATGATCGCACATTCCCTGCCCACCTGGATAGCAAAGATAGTCGGGGCCTCTGGGAACGACTAATGCAGGCTCGAGGCAAAAATCTCACATTCGGTCTCCTGCATTCCAGCACTTCACCTGCCAATGTACCCCAACCGACACTGCGCAATCCCCAGCACTGGAATTCCAGCTTATTTCCTCTTGGATCTTCCAGACGTACTGTCGATGTTGCTGCTTGCCGTGATGAAGATGTGAGTAGCCTGACATCGTTCCCCTTTCATATTTTTAAATGACTCCGCAGAGATATGGCATTGCACCTGAATCTGACGCGGAAGCGGCTGCAGCCATGCTACGCACGAATGACGATGTGTCCAGCAGTTCAACGCGACCAGGTCAACCTGCAGTGGTGGTACATGTTTCCCAAGGACAGCCCACACAAATACAAGCCTCGACAAGCGGGCCAGAAGAAATTGGAGTAAGTTGCTGTGGATTTTTCTTCGGATGTCATCGTCTTTCCAACTTTCATCAGCCATAAGCTCATTTACTAAGACACTCTGACATTCGGTGACTCATTTATTTTATGCACGTTGCATATGGTCTGCATATCTCATACCTAGCTTTGCGCCTTCCTCATAGATTTACAAGAGCAGTATTATATTCATCCAGAGTTGTCCACGGTGTACTGTCACTCACTCGTTCGCGACTGTACTTTCTTCATCCACCTGCTCGCACCCCTGGTCAAGGCCAATTAAACGAAACCGGGCACATGATGGATTTATCACTGCCATCGCGCAAGGGAGTATAATCTGAGACCTTGGTCGATAGTTTTGGCTTAAAATTATTGTTTTGAGGCATGCAAGGAAATATTGGAAGTACTGGGCATCTCTAACAGCGAGGCCTTAGCAGGATTTGCTTTGGGAGATGCCCTCGGGTGCATGACTCTCCCCTGCGCTCGGCGGGAATGACTCGTGACTACCTTGTGTCAAAACTTGCCCAAAATAGCCCCCAAAAGTCATCTTCAAGATGCAGTCCGCGCCCAAGCGAAAGAATGAAACTGTAATGATACCATCACAACGATCAGTACACCATATGCCGCAGGGGCGAAATTTCATGCCTCACCTTCATTGCATGGGTAGTGGATGTCACATAGGATAACCATGTGACTACCACGGGAAAGCGGCGAATATAACCAACGTGCGATTTCAAGCGCCCGTTGTCGTGACGTGCGCTAAGGTCAACAGTGCTAATCACTTACACACCTTGTCCACATACACTTTCGCAAGATGTGCGCCAACGAGTGTCGAAGTCCTTCTGGAGCTGAGACTCGAGTCTGCAAGTCGGTCTAAAGATCGGTGTAGGTTAGATGGAGTCATTTTCAGTGTGATGGGGTCCGATTCAGACTACGACGCAGCAGGACTGGTGGGATGAAGATCATGACGACTCGGAGGTGTGGAGTCTTTGATATTCACCTTCGGGTGATAGAATTACATCGGGCTGGAGCAACTTTACAATTTCCATCTGGGACACGAAGACTGGCGAGAGTGTTGTTGGCACTATCAGAGACCTGGGAAACGTCGTGACGTCGTTGGTGTAGTCGTCGGACAGCACTAAACACTATTCCGCCTCCGATAAATTCGCACATGTTTGCGAACGACACCATCGCTATACGCACAACGATGACCTGTATTTATTAACTTAAAGGTGGCATTTTCATCTAAAAACAATGTCTTAGGATCTATACACCGCAAACACGGCACCAGTAGGTTTCGAACCGACTCCAAGTGAAACAGATTTTGACTCTGTTGTGACAACCACTTGGATAAGACCAGTGAGATGGACTTCTGAGGAAATCCTTCATGAGTGAATGTCGAGGTGTGTTCTGATAGAAAAAAACTTGTTACCGACATGTTTCGATCGCGTGCGGTACAAGAAACAGATTTTGATTCTATTGTGGTAACCACCTGGCTAAGACCAGTTGGATGAATGTCTAAGGAAACCATTCATGAGTGAATGTCAAGGTGTGCTCTGATAGAAAAAAACTTGTCTTCGGCAGGTTTCGAGCCTGTGCGGTGCAAGAGAAACAGATTTTGATTCTGTTGTAGTGACCAATTGGCTAAGACCAGTTAAGCTGAGCCTATGAGGAAACCGTCCATGAGTGAATGTCAAGGTGTGTTCTGACAGAAAAAACTTGTCGTCGGCAGGTTTCGAGCCTGCGCGGTACAAGAGAAACAGATTTTGATTCTGTTGTGGGATCCACTTGGCTGAGACCAGTTGAGATGAGCCTATGAGGAAACCATCCATGAGTGAATGTCAAGGTGTATTCTGACAGTAAAAACTTGTAGCCGGCAGGTTTCGAACATGTACGGTACAAGAGAAACAGAATTGGATTCTCTTGTGGGTTACCACCTGGCTGAGACCAGTTAAGTTGAGCCTGCGATGAAACTATCCATGAGTAAATGATGGTGTGTACTCTGATAGAAAAAAGAACCATGTGTCATTGGCAGGTTTAGAACCTGCACAGTCCAAGAGAAACAGATTTCGATTCTGTTGTGATAACCACTTTGGCCAGGATGCTTCCAAAATTGACAAGGTGTGATAAGACGGGAAATCATTTATGGGTAGATTTCGAATCCGCATCATCCAAGAGACCAGATCTCTAATCTAGATCTGTTCTGGTCAGTTGGCTATGATTACTCAAGATAGACCTTGAAGAATCCATCCACGAGTGCTAGTGAATGTCCAAGGCGTGGTAAAAGGGGGAAAAAAAAGATTGTCGAGCAGGTTTCGAACCTGCAACAGATTTTTATTCTGTCACGCTTACCACTGGTCTAACACTGGTCAAGATGGACGTCTATGAGTCGAAGAACATTATGCATTGATAGTAGAATCACATAGGATTAGCGGTCATTTGCTAACGCAGAAAGACTAGTTTGCGTTTAATTCGGTGGACACAAAACATGCTAGGAAAAAGGGAGTCGGGGGCTGGCGCCGGCGCCGTTACGATGAGGTAGCAATTGATGAGTACCAACATTCTAGATCTAGGGCCGCAGGACCAGCCACACCAGGAGACAAGTTCGCAAGTCAGATTAAAGCTTCTGCCATTAGTAACTGTCACGAGGATAGCGCATTACATGAGCACCGAAGTACCGCCTGATAGCGGATTGGGCTATAGAAGAGATGCGAATTAGCCACTGCACTTTCACTTCCCACGGGAAAGGCTTTGTCGAGGTCACGACTGTCGGACTATGCAACAACGTTATTGCAACTTGTGGCCACGTAATTATTGTTTGCAAGAGACTTGACGACCGACTGCAACACAATGCACTGGTTATATTCGCACGAAGGAACTAACTGCTTGCTGGTCGAGTTCGTGGTGGGCTTCCCATCCAAGAATAAGCCGATCGCCCGCCATACAGCTAAAATGGAAAATAAGCTGCCCCCTCAACTGGAAACTTACCGTTTGCGTGGGATTGCCGAACAGATCGAAGACTCGAGCATTATAATTCCCAATTAGCTTTTTAGACTCGTCTCCACGAACAACGGTGTCGTTGGCCTGATGAAATGACAGTCAAACGTGCCATGAGCTCGTAAGAATAGGTCTGGGAGAGATGCCTGAATCGCACCTGGAAACAGTGCTCAGCTTTTTGATCCGCCTGGGAGAATATCGAAGGAGTGTATGTGGGCTGTTCATCACTCCGAGTCGTGCTACGAATCTGCATACAGCCTCGTAATTTGAAGTATCTGGGTTTGCGCTCTCGCGATGAAGACTTAGATCTTGAGCATACTTGCAGGGATCACTGGGTCCAAGAAACCTGCTTAACGAATGCTGAATTGCACAACGGGACCCTGGTCACCGGTTTGTACGACTTTTGAGAAGTAGCGGAACGTACCTTTCGCTGACCAGGCTTTATTAAGTGCGTTCGAATCGATACATGTAATTAATAAAGTCGTCGCTTGCTAGGCACCGTTCCTTGTCGACTGTCACTTGAAACTAAGCTATTTATGAATTCGAAATGTGTTTAGCGGTCGACTCACCATAGACGGAAGAACACTCAGCTTGACTTAGATGGTGGTACTGCCTTATTTCGAATAATCATATATTTCAGAGGCCTAACTGAGGTCTATGTTATTCCGTGTTAGTACATGTTCCCAATCCCAGAGTCGTCGTGGATGATCTAGAGAAGTTAGAACATCGCCAGGCAGGCGTCTGAGTACGTAAGACAGTTACAGTGTTATTGATAGATTGATGGGTAACGTGACTGAGAAGTTAACGACGCGTTATTTACTAATGTTTTGGTAGTGTTCGAGTGTGATATGTAGGTGAGATTGTGATTTGTATAAGCTGTTTCACCAATTTTCTTGTTACCAACATTGTTGGCTCTGACTCTGTTCATCGCAGCAGACGACGACAAGCAGTGTTTTGTTCTAACTTCCTCTGATTCTCATTCACGTCCGCCAGTGTACTTGTATACCAACGCCAATCCCAAGTCTCATTACATACCGCAAGCATCTAACTACGAATTCATTAGCATTTAGCAAGAATGACCATGGAAGCCCCAGCTTCGGAGGCAAACGACGTTTTCTCTCTCTCAGATCATCTTCTTGCAGAACGACTTCAGTTCGTCAAAGAGGTACGTTTCGCATCCCCTCTTCCGAACAAGTTATATGAACGTCATACAGATCGGCTTCGGAAACTGGGGCAGCGTTTGGCTGTGCCGTCCCAAATCCAGTTCCTCATCTAACAAGCACAAGGACGTTGAAGTAGCTGTTAAGCTCGTCCACCGCTCCAAGACCAGCACAACGGCCGCCCGTGTGCGTTCGCTGTAAGTCCGCTTGCCTCGTGGCCAGTCTAACACGAGTTTTTGACATATTTTTGTATTTTCATTCACGCGTAGATGGAACGAGATGAAGATTGTGCGCTCATTCAAGGCCGACCCGCATCCCTCGATCATCCCATTTCACTCGTTTATCATCACTCCGTCATATGCGCTTATCACGATGTACGTCCTACTTGACGTGTTTTTAATCTCATGCTTGACAAATCACCTTGTATTGTAGGGCACATCTACCAACCCTCGTCCCCGTTGAGGTATCCGAACCCCGCGCAAAAGAATGGTTCCGCTCACTGTTGAGTGGCGTCCACTTCCTGCACGAGCGTGGGGTCGTGCATAACGATATCAAGTACGTTATTAACCCTTTTCGTCCGTGTCTTTTGTCGTACACTTTGCTAACCAAATTTGCCCGCGCCACAGACCTGCCAACATCCTGCTCTCCCACAAGAATATACCCGTATTGGTCGATTTTGGGTTTGCAGAGAAGTACGACCTTTCTTCCCCTAAAGCATTCCATAGTAATTTGACATACGGCACCCCTGAGGTTCGCATTTTCTCCGCTATACTTTTACGTTAAGGTGATATTTAACTTTGGACGGCATACAGTATCTCTCTCCAGAACGCGCTCGTGGCCTTCCCCATGACACCCGGAAGTCTGACATATGGTCACTTGGTGTCACCTTTTTCGAGATATTGGTTGGTCGTACGCCGTTTGAGTATGAAGAGGGCGAGCAGTTTGCAAGCAAAGCAGACTTGGAGAAGTACTGGGGCAGGACAGTGAGTGTTTTTCCTGGGTTTTCAAGTCTAATAGGTAGACAATTGATGGTCCTCATCGCATAGATGCGCGGCAAATGGGTAGGCTCGTACACCATTCCCAGGCCCGCGGAGAAGCTCCTCAAGCGCATGATTGTTCCCAATGCAGATTTGAGGTGTACGGCGAAACAGGCCATGGCTGATATATATTGGCAGGCTGCAGCTGCAACGGCAGTTCCAGACAAACATGCACATAGTAAGTCGCGTTGTATCCTCGTCTGAAGGTGCATACTTATCATTATCACAGAGAAATCCGCCTCTGTTGCCGCTTCCCCCCGCGAAGCAAACGCCCATCCATACACTTTCATCCTCATTTATATCCCCCCCATCGAAAGACACCTCCACTCCAAAAGATGCCGCACCCAAAGAGGCGTCTGTCTCGCGGCTTCTCGACATTTCACTCCCCTGGTCCTCCAGTTCTCGCCCCCCCCTCCCGCTCCTCAGCATCCCACTCGGTCTCCCGCACACCTGAAAAGGAGATCAAGGAGGATACCCACGCCGGTGACAGGCATCATGCACGATCGAAATCGCAACCCAAGCTCCGTTCACCCCACCCTCACGCGGATGGATATCGCCAAGGGCGGAAGTTGTCAACTGTACAAGGATCACCTGCTGTTAAGGGCGCGAAACAGCTCGGACCTGCTCCCCTCAGTCCCGTCGGCACTGCAAACACGAGTGGTAACACGAGCAGCAGCTCCGGGTTGTTCTCGCTCAATTCTCTCACACCAGTCCGGAAACCGCTTGGACCGAGAACGCCTTCGAATCTCTCTCTCAGAGATCTAGAAAGCGGAAGAAAGAAGGGGGCGAGGACAGGGAGGGAGAACACGCCACGTGCAAAAGAAAACTCGCCACTCGGAGATAGCAAAGAAAACACTCCCCAAAACAAAGGAAACGGCACACCCAAAATGAGCGGTCGTAAACCCCGCTCGCGTTCTCGAGCGGGTGTATTGGCAGACTTGACGGGTTTTGCGAAGAATGTGGATTTGGGTGCGCATGGGTTGCCGAAGGCGAGGGCGAAGGGTACTTTGAGGAGTGTTTCGGATTTAAGGAATGTTTCGAGGGCGGATGTCAGGAGCGCGTCGAGGCCGGACGTTCGTGATGCGTCGAAGACAGACGTTCGAAGCGTATCGCGGACGGACATCAGTGTCACACAGAACACGTCGAGGGCAAGTCTGAACGAGCACCCCACCCCCAACGCTTCCACTGCAGACCTCGCGAACGTATCCACAACCGTAAATGTCAGCGGTATGGCCAATACCACGTCCTCGACCGTAGGCAAGGGCAGCGTGCGTGACCGTATGCGCGAGTGGGAGCGTGAACGTGAGCGGTTGCGGGAGATGGAGAGACTGACGGAGATGCAGCGCGAAGCTGAGTCTATCATGACGTCGACCAACGGAAACATCGACGATGATGATGAGACGGAGTTGAGCGACGAAGAAGTGGAGTGTGCAATTCAAAGGGAGGAGGCTCAGGAGGCACGTCGTTCCCCTGTTTCAAGCGGCCAGACGAGTCCCGTGGATGTACAGCATGATGTGAAGACAGAGGAGACGGATAGCGAGATTGATCCAAATGTTACGAGCTATCGTGCGGATTTGAGCGCGGAGCACATTGAGATTGCGAGGATAGGGGTGAGGGCGAGCGCGCAGTTGTTGACGATGAGCAAAGGAAGTGTTTCCGTGCTTGGGTTGGACAGGAGCTATTCAGCGTCGACGGCGCCTGGTGAGTGCTTCTTTCCATGTGTCTTATCTGGGATATATGCTGACTGATGGCGTGCGTCCAGCTGAATGTAATCTACCAAGTGAGATGCCTCGGGCGAGTGAGTCTGGATTCGTTGGACTCAAACACAGCGTGAAAGCTTCTATTGGTGTGTCCTTCCCTCTCCAATCACCACCCCTTTGTCTAACTCTGAAATATGACGACATAGACAAAGGCGTTCGGATGTACAAGTCCTCGACACTTGGACAAATCACGAGTGGTCGTACGACACCTGTGTGGTGTGCTTCCCCGGAGCCCATCGAGTTTGAGCAGCGCCGCTCGGGTGAAGCTGGGAGATTCAGCTATGAGGATATTCGCCCAGAGAATGCTGCTGAGAAGGAACGGGAGACCGCTGTTGATCGAATGAATCTCTGGATTCAGAATGTTGAAAGTAAGCGCATTCACTCTCGTTCATGGGGTGAGGGGCTCATGCAACTCATTTTTCAGGAGTCGTCGAGGAAACGCGCCAGAACTTTGCTTTTGCATCCACCAGCATTACTCCACCTCCTGCGCTTCCGCTCTCGCCGCCCATTTCACGTTCTAGTTCGCAGGCGCTCAATGCGTCGCGTTCATCTTCGCGCCTTCCAAAACGTATGCTTGCTGCGAATGAGATCTTTTGTAATGATCCTAATGTGCCGCTGTCCCCTGGACGATTGGCACTTGCGGATCAGACCAACTCGTTCTCGGGGTATATGTCTCCCGATAACTCTGGGTTCACCCAGCGTGCTGGTGTGCCTACCATTAATGTGCTTTCTCAGACTCCCCGACGCCAGCGTCGTGCCACCATTTCGACGCGCTCGCCCAAGGTCGATGAAAACGACATAGATGGGTTAGGCTCGCCGTCGAGGAGAAGGGAGAAATCACGGTCCCAGGGAAATTTGGACAGGCATATCAGGCCTGTAGATAAGCTGGAGTTCGATCTTACGAGAGGTGGGTTCTCTGCATGTTCTGATGAGTTCAGTTGCTAATTGTTCTCGGGTAGAAACGGTAGCAGCGCCTACGCCCCGGTTGTCTGCCGTGCTCGATCGGAATCTGTTCATCGCGCCTCCAATCACGCCATGGTCGGGTAATGTAAATGGGACTGGGATGCAAACGCCCCACCCGATCAGACAACGGTCGATTCTATTCGATGACAGTGATCTCACTGCGTCTCCTTTCCATGTTGAACCTTATCCGCCGCGCAAGTCTGGGGAGCAGGTGGTCATCAACTCGCCTGACCTCCGCCGTGTGGAAGGCGTCTACGACCGCTTCCTCATGTCCACCACAGGTGTCAAACGCGTCGGCAAGGGATACCAATCCGACAACCTTCAACCTGTTCACACTGCATTCTCCACTTTAGAGTGTAAACCAACAAATAACAATCCGCGTAACTTCAAGGTGTTTAATTCCACTCGACGAGCGACGCCTCAGCCGGTGTCTAGTGATGACATGTGGAGCAATCCGTCTGTGGATGAGCTTGGTGTCGTGGCCTGCAGTGCAAGCACGTCACGCTCGTCGAAGGAGGATAGCAAGAACACTGCTACTGCTACGCTCGTTCTCCGCGCGTTCAAGGCGATAGTGCCTGGAAGGACGGTCTCCAGAAGATTGTCCCGCACTATTGTTGCCTAATTCTAATGAGTAAATTTATTATTCATTTGGTTTCTTTCCACTTCCTCATTTCTATTTCCCATTCATCGATTACGCTCGCATCACTTAGTTAGTTCTAATGTTTCGGTGCGCATGGTTGCCGTTCCCCGTGTCATTTCTCTGTCGCTATGATTGATCTCATTCCATTCCCCTCTTTTGGATTATACATACCCTGCTCGTCATCAAGTTTTGATTGCTCTTATCTATTGCTATTGTCATCATTCGTCCTTTTCCACATTATCCACACCTTCAATCTCCCTCATGCTCACGTCATTTGCACGATTTTGTCTACGCATCACGCACTTCATCAACGTCCTGGTTAATGCTTTTTATGCTATCACTTCATGTCTCGGAACGTTGTCGCATTTCTTTCATGACACTTCGAGGTTCCCTCATGAGTGAATGAATGAAACGTTATATTTGATACTTCTAAGATAGATCTCTGCATGTACATGTAGATTTTTGCATGTAGATTGCGTGATTTTCCGTGACATTTGCAGTCAAACAAGTTTGAGGACGTCAGAAAATTCTATCACATGATGCACATGCATGGGGCAAACAACATATGTGATGACATACTCTAATATAGTAGCCTAGTAAAACTTTCATAGGAGTACCTTTTCTGTCTCTTCGCGGAAACGTACTGCACCCATGAATCAATTTATGCGACGATCCTCTCCCAGCTTTCCAATCCAAAAATCCTAGGAAGTTGCGCCCATGCGTCTTGTCGGGACTTCGTGTATTGGTGTAAGGGAGTACAGCTTTTACACATTCCTATTTTCTTCCAATCAGTGAATCGTTCGAACGTGCACGGCCTCGTAAGATCCTGGCGCTGCAAATAATCCAACAACAACCTGTCACACTCCTTGACTTCACAACCCTTGCAACCAAACCCAACAGCAAGTTTTGGAAGCGTGTACAAAAACGAGTGAGTTGTCTGGCGTTGCATATTTAGAAGTCGGTCTCTTCCGATGACGCAAGCGGTTATGTCTGGTGAGGCTAGGACGACCCCACCTTTACCCTCGAACATTGTACTTGTCGGTAAGCGGGTGCAGTAGTAATAGGCGCAAGGAAGCAGTTCCAAGCAGTTGGTCTCCCGGGCGATGTTGATGACCGCAAGGACATTTTTTTGTGCGGTTGCGCGGTCATCCTGATATTCAGGATCATCGAAAGATGTAAGCGTCGTCGGAACGCCGCGTTTCAGTCGCTGTAGTGCCAAGTCACGCAATCGTTCCATCTCATATTTCGTACTGAGACGAAGAATGGCACGTAAATAGACGAAATATCGCGCGTTGTCCTCGAAGTACCTAGCTCAGCAGATCAGCTGGAGCGACTGATCTTTGAGAACACAATACATACGACGTCTCATATACCGTGAGGAGGAGCTGCCGGAGCTCTTCAGCGTCATCGGTCAGTACGACCACAGGGCATCCTGCATGGGTTTCCGTGTTTTCATCCTTACTTGGAAGAAGTATGGTTGCAAAAACAGAAGATTTTTGGCTGAGAATAGATCTATGCACACGGAAGAAATCATCTTCGGTTTTCAAGACAACGCTCCCATCGTCGTACCAGAGGCTATTCGGATGTCGGGGTGGGCGGTGGGACTCTTCTTCTATGTCGTTCGGATGCGAAAGTGGGGAGTGGCACTCTTTGATGTCAAACAGGCTACATTGCTCTGGGGCTAAGGAAACGCCACAAAATTCTGGTTTCGGCGGATACGAGGGAGGTCGACCACCAAGCTGGTAATCTTTGACCCGAAGTTCCTTAATGTCAAGCAAGTACGATCTATATGTGAGACACAAAGCTTGCTATCTGACGAGTAGCAGCCACTCACCTCCACTGAGACACCTTCGTCCAGAAAGATAGTGCAGAAATATCCGTCAAAGTAAGCCGTTGGATCTTTTACAAGTTTTGGTGCGAAGGGATGACCAATGGTGCTGGGGATATGATCGCCAGTGAATGAGCTTGTGTTGGACATTTGGTTACGGTATACCAATTAATAGTTACTAACAAGTACTAGTTATGAAGTTCCAAGCTAGGCTGACTTTGTACTTGCTTTGTGTTGGCTTTGTGAGTAAGCAGTTCCAACTTCCAATGTCCTGGCCGGACCGCCACTTGTACTAGTATGTAAAGTACCGTCTGGCATTAAATTTCAATCACTAACTAGTACATATCTACTGCTATAGTTATCATTGGTCTCTTCACATTATCCGCAACATCATGCATCTCCCTCGTGCCCTCGCTAGTATTTGCACGATTCTGTCTACGCGTCAGCTCTTCAAATTCATCGATGCACTGTCGGTTATTGCTTTTTTTTAGTTTCCAAGTCCCCTAGCCGGACTAATCAGGGGAAGATAGTCGTCCCTTTGCATTAAGTTGGCACTGTCACCGTATTTTTTTTCATGACGCTTCGAGGTGTGGTTCATACCATGCGGAACTCATGTGTGAACTGGTGGGTCCCGACCCACTGATTAAATATGAGGTATTACATAGTACGTACTCCCAAGTTCATTCACGGCCTATGTGTCGTACTAACTGTTCGATGGGGTGGTCATACTCGTCGTACAATATCTGTTCTGCTTCATGACCCATCAACCTGCAAAATTTCTGAGAGGACTGGTGTTGGCCTCCTGTCCCGGTCTGCCACAGCATGTATAGACGTAAGTAGCGTACACGCGTGATTGTCGCACGGGAGGCCGTCCCAGTACTTGGAAAAGCGGGATGGCCCGCAATACGGCCTTTCTCGAAATTCCACCTGGAATGAACGCGCGAACCAAAACAACAGGTTCGTCTGTCCTGGCGACGTGTTGTCGTAGGCGTTTCCAATTATCATTCGTGTAGTGTTCGCATCGACATAAGAGTTTGAATGGGCTTGGGTTAACACCTCTGGAGTCGAAAGTGATGTTTGGTTCTCCGTGAGTGAGGTCTAACTCTATGACGTTGATTTTGAGCCCGTGGTTAGCGATACGCGCTCTGTGTTTCTTCAGCTCATCTTCTATGACGCAGTCGAGGAATTTGAGGTCGCGATTTGATATGCCGTTCATCTCTCCGACTGTAAGATGATGCTAAGCTAATGCGGACCTTGAACAAGCACAGTAGGACGCTCACGAGTCAAAGTAGAACGTTCTTGAACTCTAGTACAGTATGCTTTGTGTTTTCCTCTCCTCCAGTCATATCGCTGACACGATTTGCTGCAGTAATACGTGTGGAGACATCCCCCACACCGCTTGAGCGTACCTGTCGACACGGTTTTCCGACACTGATTACGCGTCAACGTAGTGCCAAAAATATAGACGATCCAACACACATTATCGTTATGGCATGTCTGTACATGAACTTTTTCAGGACCATCGTAATTGAGTAATTTTCGCCGTTCGGTCGTTTCTTGCAGACATACCCAGCCCGCATGTAATTTCCCACGTTTATCCAGCTGCTTGTCTAGTCCAAGGTATATTATTTCATCCACTGCTTTTGCTATGGGCAGGAGCAATGAGCGGTAGACAGTGTATGCGGGGATGATCATGTGAAGTATGTCGGAGAGTGCATCACGAGCCTTGTCGTTGTCCATGAACGGTATGTACCGTTCGGATTTGAGCAATCCTTTGATAAGATCTGACCGAATGGCTTCCGACATCCATGGATTGCCATCATTTTCTTGCATACGAATCCGCAGAAACAGCGATGCATTGGAGATACACCTCGCAGCATATGTGAGGTTTGCTCGATCAAAAGACCGTCCGACGATGAGATGGATAACGTGCGTGATTTTTACTATTGCTCCTAGGTTTAATAATGCACAACGCATATCATCGCGGAATGAAAGTGCTGTAACGATATGCACGTCCCATGCTATACACTCTGGATCCAGGTACTGCCGTGCCATTTCTTGCGACAAATGCATGAGCGCAATTCTCGACGCGACGTCTGCCCGTCCGTCGAAAGGAACCAAAGCCTTATCCCAGTCAATCGGTGATTTTGTCTCGTGCGAGATTAGGAAGCAGGAGTTGAGAACAACAGATTCACGATACGCATTGAATTGCCCCGTGTGAGATGAGAATCGAGCATCCGTGGTTTCAAGGTTCCAAAGAGCAAATATCAAGGGCATCATTTTGGTATCAGAAACCACCTTCTTCGACCAACCACTTAACATCCTATCGCGAGTCAACGCCAAAAAGGTCACGATGGCGGTCTTGCAGTCCCGGCGGGTGTTGATGACAAGTGACTCCGCTTGGATGAATTCGTCATAAATATATAGGATCCAGCGGCGAATATCGCCCCAGTGACTCAAAAGGTCTGCGATGAGGCCACTTGACATCTTATCGTCTGATATCCAGATGAAAAATGTGGAACCAATGAAAGTGAGGGCAGCACATGGAGCTTCTACATCATCGGCTGATGGATCTTCACCGTATGGAATACGCATAGCGTCAAGCAAGAGGTAAGCGACTTTAATCATGCGCTCATATTGGCTCGGGAGGCAAGCATGATCTGACGCAAGGGTTGCTAGTTGCGCGATTGCTTGAACGGATCCTTGTGTCGCATTTGCAATGAGGTTCTTGCATGGCTGGCGTAAGATATCGACAGAGCAACTGTCGCGTAGTAGCTCACCTCGAAATTTATCTCGTTGAAGCGCGTGGCGAAAGGCATGCCAGCTGGCAGATGCATATTGTTTTGATAAGTAATCTGCAGTGCTGCCAGTGTGAGTAATACTTTGGCCGCGGAGTTCGTCAATACGTAAGCGAGCAATCATATACACCACGTGATGGACGCGGTGCCGTGAAACTAATTAATCGTGACTTGTGGAAGAGTTTGGCTCTTGTCCACCAACCAAGTTTTCACCATGATGCTAGACTCTCAGTCGATACCAGGAGATAGCAGTGAAGAAGACTTTGAGTGGGAGGAGGTTGATGTTCCTCAACAAATTCATGAAACCAACCCAGAGTTAGAACTCCAGTTGGAAGGACCGACTCCACGCGCGAACATTGAAATCACTCTACATTCAGGGACGAAGAAGGATGATTCTAAGTTGCTTTGTATTCTTCACATACGTCTGCGTAGGTGCTGATATCCGATCATCCAGGAAGGCAGCAGCAGCAGCAGCACGAGCTGAACGCATCTTGAGGATTGGGACCCACAAGGTCCATACAGTATGTCTTCTTGCAAATGCGAGAGTGCGGAATAAGTGGCTGAACGATGAGCTTCTTCACGTAAGTGGCTTGTTCTCTCCGATTGATTCGACCGTCAATACCTTCTAGGCTCGATTGTTATCCTTAACACCACTTCATCTTCATAATGGTTTTGCTCTAATACACAAGTCTCGCGTACCCGACCAGAATAAGCGAGGTCGATTATTTGAAGCCAGCGTTACTCGCCTGGTGGAATGGTGGGCGGGCACATTTTTCAGCGTTCTTCCTACAGGACACATCAAGAACAGGACTTTCGGCGAGAACGAGCGTGATCTTGCCCTACGTGGAAACGCAATCTTTGAAGACGAGGAAAGCGACGACTGGGAACGTATTCGAAGTCCAAATAGTCTTATGAAACACGCCTTGATGCAAAGTGGTTCTCGTGATACAAGTGCACAATTGTTCACTGCGTTGTGTCGAGCATTGGACATCCCTGCTAGATTGGTTGTTAGTCTTCAGAGCACTCCGTGGCAGTCTAGTGTCGGAAAATCCAAGTTCAAAACCGACAACAAAGACCGTCCACTATCTCGACAGAAGGGGAAGCAGAGAGCCAGAGACACTGATGTTTTATCGCAAGACAGCGACTTCGAAGAGGCGAAAGAAATCAACTCCAAGTCACCAGCAGAAGTTCTGGGCGACTCGTCCCCTGGGGAAACTTCGGCTCAAGCCAAAGGGAAAGGGAAGGCACAGCCGGTCATCAAGCTCAGGAAAACTAAGGGCTACTCTAAAAATCGAGCGAGCACCAGAGGTATGTTAAATATTTCAACCTTCGAGACATCAGAAGTCATGCCTATACTTGATTAGCTACTCTTGACCCTACAATCACTCCTCCTGTGTTTTGGACAGAGGTTTTTTTCGCGCGCAGACGGCTGGTGGCTTCCTATCGATCCAATTCGTGGTCTCGTCAACAAACGCCATGTGTTTGACCCTTCCGCTGAGAATACATTCAGGACTGGAGTACCACAAGAAAATCGCATGACTTACGTGGTTGCTCTAGAAGAGGATGGTTTCGGCCGTGACGTGACAGCACGATATGCCAAAGACTACACTGCTAAAGTGGCGAAGGTGCAAGGAGTTGGGATAGGCAGGCGAAAAGAGTGGTGGGATAGTGTCGTGCAGTTAGTGACTAGACCCTATCGATTGGTGTGTCATGTCTTCTATGCTTGTACATGCAGTCTCACGGATCATGTAGCAACGCGATGATACCGAGGATACGGAACTGCATAACCATCAGCTTACCGAGGGCATGCCCACCATGGTTGCCGGATTCAAGGGTCATCCTTTGTACAAGCGTAATTTCACCTTCTCCACGCATCATGCTAATTTCAAAGTCCAGATATGTTCTCTCACGGCATCTGAAGCGTGAAGAGGTTATTGATCCTCCTGTCGAATTGGGCAAGTTCCGGGGCGAACCTGTATATCCTCGATCTTCGGTCATATCTCTGAAGACCGCGGAAAACTGGATGCGCCAAGGGCGCGTGGTTCGAGAAGGCTGCCAACCTATGAAGATGGTCAAGCAACGTGCTGTCACTATTGGCCGCAAGCGGGAAATGGAGCTTGCACTTGAGAAAGCAAGAACAGATACCCACGGTGGAGATGGTCAGGAGGACATGCAAGGCCTATACGCAAGGTCCCAGACGGAGCTTTACAAGCCTGACCCAGTCATTGACGTATGTTTAGTCTTAATGACTCCCGGCACATGACTGATCTTCGTGTTTGCAGGGAAAAGTTCCTAAGAACGATTTTGGGAACATTGATCTGTATGTTCCGTCAATGCTCCCTGAAGGTAGTATTCATATCCCGTGTACGTGATGAAATCGGCGATGGCTGCTACGCAGAACTTAATTCTGATCATTTTCAGTCAAAGGCGTTGCCAAAGTAGCCAAGAGGCTTGGCTTTGATTATGCAGAAGCAGTGGTGAGTCTTTCGCTTGCACGATTGCTTGTGCGCTAACAAGCTCTCAAGACTGGTTTTGAATTCAGGAATCGGAGAGCTATCCCGATAATTGAGGGAATTGTTGTGGCCGAGGAGAACGAAGCCATCATAGTGGAGGTGAACTTGCTACACCACGGATCTTGCTGCGTCCACTGAACTCAACCTTGGCTATAGGCTTATTTGGAAGCTGAAAATGATGCAGAAGAGAAAGCCCGCGCCAAACGTTTGGATCAAGTTCACAAGCGTTGGATACGTCTAGTGCAAGGGCTTCGGATTCGAGATCGTCTCCAAAAGCAATACGCATCCAATACGGATGATGCAACGCCGCAGCATTGGTTGGATATGCAGAATGCTGAGGCACATCAAGGCGAGCAAGTATGTTTCATTTCCATTCATACTTGCGATTTGGACGTGAACCTGATCTCTCCCCAGCAACCAGGAGGGTACCTCACCACCGCGGACGATGTGGTGAAGCCGTTTCATCTCCCGAAAGATCAACATACCGTTTTGCCTTCGTCCTTACTTTCTTCGACCACCGGTGACGATGGCGCCGAAATCGACGAGGCTGTACCCGAGCGTAGTGGTGTTGCGGTGTCTTATACACATCCCCGTGATTCGCCGCTTCATTTCGCCCAAGATGTGCAGATGGGAGAGATATCCGCTGACTTGCCTTCTCGGCGGAGTAATGCGATGCCCAAGTCCATGCGCGAGCTGGCCGAAGACGACTTGAGGAGACAGGCCTCGGAGATCGCTCCTTCTGATGAGCCTGAACGTCGGTCAAGTTCTACTCCTGTTGCGAGGATGATAAGAGGCGGGCGAGTGAAGGCGCCAATGAAGAGTGGTACTAATACCCCTTCCAAGGGCAGCTCGTCTGTAAAGCGGCAAAATGGAAAGAAGCGGATCAGAGAAGATACCGAAAGCGCATCAGAGGACGATCATAGATTCGACAATGCAGCTTCTACACGTGATGGGAATTCCAGTAATGGAAACCCAACCACCACGCCCGGCAGAGTCCTGCGGCCTCGCCCGCAGAAGAACGCTGCTAAATTGCGTGAAGAAGCTGAGTTAGAACGAGCGTTCAGAAGAGCGATAGCAGAGTAGATCCATTTGAGGGGCTTCTCCGTACATTATAGCTTTATGATTTATGTCGTCAATACAATTTTATTCGATATTTACTCTTGAACTGTGACAGATTTCGAAGGAGCTGTAGGTACTAGCCGAGCAAAAGTTAAATATGATGTGTGGCCCCGAACGTCGGGAGACACTTTTGAAACAGATATTTTGATTGGTGATGGTTGGTTGGCAGACTGGCCAGGGTCCACCACAGCATCCGGGATATCGCGGATACCGACCTCCTCCTCCACCGATTCTTGGGTTCTGAGCTTTTTCGCTCCCAGATTATCAGTGTCTGTTTCCAGTAAGTCATCCCGCTTTCTTTTACTCGACCTTTCGATCTGATGTTGGCGTTTGTCTTCACGTTTTTGTTCTAATTTTTTGAGCTTCTCAACCGCTTGGGTCAGAGACTGTGGTGATAGTTGATGAACCTCGTGCGGTCTCAGTAACGTCTCAAACATCGTAATGTCTAACAAAGGTGCACGTGTGAGACTTCCACGTAACATTCAACATTAAAATAAAACATACCCGTGAAACCCGAATCATTTAGAGCGCTAACTGTTCGAAGGACTTGCTCCATACACGGACTAAAACAGCATATACGAGTGGGGCTGGTTTTCTATTCATTTCCGAGTAAATTGGACATGCTGATTGCCAACGAACAGTGGGCGTACCTTCAATGCCTTCTTGGCGTGCTCGATAGCGTCCCACGGAGCCGGAAGGTCGAGGAATACTGTAGAAAATAGATACCCAGCTCGGGCGATCAATCTGTATGATAAGGAAGAGACATGCCTGCATCAACCGTGTCTTCAACTGTGAAACCGTCCTTGCACACGTTGCGGTGTGTAAGAGTGACAATGTCTGCCATTCCGTGGAGCGAAAACTCCTCCCTAGAATGTCATTAAATTCTTTACTATGGCTTAAAGTAGAAGGCCGCACACCTCGCTTTGTTTGCACGGGCCTCGTGAAATTCGTATGACCAAAGACGTCCTACCGACCCTATCGTCCTTGCGACGGAGTGGGAGAACGATCCCGAACCAGTACCTGCGTGATGTACGTAGTGAATTAAGGGTTCACCCCACGGAGGTCAAATTTCCGATTGGCACAGGCGTTTAGGGAAAGGCAATGAAAGGGATATGAACATAAAAAGAGATAGAGAGAACAGATTTCAATCTGAGCCACGTTGTTAATCTGCTCATCAATCGCGAGAGGATACATCAATGCGGCGTAGTAAACAAGGATGAATGAAGACTAGAACGATGATCCACGTGTCTTTGTTCGCTGTGACCAACCTAAAAAAGTGGTGCAGCATCGTGGACGATAGCCAAGCAAAAGCAGTGTTTTCCGCTATAAGTCCAATTTTTAACGCTTACCCGCTTCGATGACACTGCTTCCACGTTTGATGTCAAGCCATGAGGTGATAAACGCGATATCGGCAAGATACAAGATCTGAGTACGATGGGGAAGTGCCATCGTCCAAAGCTCCGGAGTGGGTCGAAGGACATGGATGAATCCTTTGCCATTGCGAGATCCGACTTTGGACCCGTAGGGAATTCCAACTAGGTCTGCATGCCGGTAATATCCAAACCTGGAGTTAAGGTCCTTCCCTGGAGTAATGAGTAAAGGTTGAATGAGTTCTCGAGTCTGACATAAATGAATTACAGGCATGTGAGCTACCCTAAAACCATAAAGGGTGAGGAACGTGCCTGCCAGATGATAACGAGGTCGCCTGCAGCGACGTCTCGAGCACTCGACCACATCTAATATCTTTGGCTCGGCGAGAAGAGCACGACTGAACCAATGACAAAGTGACTACAAACTTGGACCCGGTCGAGATTGAGTGGGCCGTTACCGGTCTGTGTGAGAGATCTGGTAAACCCACGATTATGAAATTAAATGCTCAAGGCACAAACCTGACAGCAAAGGGGGCACTAGACTTGGATTCCGCTTCTAGTCCTGGGCGACTCCGATTCCCACTAGACCTCCCCGCGTTGTTCAGGCGTTGCACGGTTTGAATGAACCTGGCGTATGAACGAGGATAATGTTACCTTATGTTGCTCAGATCTATCGTGTTTATTACGGAAGCATATCCTTTCTGGAATCAATATTAATCAATGATAGTAATACTCAACTAATACCACTACATAATGACGCCCAACCCAATCTCCAAAAAATAATACTATGACTCTGGTAATTCTGTTCAAGCGTCCTCGGGTTTGGAAACCCTAAGTCTTCTCTACAATGGAGAGATAAAAGCGCTGTTGACCTCCGACCCTCCGTAGCCTCACTTCTCTCCGTCAGTTCTGACGGTATTTTGTTGGTGTAACAAAATTGTAAGGCTCGCCTAGTCCGACAATTCGCGCCTACACGCGGACCATAACGGCCCCCTCCTATTGCCAAGGTGATCCATCAGACCGTGACTACCTATGGAATCAGAAACGCCACGCGTTTCATTCAGTACGTGCCTCCTTACCTCAGACCGTACGACACCAGCTCAACGTTGTGCGAAGTCACCATCGTAGACTTCTCTGAGGATGTAAGTTTAATAATTCACTGCTTTTGTCGCTGGCCCCGAACAAAGCCCTTTTGTCTAGGCTCGATGGCTATTCCTTACCGAATCAGTCTCCGACCTCCTGGGTACGACAATTGCCATTTAGTGCTCCTCTGACGTTAACGCTGCTGTAGGCTTTGAACCCCGCGAGTTAATAGGCCGCTCTGCTTTGGAACTTGCACATCCAGACGAGTTCTCTCAGGTAAAGCAGATGCACTAGTACGTTCACGAATAACATTTTTCACTTGCCGATGAATGACTAAATTTTGTATCAATTAGTGATACTATCCGAGAAGACAAAGCCGCTGCTCTCGCATATCTCCGATTAAAGCATAAAGATCCCTTCAAAGGATACATTCTTTGTGCGATCGTGAGTAGTAGTCTCGATCCTTCATCTGACGAGTTTGATTTGTAACTTCGGTTCAGTCTCGGACCGTCGTGCACAACGTTATAGTAGGGAGCGTATCGTTTGCTACACCAGGCGGAAAGGCGCTCCAGAATACTTCTACTGCGCAAGAAGTTGAAGTCGTCACACCTTCTGCGAAGAACTTCGAACTTAGGGTAGGCATCATACTTTATCCATCACTGCTTGTCTAAAAATGACTAGCGGTGGGGCGACCCGTCACCGATGACGTTTAATCCTAGTATACCCGACCTCACTTCACCGGCTGCCTGCCCTTCCACGGATATGGACTGTGCCAGTGATGCGTCATCAAGCCGCAGCCGAGGCAAGAAACCAACAATAATTAGTTTTAATCCGCTGCCCCCTCAGTCCCCAAGATCGGCCCTCATCCTTGACCGGTTCTCGATTCATTGCACGGTCCTCTACTGTTCCAACGACCTTCTCCTCTCAACTACCAGGGTTTTGGGTCGGAGTTTCTTTGACTTTGTAACTAGTCGCACAGAAAATAGCGTACGCAGCTGGATCGATGTCATTAAATCATGGGGTGTCAACGATCGGGGGCAACCGAGCGATGGCGGCTTCGGTTTTGGTAAATTTGGGCTGCTGCTTGCTGGCAGGGATTCAAGGTATGGACCGGAATTTTCCGCCCGTATCTCGTTCTCATCTTAATAAACCGTATTCAAGGGCTGAAAATGAGCAAGATACGCCGCTATCGCGGCGCCGACTCGGAGACGCAAGAATCAACTCCCGAATGCCGTCAAGCTCACGTTGCGCCTCCTATTCATCGTCCGGGACGTCTTCCCGTTCACGACCACCCTCTTCAATGTCTTTGTCTACCTCTGATCAGGAAATTTCTGTTGACGCTATTTTCTCTGGGCACTCGGACGGGATTTTACTGGTACTTCGTCCAACTCCAAAAGTATGAGTTTGGGCACCTATACCATGTATTCTCTCTCTCTCATCATTCTTTCTGGATGTATATCATGTGATTGTTTTTTCGATACCATGTTCCATTTCGTTTGTCTGTGTACACTTTTACTTGCTGTGTCTTTTTGCTCTCATAATGTATCATTTGAATGCGGTTAGTGTGATGCAATTTGGAATTCATAATTTATTCACGCGGAGCCTTCGCTGCGATGACTTCTTCAACTCCAATGCTTCTTTGTTGCAGGTATGTTCAGTAACACGTACATGTGCGTGCTGGCACTTCAAGTGATAGATAGAGTGTAATATCTTTCCCAGTCACGCCTTCCTGACGTTTATCTTGCGCTCACAGAGTGTCTGAACGGCGTCCCGTGCGGCTTTCACTTTGAGCCAGATCAGTACCGATGATTCACGTGGATGGAAGGGATTCTGAAGATCAGGTTCACACTGGTAGGAATACAGATTCCTGATGGGGCCAGCATAGGCATTGCACAGCCCTACCGTGCCGTCAACTCTTGTTCTTTTCTGACAGAATCGTTATCAATAAACTGGTTTGTCCCTGCTGATGATCAAAATATGAACACGCTAACCTGAGCGTGTATGACATGGGCTTCATTCTGAATCCCAAGCCAGTATGTTTAGGCGATTATCTTGGTCTCCAGTGGTGGTAGGCACAGGCACAAAACTCGAGCAGTAGTGCTATTTTTACCTCCTCTCTCACATGACATCCTTGGTTTACTCTGACCTAGACTCTGAGTCTGAGTACCAAGTCGAGTTGATGTGGAAGAGGATGAAAATTGTGATGAGAATACGCTTTAAAAGACGTTACTGTCAATTTTCTAAACTGACAACGCGTTGACGGTCCATGGTTGCTATATGCTACACCACAACCGTTCTGCTTGGTTTCAAGTTGTTCCGAGAAATGTTACTGCCAGAAATAGAAAAAAGGAAAGCGGTAGTGGCGTGGCCCAAGGTTCCGGGAGTAATAGGATGGTGAAATGATGTGGCAGACTCAACGCCGTGGCAGATTCGCCGTGGCAAAGTTGACAAGGGATCTCAAGAAAAACACCAAATTCTGTTGTAACCTCCAAGTTTTAACTTGATATTCTAAAAAGAAAAATAGGGTATATTCTTGAAAATATTTAATTAAGAACTACCGGAGATAAGGAGAGAGTTTTGAAAGGCTGGATCTGCCGTCAATGTGGTGGTTTGACGTTGACAAAAAAATGGAGCCTTGGCTGTGTAGTCGTGTTTGAACTTGGTTGGATTTTACCTTTGCGCGCTTCTTGTGCGGGTCTCTTTTCTACTTTTCACACAAACTCCATGTCTCGCCGTCGCTCATCGTCAACAACGATGGGCCCGCCCGCTGATGTCGTCATGGGCCCGCCGCCGCCGCCCCCGTTGTCAGTGACCCAGCAGCCGCCACTGGCCCCTCCAAAAGAAAATCAGGAAAACGTCTTCGATAAATATCGAAAACTGAAACGGAAGTTCTTCGAGTTGGAGGATGTGAGCAGCCATCCTTCGTCATGCCTTATCGAACTAACAAATTTGCCTTAGAAACATAAAGAGGCGCAGCACGAGTTAAGGCTCTCTGGGGAACGTAATGTGAAACTTCGGGAAGAACGGGAGTGCGTGTAACTGCAATATCGATATCTCATATATTAGTCTGACTCTCCACTCCAGCAAGATGCTCGACCGCATTCGTGAGCTTGAAACACACTCCGAGCCCATCGTCTCGGGTGTTCCTTATCCGCCGTCCAGTGCCTTTCCTCGCTCCCTCTCAACCTTGAAAGCCCGTTCGTACTTTGTATCCAACCTCCGTCAAGCAATGGCAGAAGAAGACATTGACGATCATGAGGTTGATCCACTACTTACTTCGCGGCATGTCGGCCCGTTGGCTCGCAAGCGTGCAGAAGATGAACACCGAGACCGTGCAGAGGAGGAGGCTCGTGAAGCCCGTCGCCAACCAAAGCGACCTCGAGCTCCTGTTAAAGGCAAAGAGGCCATGGGCCAGCCTCCCCATGGGCAGCCCGCTATGGGTGTTGGCCCTTCTCCGGAAGGAGGTGGCCCAGGAGCCCCTGTTCTTGTGTCCACCAAGGGCACTCGTCTTCGCCTTAAGCCTCCTGTGCGGCCTTCGCCTAATGACCCTGTCCCTTCAATCAATGCGGCGCACTCCCAGTCGTCACTTTCTCCATTGTTATCCCCTCGCGACGACCAACCTCATTATGATCCTGTACGCTTTAGTGCTAATGGTGGCGGACAGCACCCTGCCTTGGTTCCTGTCCCTGGAAATACGCCTCCACTTATTGGTCCATCTCCTTCATTACCCCCCCACATGGGGCTTCCCCCTGCACCTACGCCACCGTCTCGTGCAACCGAGGTTCAGCGCCATGCTAAGCCTAAACGTCTGAAAGCCCATACTGTTACAACAAAGAGCTACAGCATCCCCACTGTTCCACGTGATAAACAGGGACGTCCTTTACTACCACTTACCGTCGGCATCATGACAGTGAACCAACTTGGAGAGGTTTGCATGCGAGAGCATTTTCATACGGAACGGTATATCTTCCCTGTTGGGTATGAGGTAACACGGTGAGCACCCATCTGAATCAAAATAATGCTCTCAACTAACCTCTTTGCAGAAAATATTCTTCAACCGTGGACCCCACCACAGACGCTATATACACTTGCTCAATTCTCGATGGCGGGGATGGACCCAAGTTCAAGATCGTCGCATCTGATGTCCCAGATCGTCCTCAAATCGCTGGTACCGCCACCGGCGCATGGTCTACTATTGTGAAGCAAGCCAATACTATCCGCAATCGCCAACACTCGAATTCTGTCTCGGGGCCCGACTTTTTTGGGCTAGGGCAGAACACAATCAAGCACTTGATCCAGGAGCTTCCAAATGCTGATCGCCTGCGCGACTATGTATGGCAAAACTTCGTCGAAGGAGGGTGAGTGATTATTCCTATGGCCGGTGTAGTATTTAGAATTGCTGGAATGGGAGGCGGACCAGCGGGTACCGCGGGCTGTACTATCGTTCATGCTGGCCGCTCTTTTTCTTTCTCCTCTCATCCTTTTCACAATTGTGACACGATATAACACAGACCTTTAGGCGGTAGACACGCGGCCGTCGTTCCAGCACTTCCAGAAGATCAATCTAGCGTTGCCGATGGTCACACTGAAGATATTTCTTCCTACACACATCCTCCCCCACATCTGCAATCGCAGCCTTTCACAACCATCGTCCTCCCCCCACCTCAATCCGCCGACACTCTAAGTATCCACGAGTACCGCCCTCCTTCACAGAGGGATGTCGAAGACAGGCGTCAGAGTAGCTCCCATTCACAAAGCACCCGTCAGCTCGCAAATCCTTCACCACCAAACATGACACCCACTTCCCAAGCATCACCTCCCCCACAGCAACAGCAGTCGCCATATCTTGCCGGTGCCAATGCACCATCTGTGCCTGCAACATTCGCAAGCATAATGAATGCGTATCCTGCCCCCTCAGCCGCAAGGGAGGAGCCTCATTCGCGTCCTGGGTCCCGAGATGAGATCCCTCCAAGCGGTCCCTCATTGCGGTCTCGTGAGCAGTGATCTATTCGCCTACATCTACTATGCAAGTGGAGTCCATTATATTATACTTCTTTTGGCTTTATTCTATGTTGAATGCTGTGTTATTGATTTCTCGTTTCTGGCATTATGGTGGTTTTCTTGGCATCTTATTTCATTTTTGTTTTTGGATGGTATTGTTTTTGCAGATATTCCTTCTCCAATCCCAAAAAGTAACTTCCAGCTGGCGTGACCGACTTCCCAATTGTTAATAGCCCACTGCCTCTCCGCCGGAGTTCCCCACTTCGTGGACTTCTAGCTCCGGGGGAAAAGGTGACGGTCTTCTGGGATGACATGAGACTTGTTCTCGTTGACTAGATGACCCTACGGCGAGAATATACCAACGTAAGAGTGGAATCACGGTTTCTTGACTGTAAGCCCTCGGGCTGGAGGTTAGAAGACCGATTTACGGGCCCCTGTGGGGACTCCTGCCGTGCGAGGAATGTGCTGGCAATGGGGTAGTATGTGGGGCCGACATTCGATTGAGGTTCTGTGTATGAACGTTATCATCAGACGTAGGTAGAAATCGTTACTATTATCGCCTACTCCTATCTTTGTACGTTTGTGATTGTAGAGCTAGCACTGCCTTTATCATTTGAATTTTGACGCTGTAATATGCTCAACACGAGGTTATGTTTGCGCTTGATCGCAGCGCTAAAGGGGTCACAACAGTAACAATTGTGAGTTCTCCCACCACACTTATGATATCAATGATGTCTACGCAGTTGCGTGTGGCCGTCGTGCAGTTTGCTCCCAAGGTCAGTGCACATTTCCTCGGGGATGAAAACAGCAGCTATAATCGATCATCATGATCTACTGTAAAGCTCGGTCAAGTGCAAGCCAACATCGCCAAGGCTCGAGAATTATGCAATAGGTATGCGACCTCACGCAGGTACGTTTGAAGACGACCTCACAACCATTTTCTAGGTTGAAACCCAGATCCGTTGATCTCCTGTGTTTTCCGGAGATGGTTTTCTCCGGTGAGCCAGTTCTCAAACTTCGTTGTTACTGCATGAGGGTTTCTGATCATGTATGTCACGGCGCTCAGGCTATGTGTTTCCTGACACAGCTGCTATCACACCATATCTTGAGCACCCGTATACAGGGCCCACATCCACCTTTTGCGCAGAGCTAGCACGCTCCCTTGAATGTTTTGTGGCCGCTGGGTATCCCGAGAAGCTCGAACCACGCGAACATGCCCCTCCACTCGGAGGCGATAACTTATCGTTCCATCAACCCCGCATCGGTGCAAACAGTGCAGTCATGTATGGTCCTACAGGGGAGCGTGTTGGAGCATATCGCAAGACCAACCTCTATAAACTTGATCTTCCTTGGGCAGTTCCTGGATCTGGGTTTACGACGATGACGCTACCGCATCCACTAGGTCCAACCACACTTGCGATCTGCAATGATCTCAATGTGCAGGATCCGGCTGTGTGGGAGTCGCTAGATGATGGTCCATATGAACTTGCTCGATACTGCATAAGATCGGGCACGCGGCTTCTGATAGTTCTAAATGCATGGTTGCATCCTGATGAAAATGGAGAAGAATCAGATGCTGATTCTTCTGATTACACAACTACGGAACAGAATGAAGACACCGATGAGATGGAGCCGAGTTGGGAAGTATTGAAATACTGGGCGATGCGCTTGAACCCATTGTGGGCGACCATTCAGAAGGCAACACATGAAACCGAGAAGGAACCAGGCGAATGTAAAATCCCTGACGAGCTACTAGTGGTTGTTTGTAACCGATTTGGAAACGAAGGTGGTGAGTGCGTTAGAAGCTTGTGGTTCCATCTTGGGTAAATCGTTTTTGTTCAGGGAGCAGATTTGCGGGATCGTCTGTTCTCATGTCCCTTCGCCGAGGATCCGGCCGACCGCGACTCTTGCATATGATGGGTCAAAGGGAAGAAGGCATTGGTCTTTGGACTGCGAACATGGCTCTACAGTAATGACATTCGATATCGCATGTTGTCCGCATGATTTGGCCCCTCATTTGGTCTATTGCCTACATCATCGCCTCCCTTTACTCATGGTTTCAAGCACATGCCGGTAGCAATCTTTTCGGCACTCGTATCTCTTCATATCTTCGTCTGACTGACTTGTTGATTTACCTACTATTTTCCCGGATCGTCCAACGCCTGGACCTTCATCCCAACGAGCCCCACTCACCGCACGCAAGTCAACACTCAAAAACTCGTGTCCGGCCACGAGGAACACGAAGTCGATACAAAGTTCCATATCTCAAGTCATTCGGAGGATGGTATTTTTAAACGCTGTTCTCACCGGAAGAACCAGGAACAAAAAGAATTTGGAAGCTCCGAGTCGGAGCGCGCATAAGCACCAGCTATCAAATGGAAGACGCGCGCCTGCGCTTCATTCAAGTTTGATGATGGCGCTTGCGAAGCATTATCATGACTCGAGTGATTGTGAGTGGCTCGTCAGACACGTATGGCGGATATTATAAAGGCCCATCAGTAAGTATGTTACAGGTGGAGTGCTGGAATGCAGGAAACCGAACGTGAGATTTTTGCCTCCAGCCTGGGCCCTGCATTAGTTGTTCCCAGAGGTCTCGACTATCTGTGCTATCTATGTGGGTGGGGAGAGTGCGATCATAAAACGGTGGGCTCTGCGCATTGTCGGGAGGATAATCCCTTCCTTTCTTGCGCTGAGTGAATCATGCGCGGAACCACACTGACGGCGGTCAAGTTGAAACGACGGTGTGCGAGATATCACAGGTCTTTGGTGGGGGCAACGACAGGCTCGCCGGTCTTCGCATTCCAGATGCAAATTGTATTGAACCCGCCTGATGCGATTATGTCACCCGCAGGTGAATATACAAGAGATTCCACCCCTTCCTGCGCCGACCAAAGTTCATTTACGGGAAAACCGTAGCGATCGGCTATGAGCGCACGTGCGTCATCGAGTATGACCCGACGATGCAGAGCATCCAGCATGGTGGAATGCTGGAATAAAAATCAGTAGGAACTAGTACATGGCATTGAAATTGAGCACTTACGTGCTGCAGGGTGGCGTTCATCTTTTGGACTGAAGCCGATAGTTCTGCATTTGCAGCCAATAATTCTGCAAGGTCTTTGATCCGCTTGGCTTGCTCGTTGTTCTGTTATCTCGTCAGCTTCAAGATGCTCGTTTAATTGCCCCACAAATTACTACTAATGCATACCTGTTTAGTCATTGAAGCTTTACGGTCATTTATCTGGCCCGTAAGTTCATCGAGCATGCGATCCATCTCCTTGAGCAGCGAGGCATTATTGTCGACCGCTGACCCGCTCGCCACTGAACCGATTCATATTGTTGAGTACATAAGCGACTCGTGATATTGAAACTACTAGGTACCTTTTTTTCGTTTGCGTCGAGAAGACTTTGACAATGTCTGCACCTTGTTTTCCTCCAACTGCGCCAAATTTTCCTCGTTCTTGTTGAAAACCACGCGGAATGTATGACTTTGCGGAATGCTGAAATGCATGGTGAGGGGTTTGCCCGATTGCGGGATTGAGAGTGTTGAGACGGGTTTTTGTCGATCCATGTCCCCGTCAACAGCTATGAGAAGATCAAGTGGTCCTAATTTGTTCGAGGAAAAAGGCTTGATGAGCTCGTTGTATGCGGTGGTCAGTTGCTGATGCAACTGGAAGATGACATCTTCAATAGGAGTCTCTTCTGACACCTCCAGCGCACATGACAAACTGGGGTCCACGAGGACATTATTGCGAAAGGGGGGAAAGAGGATACGGACCGACATACATACTTATATATGTTAGAACTTTCGGAAGGTGTGATACCGGGTGTCGTTTGAAATTCAACAAGGTTTTAATTAACAATCCTAGTATCCTAGATGTCCACTAGAGTTTGTGCATTTTTGGGGAAACGTCTATTACTCCACAATATTCACAAAACATAAAAATTGGGTTCTTTGGCAGTTCGATAGCCTGACATCGAAAGTACAACATCTACCATTTTTATTTTTATTCGAAAATCGACGTGTTGAGTCCGGCGGAGAGTTACCGCGCAGAAAAGTGCAGCCTGGCATTTTCCACATGTGTTAACCCGGTACTAGCTCACATTTGTTACACGGAGTCTCTGTGTTCATTGACATCACTTGGATACAGCTCCCTACGCAGTATCACGGCTTGAGCGAAGAAATGGTGAGAAGATTTTAATGCGACGACCGGTTATTAAGTCGGTCTTCCGAGACGTATCGCTCCCCAAACAAAAAACAAACGCAAGTGAAGTAGTAGACTTACTAATTTCGTTCCAATCCTCATTCTATCACCTTGAGCACAATATATACATTAGCGTCACTATAGCACATAGAATCTGTATCGTCTACTATAGGGCGCACGGACAATAAACTCTTTTTTATTTCAAAAGTGGCTGGTTTATCTTTCCATTTCAACGCTGAGCGTTGGGAAGTGCGCCTACCGGCGCTGAATGTGAGGCGACTATTTGTGAACACCGACTCTATACCAGGCCTTGCTGGATCGAGGAAACTACGGGTATGGTACGATCTCTGTTTTATCATTGTGAATCATCGCACTGTCTGACAAATTTTATATGGCATGTTCTCCAGATCCATACAGGCGAGAAATAAAGATCATGGGGCCTTTCTTTTACCAGTCTTTCTCCAGCCACTGCAGATGTTCCTCAACAATCCTATCATCTCAATCGCTTCCTCTTCGTCATCATCATAATGAGCCGCGTCGATCGGCCAAAGGCTTTCCCTGTGCTCCATGAGCTTGACCACATGCAATTTTGCCGTTGCTCTCTGGTTGTAACCAGACTCCGTGGCAGACATTGTGTGCACAGAGTACTCTATGTGCTTAGCGGCTTCTGCCAAGAGTAGATGTCTAGGTCGGTGATAATCGTCAGGATGGGCACTTTGTGAATACATGAGAGGTACCTTGCTTCGGCATTGGACGGAGCGTTGCTCAAGTTGACCCACAACCCTTCATCGCTATCGTCCCAGCGGAGAATTCTGTGTAAAGCCTGTCTAATAGTGCGGAAGACTTCTTTCCTTGCTCGTTCCTAAGCGATATCGTTCATCATTTTAGTGCGCTATGCAGGATTTCGACTTACGGGTATTTTCTTGGAGATCATCGCTTCCAGTTCAATATCAATCTCGGGCAGGTCTATCTGAGGTTCTGAAAGATAGTGTTATTTAAAGCTTCTTCATGTGCTCACGTTCGGACATACCATCATCGAGGGAAACACCACTACCTTGCCCAAAGTCCATAGGTTCCTCTTCCAGGACATCGTCTTGCAGCAGCTCGTCTCCCGGATGTCGAGCAGAATTAAAGCAAACCTCGACGACTTCAATCTCGTCATTGCCGTGATTTTGTTCTTCACCTTTTTGGGTGGTTGCTGAGCATCCGAAGACTCTATAGCACGCGCTTCTTGAGGAGGTTGTTTGAACGGCACCCTAAATGGTGTTTTGAATGGCTTCCTTAGGTATCGACAGAACTATAAGGCTTCGTGACTATCATGGTGTCAGATGGACTCGAATTCAACATTGGAACGCGTATTGCTCACTCAATGCAGGCGGCAGTGCCTCTAGCTTTGCCTTCTTCATGGACGGACCTGCTGGACAGGCGTTGGGCCTTCTCAACCCAACACTTCTCGCCTGTCCAGGATTGTACTGACCAGGAGGAGGCTTTTGAGGCGCTGGACATGAACCATCGGCTTCGTCTTCGAACGCATCCGCGTTGAAGGAACGCGAGTGCGATAGTGCGGCAACGCGGTCCTCTGATGAGAGATTCTGTTTTCTGCGCAGGGCTTTATCAGGGTATTTGCATACCTAGGGTGCACTCTATCACGGTTTGCACTGAAGAAGGAACTCTGAAGACGCACATCAACACATATTATCACAGTAGCTCTTGACGACCTCCTTGTCGCTCGTATCGATTTTTTCACCAAAATACTTGCAGATAGACTTGAATTGATTCAGATTAGATCGAGCCAATCTAGTGATAAGGATAAGACCAACCACGTGTCGACACATAGTGCGTTTTCCGCATAGTTAATCAACTGGATCTCATGAGTTTTTTGACGCCAGCAAAGAAAAGTCACTTACTGCACTTGAAGCTGTCAATAGATCTTTGACTGGGTTGCGGACCGTACATGTGCTTGCTGCGTGTTGTCTCTTAGCATGGCTATCAGAAACTAGCTTGCGGAGGCGGAAGGCATCTTCACGAGCTATAAGTTGTATTCGAGTATCAGTTGTGTCCGTTAGCGAACAATGATGACCTTACAGTAATAGAGGACGCATTTTGATGGCTAGAGGAAAATAATCAGCAAGAGAAAGT